AGAAATGCCGTAAATTTTCGTTCTATCATCATTCGAGTGTCACAATTAATACAATTGGCGTTGCATGTGTGTTGCTTTTGGTTTTTTATAATATCAGAAAGTTTTGCACGATCACGAAGACCGACGAGAAGAGACGGACGTCGGCTTTTTCTCCAATGGGGAAGGAATACAGGATTATTGGGGACTGCTTAAAGGAGGGAGACTTCTTAGCGAAGACCATTGTCGCGGACACTTAAGGACTGAGACGTCCTTTCGGCAAACTCGATCCAATTTCTCCCTCATTCGTCACTTTCCCCTCGTTTTTCCGTCGCGACCGGAAAAAACGTCAACCGCCGGAAGCGTGTAACGCGTGTCTATTTGACGGATAAACGGAACGCACAAACACATACACATACATACACTCACGCATTCGCTTAGACGGAGATACACGGATATAAAAATGCGGGAGGGTATCAAGCTGACGATTTTTGCAAAGGAGGCATTTTTCATAGGCGCAGCTGAAACTTACTCACGCTGCTTACTCTCTCAAAGTGAATCAATAAATATTTTTCTGATTGAATTAGTAGGAATGTTTGACCTATAATATCGGTCAATAAGTTTCGCATCATAATTTATATTTTACTTGAACCTTGATCTTTTTTTTACTTACATTTATATGTTGGAAATAACAGTAAAAGAGAGAAATTATTTGGCTCTAAACACATAAATACCGGCTGCATTTTTAATTTTGTAAATTAACGTTATGAGAGATACGAAAATAAAACGACAGAACGTATTTTCGTTATAATGTTTTATTTTTATGTTTCATACCGTCAAGAAAATTGAAGCGCCTTTAAGCAACATTATTAGGCAGCTCTTAACGCTCTTGTAAATCAATAAAGTTACAGCGGAAGATTAAAACTCGACATTTCCATCTTCCTATAAGGAATAAAAACATATTTCATTGACGAACTTTTATACAGGACTACGATATATACTAGATCAAAATAAAAGAAAAGAACGTTTGATTATCATTTACTTATATCACGAAAATCAAGGTTAAAATTTACTTTTAATGGTTATATTTGCTGAAAACATAAAAATTTTTACAAAAATGAAAGTTTTAGAAGAAAATACAAAATGTGATAGAAGAGTTCTATCTTATTATTTCTCTTAATAAACACGTAACAAAAATACCATAAATTTTCACCTTGTGATCACTCGAATATTATATGAGAAAAGATGTTATATAAGAATGTGACATAAGAAAGCGGTGAAAAGTGGGAGTGTTTCCGCTCCGGAGATCAATGAATATTCGCTGCAATTATCGCGCGAAACACTCTTTTCACTTATTACATCAGAAACATTTTTACCGATTCACTTTAAGAGAGAGCACACACACCTTTGGAGATTATTTATACATGTCGCTCGTCGATTTCGTTAGATTGTATTGTAGATAAATGCGTTTTTACATGCGTATGAACCCGACAGATTTATTCGCGACGTGCGCAGAATTCGAGACCTTCCGCCTTCCGTTCGGCCGCGCTCGCGTCACACGAGTGTACTTTATCCCGCAAGTTTCTCAATTAGCTGTCAAAACTGTTTTGAATGATGGAACTTACGGGGAACAGTCTGTATAGCGCGCTGACACGTGGACACTTGCTGTCCGCGGCATGGTTACTCTTAGCGAACCCTCATTTGTCTTGCCAAACATCATTCATCGTGCGGGACGATGACGGGCACATTTGCTTGATCGCTTCTCGGCACGGGCCGTCCGGCGCTGTCTGTATCTCCTTAGATCTAGATGCCAAGTCGAGCGTCGAGTTCGGCCTGTCTGCAACGGGCTGCTCGATGATATCATGCTCACGCGTATCATGTTCGAGTGATCCGTCAAACTTCTCAACGTATAGTTTTAGTATTCTTTCATTGCCGCGCGATTGCGCGATACCCCTGGCAGAGCACAGCGAACGTTATTGAAAATAAATCCTTCGTCGGTGATTATTTATTACGAGCGGTGCAATTCGCGGCAGAGAGAGAGAGAGAGAGAGGGGGGGGGGAGAGAGAGAGAGAGTCGGGTAATAAATGATGAAAATTTTATTTGGCTGAAACAGTCGGCGAGTCGATCGTCGAAATTAACGGACTGGCACTGGTATAATCATGAATAATGTGTAACGGATTGATAAAATTAATTATTAATTAATTATTAATTAAATAAGCGAGATGAAATCGAAGTGATCGATTGCAACAATCGTTAAGTGTAATTTTGGTTGATTTGATTGATGTTTATTAGATATTTTTAAACTTTTAAGATGCATTTACGAATAAAATGATACGAATTAATAATCACTATTTAAATATAATATTTGGATGGTTTATATAAAACATTTTTACGTTTGCTGCACACTAACATAAAATTTCAATTAAAATTTGCCGTATTAGTCGCTTTTTTTGAGTTTATGAAAAAAATTTTTTAAATTTTACTCGAAATTCATCGTCAACGCCATTAAAAACTCCTCTGCATGGACTTTCATTAATAGTCGAGAATTTTTCGTTTTTAGCATTATAGGATTAGTTGAGGAAAATGGGGCGGTGGTGAAGTGGTTAACCGATTTTTTCAACGAGGTTTCGCGGATTGCAGTGCTCGTGAATAAAGCATAATTTATAAGTGCAGTATCTCAGTGAAGAATACACTGATTGTACTTCAGAAAGCGAGAAACACCGAGCCTCAATTAGAGAGTTCACTTCCAACTTGTGAAAACACTTTACCCTAGCGGCGGCGGAGTTTTCGCGTCGAATTACTCGCGGAATGACGAATTAAAATCAACAAACGAAACCGCGATATTTATTTGCGAGGGATACGAATAAATTTGTGTTATTTAACGACGTCGGCGAGGCGACTCTCGCCTGGAATTTCCTCTCCGTCTACTCTCTACCGAGTTCGCCTATTTCTCCTCGAAGGTGGAGGATCCTCGTCGAGGGAGGGGGGGGGTAGATCGGCGCGGAGAATGTTAAAGAGACGGATGAATGTCTGGGAATGTACTCCTCTCTCTCTCTCTCTCTCTCCTGCAAACTCAACATTTACGACTTCATAACTTCTCTCAGGCACCATGAAGTTTTTGCCGAGGAAGTGCGTTGCACGTGTATAGAATTTTCTTGAGGGCGCTCGTCCATAAAGAAGAGCAACCCTATTTTCGCGCGATTCGCGAATATTTCCGTCACGTCGGCGAGCGCGCGTTTTGTAGAGAGGAGAAAGGCCTGACCTTCTGCTATCGATTTCGATCTATCGAACGCTGAACGCTCGAGAGGAGGAAGATCCACGGTGGAGGCGGACGCGCGTGAACAATTCAAATCGTTGGCAAATAGGCAGCCCTCCTCTCTCCTTCTTGTTACGTTTTTTAAATCTCTGTTATAGAGCGGCTGAAGTTTGCGTGAATTCGACGCTGTAAGATTCTCGGCTCCGCTTCGATAGGTGTTAGAGAATTCCCCGGGTTTTTCCTACCCCATCCGTGTGATGGTTGTAAAATTTAGTTGTAAAATTTTCGGAAACTTCGAGCATAAACTTGGGAATTTTACGAAGCGTTCGAGAACTTTGGGCGAATTTCTTTGTGAGATTTTATTCGCGGAGCTATCCGCTCGAATCATTGTCGAACGATTTTATCGGGCGATTTCACGGTCCTCTTGTAAATTCCCAAATGATATCCGATTGGTGGGGATGTGTATTGTCCCAAAAAAAATGTACGTATGTCGAAATCTGGAAAATGGAACAGTTTCGCTAAGTTATAATACCGAAATTCGAAATACCGTGATAGTTACCCGAAATAATCTGCCGAAATACAATTTTACCGAAATATTGGAATTGTCTCGTTGTACAGAACTGTGTATTGTGTATTAATCTCTGCACATTTGAATACAGCAAGATTAATGGGTAGAAATTATTGATACATACACATGTGCACTGGTGCTCTTGGGATAAAAAAATAGTCCTTCCTCGGAACACAGAGAAAACATTGTGCACAGAGAAAACATTGTAGTAGGAAATTACGTTAAAATCTCTCTTTCCTCTTCGCAGTATTTTTTGCAAAGTTAGTCTATGTGCATCGTCGTAGGGTATGAATTACTATAGAAATAAGCAAGAAAAACGCAGAAACAAAACAAGGCAACAAATCATTCAAGCGATTTCGATATCAGTGTAACGAAAAGACAAACGTGCATAATATTTTTAGACAAATGTTTAGTAATTTCGGTCATACCTCTGTGCGGTCCAAAATTACAAGAATTTGTTTGTAATTTTTACTACATTATTTTCCTCGTTTATAACTCGGGGGGGGGGGGGGAATTGTACTTCGCGTATCGATGGCGTCGGACGAGAAACTTTCCGCGATGTAATTTTTTCAATGGGATTTCCCCGGCTAACACGGAAATAACTCTAACGTGGTCCCCCGTTCAGAAGCAGATACGAAGGCTGAGGCGGGGAAATATGGCGATAATTCTTATCCTCCGTCCATTTGAGATTTACGATCACACGGCAATTACGAGCGAGTATATAAATACGTTTGCCCACGATAATTCGATAATACGGCGTTCGTCGTTTCTCTCTTTCCAGACTTTGTTTCCTCGATGATTAAGCTTTAACTTTAATACGTTAATTTAATTTTCTAAGTCAACTTTTAGTCGAGTTGTTTGTTCGAGTTTGTTCGAGCTTCCTTTCAACGGAAGCTTGGTTAATTCGACTCATATTAACTTTAAAATTAACTTAATTTACTTTAGTTTAAAAGACAAATTAATTTATTCAATTTTGATGATGAATAACGTCGATTAGATATCATCGACATCCATGCGATATCTCCCAAATTTTCCGATGAAAAATATGAAACTGATCCCCCTACGTGCTTTCAACCTGACTTCAATTGCATTCTTTACCGGCTTGTGAACCCGAGCGCTCATATCTCAGCGAGGATTTATGAGAGATGCAATCATTATATAGGACAAGCATTCCATTCGAACGATAATTTATTTCCATTCATCAACTTCCCCTCCTGCATCACGCACGGTGCGCGTGATCTTCGATTTTCCGCCGTTCGATGTCCGAGTTTTCCCTCCGACGTTTCGTCTCGCTGGAATTTCCTGTTGCGTCCGTGCGCTGCCCGTCAGACCGTTCCACATTCAGCCAACCCAAGGGCGACCTCAAACAACGGCGCGCAATTAGGATGTTTGCTTCGCGGGGGTGACACGGCAAACAGCGATGATTCTTCCGCTATTACGCTACAACTCCGATCAGATCTAAAAGTCCCACTGGGCATCGCGGTTGGTACTCTGAGCAGCTTCCGTTACGACCTGCCAGCTCAGCCTGCAGGACGTCTCGCGGCGATTCCTCGCGTCTCGAGGTGCTCGGCCTGAAAATCGCGGCGGATAATTCCGAGTCGTGTAATCGAGTCGCGATCGCGCACAACGAGACATCGGGGGAAACGTCGCGTCTCAGGCGGGGCAATAGCCGGAGGAAACAGTATCTCGTCGGAAAGAAGAAAGAAAAAAGAAAAGGAGAAGGAACGAGAGAGAGAGAGAGAGAGAGAGAGAGAGAGAGAGAAATCGGAAAATCGTCGAAATCCCGTGGAGAACGATTCCGCCGGCGGCGAAACCGAATTTTTTATACAATGTATGCATGCATGGACTGGCTTTTGTTACATCGTTTCACGGCGATACGATCGATTTGTTGAAGTTTTGCCACCCCTCCCCCTCGCTGCCCCTTCCCTTCCTCTCATCACCCTCTGTCGCTTTTCTCTGTTTCTCACCACCTTCCGCCGATCTGTTTTTTTTCCGCTCTCCCTTGACTTTCACGGCGGAGATTCGCGCATCCTCCACCAAAGAGGGGGGAAGGGGGAGGGTAGCGAAAAATCTCGCACGCTGGGGACAAGCCGAGAGAGAAACATTTTTTTCCTCGGTCGGCGCTCGCGGTGATATCCCCCGGGTCTTCCGGGGCTCGCTCGAGCGGACGGCAGAATAGGAGGACGCATCCCTCGGTAATCCCGCGGAATATCCAAAGGTTGGTGCACCGTCGTCCGCGTCGGCCACTGGGACTGGGGGAGGGGCGTTTCGAAAGTTCATCATGAGCTTTATTAAAATTTAGGAGCGACGCGCGCATAACTCGCTTCGTGCGAAACAGAGCGACTCTCGACTCGGCTTGGGGAATAATGAAAAAATAGTTTCGCGCGCGGAACGTTGCGGCGCGGGCGACTTTAACGGCGCGCGGTCGGGATCTTTTGTGATAACGACGCGACATGGAGCGATTCACGAAGGGCGCGAAGGGCGCGAAGGGCGCGAGCTCTCCGAGGTGAAGAAGCGGCGAGATTCGGGGCGGCCGCTTATTTCTGGCTTGCAGCGATCGGCGACTCGCCAAGAGAGATGCTCTTTCCTTCCCTTTGCGTCATCTCCCCCGGCCCCCTCCCCCCTTCCCCCTTTTTCTCACCGTCCGTCTGTCTGTCTCTCTTTCTCTCGCGACCCCTCGGTCGCGACAGTTTGCGGGCAGAGACGGAGGGTCGTCCGCCGTTATAATTTCACGTTTCTTCTGGTAGTCAAAAAGATGAAGATGCATCCGGGGCCGGGTGTAATAATGCATCAACGTACTAGAGTCGGCGTGCGGCGCTAAGAAAGAAGAGGCGAAACGAGCTTCCTTTGTGTTCTTTTCCCCGCTGTTCTCCTGCGCGGAACATTCTCCGGCTTCGCCCGGGAAGAGAAAGAGAAGAACGGTGGGCGGAGGCGGCAGCGGCGGCGGCGGCGGGGGGAGAAGGAGGAGCCGCGCATTGTCGCGACGATGAAAACGACAATGCGCGAAGGCGTCCCACCTCGACCCCCCTCCCTCCCCCCTTCGGCCCGTGCGCGTGCCTTGGGCCGAAATACAAGAATCTTCAAGAGACTGACTGCAACCGTCACTTTCCCGTCATTTGTACTTCGCGCGGGCATCGCGCCTGAGAAGGAAAGTTTTCTCCTTAAGATGAGAAACGTCTTCTTCCTTCCTCCCTTCGCCCTCGTCACGCCTGTATCCTTTCGTCATTTGTCATGGCGTTGATAATCGCCGGTCACCGCGAAAACAGTCGTGGTCTGAAACTTGTCTCATATGTTGAGCCGCACTCGAGTCTGACTCGCAAGTCTGTGTCAACGGTCGTTGCAACGGTGAAACTTGTCTCAGGCGAGATGGTCAGATCTGAGTTTACAATTGGAGGTGAGCTTTTAATGGTATTGCGACTGCGAATATGACGCCGTCACGTGTTGCATCGTATGATTCGAGAGAAAAATCTGGGTCCAACTTGAAGTCCAGATCTGCCAATCTGAGTGTGAGACAAGTTGCAAGCAGTGTTTGCTGTTGTCCATATAAAATTATGTATGGCGATTTCATTCAGATAAAATACTGGCATCGATCGATCTTTTCATCTGGATAATATACCATAGATATATATTATCGCTTATTCGCATTTAAAATTGAAAAAAGTGTCATCTTTACAAAATCATCTCAGATTATGTCCGCAGATAATTCGGTCTACATTGCTGCACAAATGTGTAAAACATTGAAACATGTTTTTATGAAATATATCAAACGGTATTGAAACTTCGAGATTTATCTATAATCAGGACGAAGCACTAACAATAAGGTGAATTTACATATTTCGTCTTATCCCTTCTCTTATTTAGTTAATTGTTAAATTACATAAAACAGAACACTGTGTGGTTGCGAGAAATGGCTGCTAAAACTTTAAGAGCCTTGGAGTTGGATTTAAATTTTTTTCAGTTGTAATAACACAGCCCCACAAAAAAAGAAAGTGGTCGGTGCCTAAAACCGGACAAGTATATTCTTATGTATTTTGATCCGCTGAATCCGAATTCGAGGTCAGAATTGGACAATTGCTAGCTTTATCGTCTCTAACCTCAAAAAACTGATCATAACTTCACTCAACAAAATTGAGCTGTATATGGTTGAATTCAGCTTAAAAAATGCTACAATTCTGGTCATTACAAAAATTTTCAATTTGCAAGAATAAAGATGGTGGGAGGGGGATATTAAAAAATATAATATTTTTAAGAAATTTAACTACACAGTTGTAAGGAGCGTCAAAAACCATACAACTTTTATCTGAGACATTTTTTTGTATTCTTTATAGTTTTTGAAATATACTCTCTCAAAACCAGGTACCTTGATATACCTTGTAAGGGTGATTTTAACCCCTAAATATGAAATTGGGCACGTATAAAAAAATACGTGTCTCTTATTTTTAGCTACTCCACAACATATAATATATAATATAATAAGAGACATGTATTTTTTTATATGTGCCCAATTTCATATTTAGGGGCTAAAATCACCCTTACAAGGTATATCAGTATACCTGGTTTTCGGAGAGTATATTTCAAAAACTATAAAAGATACAAAAAAATGTTTCAGATAAAAGTTGTATGGTTTCTGACGCTCCTTACGACTGTGTAGTTAGATTTCTTAAAAATATTATATTCTTTTATATCCCCCTCCCACCATCTTTATTCTTGCAAATTGAAAATTTTTCCAATGACAAGAATTGTAGCATTTTTTAAGCTGAATTCAACCATATGCAGCTTAATTTTGTTAAGTGAAGTTATGATCAGTTTTTTGATGTTAAGGACGATAAAGCTAACAATTGTGCGATTCTGACCTCGGATTCGGATTCAGCGGGTCAAAATACATAAGAATATACTTGCCCGGTTTTAGGCACCGACCACTTCTTTTTTTTTGGGGGGGTGTAATCAATCAATTATAATAAACCATGTTATAATCATGTTTATAAACGTGATTATTCAAATGTAGAATTCGTATTTGAGCTTTGAATGCACACCCACGTGTCTGACTCGAGACGAGTTTCAAGTAACGACTATTGATACTGCTCTTTATATCGGTCGTCTGTATTGTTTAAGGATCCTGAAATGATCGTTATTGAAGGGGTCTAAATGAAGTTAATTATCGCCAAATTAGCGTTCGAGTCACCTGTTTTGCGCGACCTGCTCCCCTCCCCCCTCCCCAGGCCGTTGAGCGTTACGTAGTTGTGTGTTATACGGAAGAAACTTTTATTCGTCGTGGCAACGGGCGAGAAGGCTGCCAATGACAACTACCACTACGACGACGACAACGACGACGGCGACGGCGACGACGACGACGACGACGACGACGAAGACGACAATGTCGTTTTCGCCCGCGGGTTCGCGTCCTTTATTCATACGTCCCTGACTGGAGAGCTTATTCGTCCGCGAGAGCCAGTCGAAGCGGAACGAAGCGGATGCACGTCTATGGGTTGGGAGGGTTGCTGCGAGGAAGCCAAATTTGCTTTTCCACGGCGCGTATCTACTCCAATTTGCAGCGCCTTGGAACGTAGCACTCCCGGAAAAAAAGAGACCGCCGCCGGCGCTCCTATCCTTTTTTCACAAGAGCAACGGGAGGAAATTCGCGTCTGCATCCTTCGGCGTGTTTTATGCGTCGCTCGACCGAACGATAGTCCGCCGAGGCGGAGTCGAGTTATTAACCGAGGATCGCGCGCGTATCTCGCTTGCGTCGCGGAAGAGGAAGAGAGGGTCGGTAGCGATGAAGTACTCTTAAAGACCGGCAGCCCTGCGTAAATTTCTCGCGACCGCCCAAACCGCTCGGAAGGGTCCGGAAGTAATTGAAGAAGGCTGATATTTCGTCAGTCTCTGTTTTTAAGAGCGCGATCGAGTCGCTTTGGAAAAAAAATGATAGTTCTTTCCGCAGCATTGGTACTTTTTAGTCACCCGATATAATTACTTGGACATTTTGTAATGTTGGATTGTGTAAACCCAGACGTTTCGGACAGGGCCTCATAAGAATATAACGACGTGCAAGTACGATCGTTTCATTTTACCCGAAAAAATCTGAAACTGCTTCTTATTAAGCGATCCGATAAGAATTAATTTTGCAGTTTACAGCCATCTCCATACACAAACCTGCAATGAAGTATGTCGAATATTTTCTTATATTAAAATTGCATTCTGCAAATTTTGCAAGATGCAATTGCAAAAGCGGCCGAATTTTCTCTCCACCGGCTTAACACAAAATTTCTTGCCCCCGGCGGGAGGTTATTAAATAACGAAATTTCCCGTACACGCGCTAAGTCCGGTAAAGCTGAACGGCTTTTACCTCGTCGAGGTCGGTGAGGTCGATTACGTATACGATATGTGGCCGAGCTATCTTGACGCGACAGGCATTCATCTGGGAAACTGTCCGCCACAGATTACCCTATATATTTTCCGCTCCTTTTTTTTTTTTATTTTCGATGTCATCTAATGTGACGTAAAAAAATATTTTTAATACTAGTAACGTGTAAGCTTTCGGAAATAACAGTGCATTAGTTATTTTAACAATATCTCGCAGTTAATTTTCGATTGAACCTAGAAATCTTTCAGAGACGTTTCACTTGGAACCAATTCCGCGCCGAATTTCTTTTCGCAACACCGCCGTGTGAAGATATCAATTTCGACTGTTTAATTTCTCAGCAATTACCGACATCTTCATCGGCAAATGTTGCAAGATTCCGAATGTCGAGAGTGTCGTACTCGAGGTGTGTATTGTGTAGAACTTACGTGAAAAGCACGTGCACGATGTCGCCGATCACTCCGTTGTGCCGCAGCGGGAATTCCGAGGTCTCGCAGATTGCTCTCAGCAGACACTCTCGCCCGGAATATCCGGAGCTGCGACACGAAGGAAGAAACATTGGAGGAAAGTCACGTGAAACTCCGCAGAATTGAGGGACACGAGCGAAGGAGTCGCGGGGGGGAGGCGGGTTCGTCGTTTCATCGTCGCGTGTGTCTCGCGTTTTACGATTCTCTAAATACCGAGATCGAAGACTCGTGCGCACATACGTAATTCCTGCCTACGTACAATAGCGGCGGCGGCGGCGGCGGCATCGCGACCGAGTCGGGCGATGTGTAATGCAATTCCCAGGTGCCCCGGCTGCTCGTAAAACGGTGGAGCTGGCGGTGCATTTGCCTGGAGAAGCCTCGCTGATTTCCCTTCTGTTCCGAGAGAGCGTCGCGATAAAACTTCTGCCGAGCGCAGCACGGCGCTGATACCCGCGATAATAGACCGCAGCGATCGATCCCGTCGTTGTTTATTTCACTAGGGAAAGTCTGGAAGTGTCACTCACCGATTCTGACGAAAGTCGGATATACTGTAGACAAGCTAAAAATAAGAGATACGTATTTTTCTCCCCAGGAGAGAGAGAGAGAGAGAGAGAGAGAGAGAGAGAGAGAGAGAGAGAGAGAGAGAGAGAGAGAGAGAGAGAGAGGGGAAGCTCTCGGGCGTTCAGGACTGATTCAGTCCCTCAGTGCTAATTTCATAATACATATCTGATCGCGATATCTTTGGGAACTGGAGAAAATGTCTTTGCGTTTTACAGCTATGAATTTCGCAATATTTTTTTTTATAAACGTTTTCCGGGTTTTTGGGAGTCGAGATGTATGTCTTTGAAAATGTGAGACTTCTGAGAACGTGTTTCAGAAAAATATAATGATATAAGATATACCTTAAAACTGTGAACTTTTTTAGATTTCGCAACACTTTTTTCCTTGAGTGTTTTTTTCAGGCGTTTTATAGAGGTTGAGAGAACCGCTCGCACGAAGTTTATTCCATAAACACATTTTTGATCACGAGTGAATTTCTTGGAAAATGTGAGGTTTACGAGAAAATGTGAGGTTTACGAGAAAATGTCGGAAAAAATTGTGTCGTGTGTATAATGCAATATTTCATAACAAGAAATTTATATTTCGCAACACTTTTTTTGTAAAAATATTTTGATACATATTCCATTGTGAGCGAATATTTTTTCAAAATGAATTATTGTATATGAGGAGAGAGGTTTCAAATGAGATTACATGGCGTGGTATATACTTTATAGCCATGACTTTAAGTTTTACATAAATTTGAAAATCATTACAATTCTAAATTTTATTTCTTTTAACAAAATGTCTCATTATTGCTTCTGCCAGCTTCAGGATTATTACAAAGGTGAAAATTAAAGAGAATCCCGTGCAAAACGACATTATTTTCTGAGTCGCTATTTTTGGGATGTATGAGATGTAAAGGTCGTGCTATAAGTAGATGCAGACGCGTCGCGTCCGGACCGGAGGGGACGCCGGTCTGACCCTATGTGCGTCCGTAACTACTTACAGCGCGGCGCCCACCAGTTGTTGTTTCAAGCTCGACGCGCGCGCGCGCGTGCGAGAAATCACCTATAAAAAGAAACACGTGTTTCTTACTTCTAGCCTTTCCACAAAGTATTTCAATTCCAAGCTTATCAAAACTGGTGAGAGGCTTTTCCGAACTTTTTACATTTTCAATCGCGTCAAGCGCTGGAATGAGATTCCGGTGATAATCTCACGATCGAATTATCCAAACAGTTTGTCACAGCAATGTATGAGACACGACGGTTTCACGAGATCTCGTGAAAATATCGTGCAACGCGAAACGAGAGGGAATTCCGTTCAATTACACTGTAAGAAATGATGTGTTAAATTTAACATATCTCATGTGTCTCAAATCATCCACTCTCATTTATGTGTTAATTTAACATACAGCAAATATGTTAAAAAATAACACACATAATACGTAAAAAGTTAACACAAAAATTTAACATTTGAACGCCGTCAAGAATCACAGTTTGTGTTAAATTGACATACAATGAATGTTACTTCAACATTTGGGAAAAGTAATGATCTCTGATTTAATGAAATGAAAATGTTAGATTGACATAATCTATGTGTTAAAAATCCAATCTTCACATGCCAGAAATGTTAACATTATATACATTTAACACACGATAACTACTATAATGAGGAAAGTAACACATTTTAGGTGTTGACTTCAACATATAAAACATGTCATGGCAAGAATTCATGCATTTACATATAAATTGTGTTGCTTTAATACTTGGAAATGTCATTTTAACACTTGAAAATAGATAATCTTAATTTAACACAAGGACAGTCTAGGTAACACAACAACGATATGTTAAATTAACACACGACTGTGTAGGAAAATTTAACACAAAACTTTCTACACACAAATAGTTTTAACAAAAGTACGAGATGTTTTTAACTGTGTAGCGAATGACAGGACTGTTCGAATTATTCGACCACCTGAAAAATGCCGAATGCCGTGCGAGCTAAATATTTACAGGTAGTTTGCCAACTGGCAAATTGATCGGACGGGAAACAGAGAGACACTGTGAAGGGATTATATCGGGGCTTTTGACACGGCAGAAGAAACCGCGTTAACCAACCAATCGCGTAAACGGCGATTACGTATTTGCTCGCGAACTTTACCTCTCGAATTTATTTTCCAGAACTCTATAGATCGCGGATCTGTCGATACTTCGTCTCCTTCTTTTAGCCCCGACGTTCCACGGCTCGAAGAACGTTACGTTCGGCGGTAAAACGTAGTTGGCCTCGAAGAAGTACGATAGAGAGATCGAACTTAGCGGATCTTCGAGCGGCACCGAGAGAGCGACAAAGATCTGCGGGGGGAACGTTAATCACCTGATTAGCGATTTCATCTCCGCGTTACGGGGAGGGGGGGAGGGAGGAGGTCTGCTATTGGAAAACTTTCAGCGTGGGAAGGATATTGTAGCTTTCTCACCGTACAAATTCTCTCTTTTCGACTTTATTATCAAGATCGTCTAAAAAACCAAACGTTTAAAGATCTGTAAGAAACCATCAAATATTTTGCGATTCTTTTCTTTTCCATTGCTAAATCTTTGAGCGCTGTGTGGTGTATAAATAATATTTTCTTGCTGTGCTATTTGTCTGTATAGGTTCGACTTGTTAGATTATTGCTTGAAAGATAAAATCGTTGTCTATAGACTTTTAAATGCGTTTGATTTTAAAATACTTAATTATTTTTGAGAGAGAGAGAGAGAGAGAGAGAGTCTATTTTCCTAAGGAATACATATAGTAAATTTCTTGATAGTAATTTTAATTTTCAACGGTTTCCTTTAGTTTCTAAAATAAATGGTAGCACGCACGAAACAGAAAGACAATAAAAATTGAGGCGGAATATCAATATGTTACTTGGTTATTCTGGTTATGTATTATTATTTCGATGTACTCACGCCCATATTGCTGTATTCCGGAAACGCCAGCTCTCTGATAGGCCTGTGCAGAATTTGTGCGATATTCGAACTCGCCGTCTTCGACAGCACATGATGGTACATCAACGTCGAGCTCAATACAGAAAATCTATAAATTAATAAAGCAGCGAGAGAGGTTAAACCGAAAATGTAGAATATCTGGTTTATTACATGTCATTGAAAAACGGATCACACGCGACGTATAAATTCACACGGTAATCTTGAGATTCCGAGAAGCGTCAATCAGAAACGACAGTACAGTCGAAACACAATTCGTTCGCGATTGTATATTGAAAGAGAAGAACGCTTATCTAAGACTATTAACCTAAGATATATAATCAAAAACTAAGATTATTTTCGGTGTTAATTATATATATTCTTGCTGGTACGTAAAGAGTAATACCAGGCAATATGCATACGTGAGACTATCGTCGTTAACACTACAGTAGCACTCATTAAAAAGACAATGGTTCTCCCGACAATAATGTTTTACACTGTGCGATTTCGGTTAGTAAGTAGCAAAAAAGGCGACGAGGTCCACACGGGAAACGGCGCGCGTGTTCGTGAGCTTACAAGATCTCTCGTAACCGGCAAGACATGGCGGCTGACTCGCGTTTGCTGAGGAGCCGTTTCGATCAGCAGACTCCGGAACTTGCGGACATCGATTGAAAGAGAGCGAAAAAGATTGTCGTTTTCGCGACGTTTCGACACGTAAAAACCGGTCTGCGAGTCCGCCACGGTAATGAGCGTTAATATGACGCGCATACGACGAAGACGTTCTCGCGATAATTAGTCCTTTGCGAACGCATTATCGGACGGTCGGAAACGTCGCGACGGTGGTCCTGCGACCATGCCAGAATTCGCGAAGGCGCGAATTGACAAAGCGACGAGAGAGAAAGAGAGAGAGAGTTCCTCGCCCTCGGTGGCGAATTCCCGCGCCGCTCGTGTGTGTCGAAATGCGATAATTTTAATCCCTTTGCTCGAGCGATATATGAGGAGGATTCTGAGGTGAACCGGACATTTCATAGTTTCGCTCTTATATTACATTTCCGTGCGTTTGAAATGCTAATTAAGCTTTTAATATCTTTTTATACATATTCCATCTCATACATTATACATTTAGCGGGGATAGAGGTTGAATGTATTTTGCAAAATTGCAAAGCAGCGATACTAAGGTCCCATACCCGCGGATTACTTCTCTCTCTCTCTCTCTCTCTCTCTCTCTCTCGCTTTCTCTCTCTCTTTTCTCGTGTAATACTTCGCGGTGTATTATTCCGCGGTGTATTATACATTCAATATTTCACGGCGCGCGTTACAGCCGCATAGAAAAAGAATGTGCGATATTAAAATACATATGATCCGACATCCGACGAGTACAGCGATGTCTCCGGTTCCTTAAATTTCTTGGGGCGAAGCTCGCTCGAAACGAGCGGGAAGCGACGGTATTTTCAGTCGAAACGATGAAATTACCTCGTTCCTCGCACAGGCGAATGTTTCATTCAACCTCAAGTCTGAGGTGAGGATTCTGGATTCCGTAATATGAGCGTATGAATGTTTCGACAGATTTGAGTGACTATGTTCCTGCGACGATGAGATACATCAGCCTCACTCTTCAATTTTGAGTGAAAGTATTCACTCCGCGACTCAGAGTGGGGAATTCGCTCCACAGGGTAGTCCGTAATTCGCACCTGTTATTTACAGAGCTATTCCCCATGGAAATTCTGGACAAATTTTCCTTAGCGCAAATATCGAGATAGGGCATGATTTCTATAGTTGATTTTTTAATATCATTTATTTTATTTATTTATGTATCAATTATTGTATGAGAAATCATTTTGTGTCCTCTCTCAGTATAATATCTTATTTCCAAACTGATAACATACGAAAAGAGACAAAATATAACAATAAAGTTAACAATTATAATGCCAAAAGAGGAAAAAGGCAAATCATAAAAAGTCTAACAAGATTTTACGACAGGTCTTAAGCTAGATAATGGATACGTAATAAATATCTAATGAATTATTATAAGTTTTCAATAAGAGACAATCGATTAAACAATTTAAACATTCAATATTGAGCGAATTTTCAACATAAAATATCTTTGAGAAGAATTAAGAGTCAGATAACACAACTCTGTTGGTCTATTTTTTAAATTGATCGAAAAAAATAATTTTATTATTCATTCGATCAAAGCTTCATTCAGCTTAGAAAAGTCCCGCTTTCCGAACGAAATTTCACTCGAAGAAATTTAGGAAACGTGAGGAAGCGAGAGAGGAAGACGGAGGGGACTCTCCCTGTGTATGGCGAAGAATCGCTCGAATGCAAATGCGCGGTATCAATTTTACTTCCCGAGCGAAGTTTCATTCGAGGAAATTTAGAAAATATGAAAAAGAGGAGGAGCACACGACAGAGGCGACTCCCTGTACACGAGCGAAGGATCACTCGAATGCGAGTGATGACGCTGGCTTTAGCTTCCGAGCGAAGTTTCAGTGAAGAAAATTTACAAAAAATACCAGAAAGATAGAGCGAGAGAACGGACAAAAGGCACTCGAGAGCGCGGAGAATGCGCTGCAGGAGCCGTCTCGACGTATCTCGCGCTGTATCCGTGCGTTATCTATCCTTTATATTTCATTATCTCGTCTCGCATTAACGAACCTTCGGCAGAGATTCACCGGCGGAGGAAGCGGAGGAGAAACGAAGAAAACAAGAGAGAATCGCCGAGTATATTGCACGTCGAGATTATCGGTGTGTTATCGCCTCCGTTGTAAATATCAGCGCGACGTCTCTATGCGCCGAAAAAAAATCCCGCGAGCTCTCGCACCGAGCGTTTAATTAAATTTGCATAGGTGCCGCGCTCGGGAGGTTCAGCCTCGGACCGGAGGTGGGTGGGGGGGGGCACATGGTGCGCTCCATGTAGCCGGAGCTCTCGGTTACGCGCTAAAACGCAATTATGATCTTGCCTACAATGCGTCAGAGAGTCCATGCGGCGGTATAACGGCGGCGGCGGCGGCCTCGCGATGAAAAAAAGATTCGAGAGCGACTTCGCATTAGCGCTTTCGCAGAGCGCGCGCGTGAAGCGGAATAGCCGCGGCTTAACCGCGCGTGTGCAAATGAGCTGCCGCGTTCTTCCAGTTCTGAACCCACAGATATTATTCCCGTTTTTAATTCGCCCTCTCGCGCTCTCCCTCGTCGACATGGCGTGGTGCGGCGCGACGCGTCACCGCTCTATGTATACAGTCTGGATTAATCAACGACCGATCTCTCCCTCCTACCCTATCCTCTTCCCCTTTGCCCCATCCTCGAGCTCTCTGTTGGCGTTTCTTAGGTTTTTCGAGAAAAAGGGTAGAGTAAGATTTCTTCTCCCTCGCGTTACGTTCGCAAGCGCGATCCTCTTCGTCTCCTCCCCCTCCCCCCTTTCCCCTTCCTCCTCCTCCTCCTCCCTTGCCGCCAAAAGCCGCTTTCCTTCTCGGCCGCTCGCTAACGACGGCCCACCCCGGTGTTTCCAGCGGCGACGACCGAATAGCTGTTTACCGCAGATGTTTTTCCCCCTTTTTACGAGGTGAAACTCTCCTAGCGTCTCGGATCTTCTTCCCTATTTTCGCCCGGAAGGAAGTCCTATCGGTGGCGCGACGGGTGGTTTAGGTGTCCCGTGGAAGTCAATAGAAACGTGCTGTTGTGCCGCTAATGTCCGACGGGTCAGTCGGTGCCTCGCTCGCCTACACAGACGTACACATTTCGGAAGATCACGCAGCACGTGCGGGCACACACACACACACACACATATTGTCGTGGCGCGCGCTTCTTTTACGATCCCGATAACACTGCACGCGCATTCGGTGTCGTTGTCACCGCCGAACGAGATCGGTTCTTTTTTTTCACGAGCCGGGAGATTCGGCAGAGGAGACATTGGATTGCGAACACAGCAAGGTGAGAAAGGAAGAGAGGAGGAAAGAGAAAGAATCTAGAATAGAATTTTCTGACTAGCACAGATTTTCATTAGAATTTCAATGTTTGTCCCCTCCGAAAAACCTTTGGTTATCCGATTTTCACGTCAATTGAGAATTCCATTCCTCGTATCAAACATGGATTTTTGTCTATAGATAGAAAAATATAATGGGAATTCGCGATCTTTTCCTTCAGTCGGTATATCTTCATCAAACATCAAACATATCTTCATCCCATATTTTCACACTCGTTGCTATATTCAATGGAATGAAAAATCGACAGAAAATAAAATTCCGGTGTAAAATAAAGACTATAAAAGAGGTTGGGGAAATTTCGGTTTGGAATGGCGTACTTAAGTATTTGTACTTGTCAAGTATGCATAAACAATCTCAGAACATTTCATATATTATACTTTGCTCAACATAAATATATAAAATGGGAATCGAAGAGAAAAGACAGCTTTGATAAAATATCCGGGGAAGATGAGATCGGTTCGAATTTCTCGCTTAGGACCGCAAGTTTGAGGCATTACGCTTCTAATCCGGATCTCCGTAGATTCCCGAATCAGAATCCATCGTTGAGAAATCGGAAAATGGATCCCAGTTAGATCCCGGAAAATCTTCTTTGTGTGGCTTGAATCTGTGTAAATTTCTACGAGAAATCAGACTGGAAACCAATTAGATACTAAGAAATGTTCCACGCGAGACTTAACAATTATACGTACTTCGGGAAGGGAAGGAGACGAATCCGGGTCAAAGGGCGATTAAACTGATAATTGGGATTTTCCTGCGACGAGTTAATTAATTTAGCGCGATGGCTAATAAGTTTGACACTCGTCGTTCCCTCCTAAAGACCGAATCACAAACGGGCGGCGCAGAAACGCAGAAATTCTCCCCGCCCCTCCCCTATTTCTCTCACGCGCGCGTGAGATTTATAATAAAGATTTATATAAAAAAAAATATCTGCGAAATATTCAGACTCTTCGCGGTACATCAATCATCGTAAACGCGCGTTTTCCTCAAGAGCACAGCGCTCGTCGGATTTCCGCTGGGAACTCTTTCCTCTCGCCGCGTTCTTTTCTTTTTTTTCGTCCGGACCCGTTCCGGTCATTATACTACCTCATGATCGCTTAACTTCATCGCGGACACAACAAAACGCGCCGTCGAGTCGGTCGGGTGCTTCACAAGTCGACAAAGAATTCGGTCAGTAACATGTTGGGAATCCAATTGAGATCGCGTGGAAGTCAACGATCGATTTGATATTCCTAAGATATTTCAGCGCGATATCCGGAAGGCATTGTGTAGCCATCGATGATCTATAGTCGTTCAGCTTACACTCAAGTCGGACAGATATATATTCATATATCGGCTGCGATACCACCAACTACATACCGAGCGGATGATCGGTAATCGGTCGTCTGTATGATATCTTGTAGATATCAAGCCGACATGTGGATATCGACTGTACATTGGCCGCGATATCGACAAAGTGCCATGCGGCGTCGATATCGATAAAGAAACTAGTCTCTACGAAATCGAACGGCCCGTAAAATCAGCGTCGGTATCGATTCGATCATCGACTCGTGAACACGCCAGTCCGCTCTCGTTCCGCCCGCGGATCCCTTTCCAAATCCCTTTCAACGGGGGACATGAGCTCCTGGGGGAGCTGCCTTCCCGATGCCGCCGACGACCTGTGAAGAATACGAAATCTCTTGGAATCGCGCGACGAGATCGCCGGCGAATGCACGCGGGAGACGCGACGCGCCTTTATCCGGAACGCGAGCCTGCGAGTCGCTCGATTATACTCGGAGAGTCGGAGCGCGGTTTGCCGCCGCGAGGCTCTCGATTCCGCGATATAAATCCGCGAACTTGTCGGAGCTTTGGGCAGCTGCGTATCCACACATCCATCCGAGCAATTTCGGTGAACCGTCGGCCACCGGGAGGCCCGGAGAGAGTACTCCGCCGTCCCCAGCCGTGGCTGCGATTCTCGGCGAAATTTTCGCGCGGACGGCCGAGTTCTCGCGGCCTCGCCCGCCCGCGTCTCCCTCCCCCTCTCCCGACCGCGATAACATGGAAAAGCGGACGATCCACTTTCGCAAATGAAGACAATGATGCATCATCTCCAGCGAGCTTGCGCTCTATCTTCCTTGCTTTTCTTCGTCGTCGTAGATAAGCAGGCCGTAAATTACGTTGGAATCATGCTTCGATAAAATTTCGCACGCTTCTCGCGCGGGTCCCGGGGATCGTGGGGGGATTCTCCGTTGTGAAGGGCGATCGATTCGGGTGAAGTTCGTGAGCGGGAGAGAAAAGGGGAGAAGGCGTGAAAAAAAGCGGGAAGTTGTCCTGCTGTGTTTGGCGAGCGTTGGAAGAGCGAGGGAAACGCACGCCCCGAATTTCTTGCGAAGTAAAGGGATGTGTTTATAAAACGACACAATTAATATGACGCGTTCCTCCTTTTTATATGATTTTGTCACATCAATTTTATTTGATTTTTTTATTTTACAGAATGAAGTATATATATTCCACGCAATCTCAGATTATTTTCACCTTAGCGTTATAAAATTAGCGGAGGGGTAGCTTTTTAATTAAAATCGCCTACACACGCACATGAATATTCCTGTTTCCCCGTAAGAATATTTGCCGAATGATACTTTTACGTCAACGGCGTGTAAACTCGATAGTGCTCGGAGGATCTAGTTATGCAGCTCATTTCTGAAAAAAGCGACCTGCGACCTGCGGAGTTAATCCGATGTTATTTCTGATGCGATGAGCCCCGAGTCGTTTAAACTGGCCATTTTCCGCGGCAGAAATGTCACGGAATAAAAGCCCAAGCCCTGTATCATCCCCCAGAGATGACCGCCGCAGAGCGCTGTAATTTTAATCGCGCGACTTTGACGATGTTGCACGCGTGTTCCGCCGCGGCGGAAGGGGTCGAAGGAGAGCCGCGCGTTAAGTGGGAGAAAGAGGAGGGAATTGAAATCGTGATATCCGCGCCGAGTTCTACGCGACAAATCGATGAAAAGTCGCGGCGCAAATTGGGATCGACGTAACGAGAGTCGCTCCCGGAATTTGTACACGCGCAGAGAAATTTACAGTAAAAGTTACCGTAGAATTTTGTGACCCGGGAACGCATATCGACGTTTCGCTTTAATTTATCGTCCTTCCGTTTCATAGGTTCTATTCATATTTCGGGAACTGGAGTCTGCTGTATTGAGAGAACATTTAATATGTTCCTTGGCAAAATTTTCGCGTTCCCCGGGAAACTTTACAAAGTCTACTCCCTCCCCCGTTTCGTACGTGCTATTTATGCTTTAGAAATGCTGGACTCTCCTGTTAAAACAATTTCCGCTATGCTTCTTAGCGAAAACAAATTCTGCTGCCAGTCTATTCCCGCGCTACTAGAAAACATGGTGACGTCGAGAAGAATTTATATGAAAGAAGTTATATTTTTCCCGCGCTAACGCCCGTAATATTTTCTCCTACGCAACAAATCAATAACAAATGACAGTACGAGGTGGAAAATGTCGACGTAACAAATCGCTCCTCGGATTTGTACACGGGCAGGATTTTATAGTAAAAATTACTACGCACAATTTTCTAATTCAGGAACGACGATTTCGCTCTCGATTTATTATCCTTCCCACACGCGCTATTTATATTTATTCAGGAATTGGAGTCCACTGTTGAAAAGTTTACTACGTCCCATGGTAGAATTCACGTTCTCCGACAATTTCTCGAAAACAAGTTCTTCCGTTTCATTCAGGTGCTATTTATACACGTCAAAGATTGAAGTCCAGAACCAGTGGAAAATTTACTGCGAACTGCTGATAATCTTTGCGTTGCTGTACATGTTTACTGATATCCCTGCGCTACCGGAGAACGTGAAAAGAGAAAGGAAAGAAGGAGGAATTTACGTAAAAGAGCCATGATATTTTCTCCGTGTAAACGGGTTGTTCTCCTCGCGTCGGGAATTTTGCGCGTCTCAGCGTTGGAGCGTGTAATTTAGTTATCTCGCGGAGTAACCAGCAGTTGTTGCACGAATCAGCATGCTTTGCTAATTATATTCTCGTAAGGGAATGCTACACGGAAAGCTCTCTTTCTCTCGCAGTAGTCGCGATTACTCAAAGCAGTATAATCCCTCCCTCTCTCTCTCTCTCTCTCTCTCTCTCTCTCTCTCTCTCTCTCTCTCTCTCTCTCTCTCTCTCTCTCGTACGCGATGCTCTCACGAAAAGTTTAAGAAAGCTCACTCCGCCTCTCTTTCGCTTAAAATTTCGTCCGAAACTACGTTTAAAGCCATGTCTCGCGTTCCGCTTATGTTCGGGCTGAGTGTCGGGAATATAATGTGTTGTATCGGGAAAAGATAAATGATTCTCGGTAGCTCGCGTAGCTGGAAACGTTTCAAGCTGGGAAAAGTTTCAATCGTTTTTCTTGCCATTCGTTCTCTTTCATTCGACGTGCGCGCGCGCGGCTGAGTATTTACCGAGCTGGTTTTCCCACCCCCTCGCGCACGATTATGGGATTTTATGCGATTACTTATGAGGAAATATTAGGCGTTTCTTCGCTCGGGCGTATTTGGCACGGCGAATAAACTCCCCGCCGCCGGGGTAAATCTTCTTTACGGCGTGGATGAGCCATTGAACGGAATTCGTGACGTTATTTGGGGTGGATATCGCGCGCGCACGCGGAAGTGCTCCTTCTCGTTCCCGTGGCATTACCTAAGGGTACATTGTGCGGAAGTAGGCCGGTTAACGCGGATTTTATTCGATTAACGTATTAAAATCAAGGTGCCCCGCGCACCCAGCGCGGAAGAAACGCGCCGCGAAGAGACGCGGCGCGGCGGCGGCGGCGGCGGCGGCGGCGAACGAGAGAACAAAACGCGCCTTCGGTTCCTGGCAAGAAAAATAAGCCGGGATAATCTCCGTCGACGTCGTTTGCCGTGGTTATGGAATCGAGCCTTTACCTTTCCTTTACCATTATGAGATTTCCCGACGTCAGCTATCCGCTGTCTGTGAAATGCACCGCATTAAACTACCCTTCCGCTCGGTTTCCGAACGGCGACCGAGTAGAGTAGGTAAGAGAGAGAGAGAGAGAGAGGGGGTGGAGGTGGAAGGCCAGGGATTGTGAGTAGAAGTAGAGGGATCGAAGACAGTTCTGCGACAAGTTCATCGAGCCTGCATGCCGAGTTTTTCGATAATCACCTTTCATAACCACGTTTCCTCAGTTATTCTTTCCATATCCCTTGTTCCGCTTGGAACATCGCCGACCATCCCCGACGGGCCGCCGTCGTTCGAGCCGATATCTCGTCGTCGTCGTGCCGTACCGCGGCACGGTATGATCAACCCCGTCGGGAAAATGCGACGGCGAGGCGGAACATCTCGCGTAATATATTATATTTATCGTGCTCCTTTCGCCAATCGCAAACAAAAGCCGCTAACGAACGTGCGACAAACGCGACGATTTCCCGTCAAGCGTCATCTCATCTCTCAAAGAGCCATCTCTCACTCTGTGTGTACCGAGAAAATTGTTGCAGTTGCTACAAATGCGACGACTCATCTGTTTCTCTATACGGTCAGAAGATAAATTTATGTGGATTAAGTAGCAAGTTAAGTAGCGTTACAAATCGTATTGAAAATTATCTTATAAATATAAGTGAGAAATTTTATGAGAAATCTTACGTTAAGTTGCATTCAAAATTATTGCGTTATATTATAAATGTTGAGATATATAGCAAAGAAGGAAAAATCCTGCATCTTCTCTTCCTCTACTATACAGAAATTTGAATTGGTTCATAGTAGCATAATAGTTTATCGATGCATATTATATACATTCATGCTCGCCAATTTGTACATAAATTGAATGTTTAGAACTAAATTCAAACAAATGTATAATTTATAGAGTTTACTTCAGGTATGAAAACGCTTTTAAAATGCCATAGGCCTTCACGGCTCATTTTCAATAATAACACCGTAAATTGTTCGATAAGTGTTCGACAGATAAAACTTATTTTCTGCAGTCTAATGGTTATAAGTGCTTTGGCCTTTGATAAATTTTATGAATAATTTCAACCGTGCAGCAGTGTAACGAAGTAGTGAAGTTTCCAGTGTCGAAAAATGTACATTCATTTCTTCGCGTTCACTCTTCTCCATTTTGCAGGTAAATATTGATACTATACGTTGATCTCACAATTGTTGCCTGAACTTGTTTGAAATGTTTAGCAGTGCATTTACATGGATTGTCGACAAATTCAGTAGCAAGAATTCTCGGTGGTTCAATCACGAGTATCGAAGTAGCACCTTATGCAGTAAGCAAACTGTTACGTTCTCTAAAATCACACCTCGATAATAATTTTTTATGCTCAATATTATCGACGAATAATATTTTTATGCTTAGTTGGTGTTGATGATAAATGATAAATACACATGCAGTGCTATTATAATCAACAGACGTTGGGCTGTAACAGCAGCTCACTGCGTAAAGGCTAGAGATGCGTAAGTGGAAAAAGGACGAAATAAATTTGCAGAAATGGATTCGGTTAATGTTTGCTAGACAGTATGCTTTGTATCGTAGTAGGACTCAACGTAATATATTTAGCGTACGCAGCGGAACGTCTTTCTTATACGAAGGTGGTACCGTCCATAAGGTGACTGATGTTATTGTACACGAAAATTTTGATAACGTGACATTTGACTACGACATCGCCCTGATCAAAGTAACACCTGCGTTCACGTACGGAAGTTCCACCAAAGCTGTTGGCTTACCACAAGGAGATGCTGAATCTATCTGTAAGAATTGGGGTAACGTCTGCGGTTGGGGGTTGTATAGAGTAAGTATTGTTGTTATACACAATACAATGTATCCCCAACGCACAATGTCAAGAATGAAACAACTGACGTTATTTTTACTTCGCGTCGCGATATCTGTGCGAGAGAGGTTAAACTTTTGCGATATATGCAGGAGGTAGACGATAGCATCGATAATACTTCTTCGGAGGAACTGCGGTGTGTCCTATTGCCGCTGGTAGGAAAGAAGCTATGCAGCGAATATTACAAATTCTACCATAATTTAACACCTCGAATGACATGTTACGGATTTCAGGAGGGTGTATTCGATACTTGTCAGGTAACGTGTGAATACAAAGTGACTTCATTCAAAAAAGGACAAAAAAGGACTCTGAAAAAGAATAATTTACGATATAGCGCGCGCGCGCGTGTGCGTTTTTAATATTTTTTATTCTTCATATAACCAGGGTGATTCCGGCGCAGCATTAGTTAACAAAGACAACATTTTGCTTGGTATAACTTCGTGGGGATATAAATGTGGTATGCCGTATTCACCCGGTGTATATACTGATGTCATATTTCTTCAAAATTGGATTAAATATAAAACTGAAAATTGAATATATAAATGAATGTAAAAATTTATTATCGTAGGTACATGCGCAAAAAATAATACTGTGTGTGTGAAATATAATGTAATATAATTATCTTCTTCAAGATTTAATTATTATCGATGTGTTTCCTTAAATAAAACTATACATTCTTTTGTACAATTTACATTGTTGATACCATGCGGACATGAAGCAAATAATAAGTTCTAACTTAATTAGGCTTATTCTTCTAGAAAATGTAATTCTGGATTATCATGATATTAGTTGAGATTAATATTCTTCATAAATGAGATATATTTTTTATATGAGATCCACTTATCTGCAATATCTACCATTTTATATATGAAAACTATGAACTACGATATCGTCAATTAACAAGTATCGGATTTTTGTTCTTGTTCGTGCTTATTTTATTTGTCATTTTAGACACTTTACTGTGTCACGGAAATCGCACATTATTAGCTTATCGTCCGTTTCTAATATTGAACAAAAATCTGCGAGAGAGAGAGAGAGAGAGAGAGAGAGAGTATTGTCGGCCACTTATTATTACTAGCTGCTTCGATATTAACGATAGAGCGATCATCGACCCGACCTTTCGCGAGGCGTGGCAAGAGGATACTTGGAAAGTGGGTCAACGAGCGCAGCTTTTTAAATAGCTGCCTCCCATGATTTCGAGCGACTTTAATCTCGAGCGCTTTTCGATACCTACCATCGACGGAAATATATATCCAAATATGTCGTTGTTATAATCATACCCAGCTGCGCGTCGCAGCATAAATCCCAATGTTCGCGATGGCGCGATGGTGTATTAATTGCAATCCTTCTCATAGAAATTTATTAGCGTCTTCCCAGATTCCATTAGAGCAGAGATTCCATTAGAATTCCCAGATTTGGAGTAAAATTCAAATACGGCTCCTCTGTCTGCAATCGAAAGACAGAGAAACACCACTGGAATCCGCCCTTTTTTCAGTCGGTAACGTCGATATACCTTTATGGTATCAAATAAGATACCAATTTTTATAATATTGTGTTTAGTAGAATAAAAAATAAAAAAATAGAATTTTAATGTAAAATGAAGATCAGAAAGAATATTGAGAAAATTTTGATTCTTTTTTGTTTAATGTAAATGTTAAAATAGTTTTCTATTTAAAATGATATATAATATGTATTTTTGTGAAAAGGCATTTATAATTTATTTAAAAAAAGAGATTGAGCAGAATACGTGAGACAGTTTGAGTACATTTACGTTTTTTAAGTATTTATACTCATAAAATATTCGTAAATACTCAAAGTGTTGCGTAAATACTGAAATATTTTCTTTAATATAAGAATAGAATAGAATATATATATATATATACACACACACACACACATATATATATATATATATATATATATAGAGAGAGAGAGAGAGAGAGAGAGAGTTTTGGCAAAATGTTTGAAAGAAACAAATGGGATTTGTTTTCCATTTGATAGAATCTTATTTAGGGCTTTCTCGTTTCGAATCACATTTTTCAAAAAACATAACACTTTTGATCCGAATTTGCATAAACTTCCCGATCAGGATCCACGTTTCTCCGTGAAATCGGGATGAATCCCAAGCAATTTTCTTTTGAACTCTCTTAAGCGAAGTCTTTCGCTCAAGACTCTCGAGTAATGCTCAAAACGACTCGCATGCTTGTTCTCGTCGAATCGTTTTCGGGCCGGGGACTTCGCCACGGCCATCACCGTGCCGTTCATTATCCGCTTAACTCGCGGTGGCCGACTAATTGACGCTATTAATCGCGATAATTGGCGCGTTCTCGAGCGCGACGACCCTCACGGTGGCGCGAGGTCGCGCCAGTCCCGGCGAAGTTGGAAGAATGCGACTCCGCCGCGAATTCTTGCTGGCTCTCTTGTGCTTCTATGTGCTTCTGCGCGATATTTATAAGGCCGCTTTATATCAGGCCAACGGCGAGCTCGCGCGCGATAAGAGATACCTGGTGTACCCGCGGCCCGGCGAAACATATGCGAAGTCGAGAGTTCAGGTAAAACGCCAGGGAACGCGCTCTGAAATGAGCGAGCAGGTTGCTTCTCGATCTCGGCGGTGTCGCGGGAGATTCGTATTTGTCGAACGTTGTGGATCTTGTCGAGGGAAGTTGCTTGATGTTAGGAGTTGTAATATAAGAGTTATAGTCAACACAAGAATTGATGTACAATGTTGGGAAGTAGCTTTGCTTGTACAATGTCGTTCTGCCGTTATAAGTTACTTCTTTCAGTGACGACGTTATTTTTTCGCGTTAAGTAGCGGCAGCGATAACGCGATAACGCACTCTTCCGGGTAACGCGCAGTATAAAAATAATCGTCGCTCTTATCGTTATTTTGCAGATATAGAAAATGTACATGTAATCACATAATAAATAACAGAGTCGTTTCGTCGCGGACGAGTGACGCGTAAATAGACCGTTGCTTCGTATAAGAGAAATACGAAAGAAAAATCGGACGAAGGAATATGGAAAACCGGGACAGCGTTGAAGCCTAAAAAGAAGTTCTTCGAAATTTATGAAAAAAAAAAAAGAATAACGTAACGGGTGTTGTAGCGATTCGTTATTATCTGGAGCAACGCTAACGCGAACGAGCTGCCGTTTTATCGGGTGGATAACGAATAATGACGATGCGAGTTGCTTTTCAAAGACAACTTTCCCAATTATGTCGATACGGGAGTTACCGGTTAGACAATGAGAGTTGGTTGATAATGAGAAACGTAGCGCCCCGGTAATAAACGGAGGGAGAGACGAGGTGAAAATTGCGCGCGTCGAGCAAGAATTGTGTCGCTCGGTGTCGCTCCGCGCGCATATATGATCGCTCGTGAAACGTTCGTCACGGCGCGCGCTCCGATCGCGCGCCGGTCCGTTCGAATTATCGGGGATCGGGGATCGGGGCATTTATTTTCCAATCTAATTTCGCGCGTTCGAAACGTCGATCGCTGGCAACGTCGTCGGTGAGTGGGTGACTCGATCTCTCCGGCCAGGGCAAACGCGATCGAGCGCGCGCGCGCGATGACACCTTCCTATATTTGAAAACCGTTCCAGTTAATCTTCGGCCTCGGTATACCCATGGAAGTTGACGTCAGCATGATTATCGGCTATGTGTTCAAATTTAATTACGCCCTGCCGCATAACGCCTCGTACTTGACGGATCCATACGTCCGCTATGACAGATCGATCAACGGCCCTGTACAGCCTGATGGAAATGACGCTTCATCACCGCCGGGCGCGAAAGGTATCGCACGTTCTTCTTTTCTTTCATTCAGCTGACAAATAACTCACGTTCTCAACACCCTCGTCGATGATTCGAATCAGCGAGCACGCGTCCCGATGTTTTTATTCGGATGAATTTACACACACACACACACACACTCTCTCTCTCTCTCTCTCTCTCTCTCGTCCGCGCTGGAGTTCCTATGACAAATCTGCGATAAACTCTTCACTCAGGTGCGATAGCGGTATTAATTTCTTGAGATTTCAATTGGATGTACACTTCATTGTTCTTCCACGTCAGACTGTCGGCTGTCCAATTACGAAGCAGAAAGTTGCTTCCGTTGTTGATTATTTTCGTTGCTTACGATAAATATCTGTCGTGATTTTGCACAATATATATATCTCAGATATATTAATTTCTTATATTATTATTATTACCAATCAATATATTACAATAACTGAACATATTTGCATGGAAAAATTCGAATTTGCCGTTGTCCGAGAGAGCAGACGCAAGGCCGGTTGTTGGGACACAGAGGCAGATTTCTAATCAATTAAATAATTCTTTTCCGTTATCCCGATCGAATCCTAATTCAGCCGAGTGTTCGGAAAATGTCTTCGGTCGCGGTAACGAACCTCTATCATTTCTCGTTAACGAATTTTCGTCTTACCTTTCCCCTTGGCGTGTGCCCTTCCTCACGCTTAAACTTCACATTCAGAACTCGCGCCAACTCGCCGTGTGAGAAACAGGTCAACCGATCGGAAATCATCAGCCCCGCGCGATGTCGCAACTCTCATTATTGGAACTCCAGTCTGCTTACATCACGCCTGCCCGCGCCGTTCCCCGCGAGCTTCCGCGGGAGATGAGCTTTCCGCGCGCTTACGCGCTCACACGCTCCTCTCAGGTAGAAAATTGTCAATACCCTCGAACGAGAGGAGGACGGTTAGGTGTCGGGGAAGAAACGCGAGATTATATAAGAAGTAGCGTTGCAAGATGCATCGAGAGGAAGCTCGAGTGAATCTTTGCCCCTCGATATCTGACGAGTACACTCGGCACTCGAGGACCGAGGAAGGAGGCTCGATGCTCGGGATAAGGCTAGGATCCTTTCCCTTTGGACATTAATAAGGCTACTTCAATTGGTTGCGTAGCCCCGTGCCTACTCACCCTCCCTCTCCCTCGCACCCTCTGCTTTTCCGCCCCGCTTACCATGGATGTTAATCCCGCTTCTGCATCCGAAGCCCTCTCTCTCTCTCTCTCTCTCTCTCTCTCTCTCTCTCCCATTCGCTTTGATCTCTTATTAATCCCGGCCGAAATTTCGCTCATTTCTTCCCTTTTCTCTTTCTTCCTTTCTTCCTACTTACGCTACATCACACGTAATATCGGATACGTAATAAATTATGACACGTCTCACCCTCTTTCGGACATTCGGCTATCATGACATTAATCGTTCGTGGAAGCGGGAAGAAATGATAAAAGTTTCACGTTCTCTCTCTCTCTCTCTCTCTCTTTCTCGTTCAAGCTTATCTTGGATAGATAACGCGTGACGTACACTGAAAACAAGTCGGGTAAGAAGAGGCAAGGTCTAGGCAAATTTTACTGCACGGACTGTAATCTCGAGGCAAATGGAACAAAGATCGTAACGTAGGAATTTGAATGACAAGATTCAGTCGACGATAAGAGGCGAAGAGCAGTTGAAGGAACAATATATGTATTTGTGCAGGACGAATAAAAATGTTCGTTCGGCACGAGAACGTCTCTGTCCAGCGCGCGCTTTGATCGTTTGATCCGCGCCTAATCATCGCTCTTTCGCAGACGAGGCGGCCTTGATATCCAGATGGGAGTATTACGAGATCCTTGAATCGATTTTCGAGCCGATGCGTTCGGGCAAAGCCTGCCTTTTAAAAAGCATTTGCGAGGCCGCGGCGGTGCCTTTCGGGCGAAGCCGCAGTCTGACTGCGCAGCTCGTCCACGCTTTCCTCACGTAAGTGTTAATCCGCCGAGTAGTCTCTTAGAATAATCTTTGCTAAGTCTCGTGTAGCGCCCGCGATTAAGGAATTACGTTACGTTACGTTACGTTACGTTTGCCGTGCCATTGTTACGGCTTAGGGAAACGTGAACGGTTTACGTTACACGTGCGCGCGCGGCCGTGTTACGCGGCGGCGTACCTGCGACCAGCGCACCTGCGATCAGCTTGCGAAACATTTGTTCCGAGGGAGAAAAAGGAGAAGGTAGAGCACACATCGTGTTAACGACGCTGCGATATTTTGTGCAAAATACTTTCGTGTCACGGCAATCGCTCGCGTCGAGAAGAGAAAAGAGAAACGAACGAACCAAGTCTCCGTGAGGCTTTGTTGATATTCGATTCAATGCAAAATAAGTGAAGGATCGGTGGGAATCAGTGCAGGATTATCGAGAGCAGCGCAATGAATTATAAACATAAATAGCACAGAAGCAAAAAACAAAAGCGGAATGCCCGGACGTTTCGGACTTATTCTCGAATCGTTCTCAACGGCATCGATATGAGAAGCGAAATCTTATAAGATTAAGGTCGCAGGGAAACATTACAGGACTGTGATAAATTATTAAACTCACAAGGGAAGCGCAACAAGTACGCGAGTAATGGTTAAAATTTACAAGTCAGTGCGAGAAAAGCAAGGACTTAGTTGGAGAGCTTGCTTGATCGTTAATTGATCGACATTTGTCTCGTCTCTCTCCGCGCGATGTCCGCACAATTCCGCACTTTACGTCCAGAGATTACGTCCACTGACTCGATCGGGGAAATAATCTGCTTACATTTTAGGCCCTCGACCACATCCGAGCCGTTCAGACACGCCTTCGATCAAGAGTATCGAGCCGCTGAAGTTGCAGGGCGACGGGATCGCGGGAGTTGCGAGCGCTTATTCACGGAATGCCCGGAGAGTCTTTTGGAATACTTCACCGAAATAACCGAGTGATCGTATCGGCCCGCCGGCGACGTTATTATTCTCTTTCGGCGACGCGCTCTGGAATTAATTTCTCCTTTTCTTTCTTCCTTTTTTCTTTTTTTTTTTTTTTCCCATTATCAGAGACCCCTATTGTCCCCCGTAATAATAAGCGTCGCGGCATTAAAGATCCGAACGTTCGCTCGGGAAGTTGCTTAATATCCCGTCGGGGAAAACAAAAGGTTAATTAGCAAATTATCACAGGTGGGCTCGCCCCGGCTGAAAGTTCGTTAATTTTCGCGTAACCTCTTCCTCCACGGCGTTTTCTATCTCACGGCGGAAGTCTCAGAAGAGCAATAACGACGTCGTCCGCGGCAGCGCGCGATAGAGATTTATAGAAAAATTGACGCTGCGACGGAACACACGAATGGAACGTGTAGGAGCCGAAGCCGATGTACGCGCTGCGGATATTAATTAGCACGTCTCGTTGCTGTGCTTGAAGATTTATGATAATTGACGCGACACCTGTTCACGAATGTTCACTCTTTATCGTGATTGTCGAAGTGGGTCGAAGAGTAGTGCTGGATTGCAGAGAACGCCTCATTACCGCCAGGAGCTACTGCTGTTTTTTTTTTCTTTTTCAACGGTGGTGAAAACGACGTGTTTTCTCCATTAGCAAAGCTAATGTAATTACATTTTTGGAGCGAAGGGGACGGGTGTAGTGTAGTCGTTGCCTTTACCGTTACTTTTCACGTGCGGAATACGCGTGCACGGGATGGATGGCGACGAGCGTCGTAAAGAAGTTTCTTCGAAATGTAACGAGGAAAGTAATGTCTCATGTTGCTTCGTGAGTTAACGATAATGGCAACGAGTTATTATTAGAAATAAGAAACGATAACGGCTACGAGTTATTTTTTGACATGAACATTTCAAAACATTGACATTTCAAAATGAGCAACTCATGTAACGGTAATGAGGTACTTTTTTCAAAGTGAATAACGGTAACGTTAATTGTAGAGCTATCATTTCAAATGAGTAACGATAACGAGTAATTGTTGGGCTCGTTTAATAACTGGTCACTTCTCAAAAGTGACTCACCCTAGCTTGATTTGGATCAAGGTTAATGCGCGACACCGCGGGAAAGAAATTACGTTAGGAAGATGCGGGTACAACCGCAGTATTCTTTTTAATAACAGCCGTACGGTAATTATAAATGCCCAGTCCTCGTTTCGGCTTCTACAAAGGAGAAGGATCAATAAGGACATTTTTCTCAAGACAAAAGTTTTAAAAGTTTCGTTGCTCAAATCTTTGCCTCTTCTTGTTCATTTTATTTCTTTCTTTCTCGTTTTTCTTATTTTCTGTTTTATTTTTTTGATGTACCAAACATTACGATCATATTTTCGACATCTTTTTAATGACCGTACAATGCAAAAAAAATTGTTCTTTGACAATCCAGTAGCAGGGGAGGCGGAAAAACGCCTTTATTGATCTTTCTCCTTTCGAGCGGGCCATTTTCTTATCGCACGCAGCTGTTATCGAGAACGCGAGTATTGGCAATAACGTCCAATATAACTGCGTCACGTCCTGTCGCCGACATCCTTTGCGTTTCTTCATTCGGCATGCATCCTCCGTCGTGCCCGCTCGCGCATCCGTTTGCTCCTTTCTTGGCACCTTAACATTTGTAATATCAGCTTTGACAATTCGCGCGATCGTCCTAGCTCGTAATTCACTTTTCACGAGAAGGAGCTCCGTGTATCTCGGATCCATTTCCGCGGAAATGTCCTGAAAGTAACAAGAGTAAGACCGAAGCGCAAGCACATTTTTTGCCTTTAATAGAAACCTGAGCGTAAAACAATCGATATTTTCTTGTGGAGAAGACCCTTTTCCATCACTTCGTATAAATTTCACACCTTAGTAAATTATTTATACGAAGAATACATAGACATTGGTTTGCGTAATTAAATTTTAACTTTAATTAGTTAATTTAGTTTTAATTTAACGTTTAAGTCAGTCTCGTTTTAAGTAATTCTAAACTTAACCAAGTTAATTCCAAATATTCTTAACTTTGAACGTAACTTAATTAAACAAATATACTAACTCGTCCAATCCTGCATGTTACAAAGGATAAGAGAGAAGTTCTGAGTTATTTATATTTTAAACTACGTGGGGCTCGCATATCGTTTATAATACCTCGAAGCATCGTGGTTTTATCCTTTATTATGTTGTGAGTTGCTGTCATTCCAAACATGCTACTCTCGCGTTGCTCTTCTTTGTTGACACGGGTTAGTTTCTGTGAAAATATTCCACAAATCTTTCGCCTTACTATATTAAAATAACAAATCCTAAACAGAGGGACCTTGTGCAAAGCGAGAAGGTCCTTGTGCAAAGTTTGTGAGCTTAGAGAGATGCGTGCAGCGAAATTTATAGAGGAATATTTTAACGATAAGTCGCTTAATCTGAAGCTTTGCGTAAGTGCCTGTCTATCGCCTACGCGGCAACCACCGAGAATCTAGTCTGATGAGGAAGAGGGTCTTTAGTATGCAGGAGGATATGCGGATTCCTGCCGCTCGGAGGATTGTTTTGCCTTATCGGGGAGAGTGTATGGGCACGGGGAGGAATTGCCTTATTGTTAGTTCTACTTTGCGCATACGCGCCGCCGCAGAATATATTGTTCTTGGAGATGGATCCGCCATGGAAATTGAATTACAACTTCGGAACGACGTAATAAAACTCCTCGCCTTTGTCACGCGCGTATCCTCCGTCGCGCTCGCCGAGCTTCTTGTCATGGAGGTTTCTCGCGCGACAGCACGAAGAGGAAGAAAAAGGAGGAGCGAAACGATCCTCTAGGCTACTTTCTCTAGGCGCTTTCGGCGAGAGCTTCTGCACACTCGCTCTCTAGCTCTATTGATCCGCAGAGAAACAGAGCGTGATCAGCGCGGTGGAAATATGGGCTATGTTTACCGCGCTCGATCGAGAGCCAGAAGCAACCGTTAATCATTCATCTTGAGCGCATCTAAAGCGCTGATAGGCAATGAACATGCAGGCTGGTTGAAAAATCCAGAAATGATTAAATTATTGGCGATGTCTCTGTGTCCTTGAAGCAACCTTGGAATGACCTGTCAAGGTGACCTAAGAAATTTAAATGGGTAGCTGCATTTTTATGGACAGGATAACTGACGTCGAGACTTTCCGCAACGCTATAATGTTAGATTCGGATTTTTAGGTCAGGAGTTGGAAGGGTTTAGCCATCACGCTGAGGTTTCTTGATCGGATTTTGCCGTCATTATGTTCTATATGTAATATATATTGAAGGAAAACAAACACGAAGAGGAAAAGGAAGAAAATGGTATATCGTTTTTTCGCCTCTTCCTCCTTGTTTTCGTTTTCGTTTCGACTCGTTTTCCTTTTTCTCCAATTTTTTCCTTTAAGTGGCACGTACAATCGGGCCGCTGCGGATAATGAATTCTCCGATACCGCCATTGTTGGCCGGCGTGATAAACTGACCCTGCATGCGTCTTCTTTTGTTTCAGAAATGCTCCGTGTGCTGTTACGTAACCATTTATTTTTTAGTCCGACATCGATTTCGCGCATTGTATCCCGTGATCCGACTTTTCCCGCTGCAGGGAGAAACGATTGTGTGACCGCGGCAGAAGTGTCACCCGTTGCGTCGTCGAATAAGCAAGCATTCGATCGTTTCGATTGTTCGATCGCATCAATTTATTATACCGCCTATTAATTATTTTCCCAGCAATCGTCAGAGAAGTAAAAGTTCATCGTCTGAGATCCTTGCTTCTGTATTGCAATCTTTCAAGGGAACGGCCGATGTGAATGACGTATTCCAAAAGTATGAATTTCATTCCACAGATTTGTTTAAATACACGAGAGAAATATTGTAATGGAAATTATAAAAAAAATTTGTAATTTTCTTGAGCCTTATGAAAAGAGGCTGTAACCACAACAAATTTGTTTAAAAATATCATGCGTGTTTGATGTCTCACCGCACAATATTATTATTATTTGAAATTTGTTAATTATCCAAACATGAACATAAACGTAAATTTTGCGATGAAGGAGCCAGTTGGTATCCTGTCGATAAAATTTGGAAATATGGCGTCCTCTTAATTAGAGACCGTAGAAGCTTTGCGTAAACCCCCTTCTTTGAGATGTATCTTCATCCTCAGCTAAATAGTCGCGAGCAAACCGACTGCTGATTAACCACGCGACGAGCGCAAACACGTGTTTCGCTTTGCATTTGGTCGTCCGAAGTGGTCGCGGTAGCCGAGGAGAGGATTCCGTGTACGTAACGAGGGTGAGTTTTATGGGGTCGTTCGGCCGCTGTAATTCAATTTAACGCCGACATTGCGGACTCGCGCCGGTTTACGAAGATTCGAGAATGCTTCAAGATTATACGAGCCCGCGTCGACACTGATTCTTTCGCGGGACACAATCTTACCCCTCCGTCTTGCGGAACTTGAGAGAGCATTGAGCGAAAAACCACGCTTATTCCCTCAACCCTTCAACGCAAATTTGCATCAGAAACAGAAATAGAAACATCTGTTCGTTTCATCCGACGATATACATCAGGGGATTTTTATAATCGCGATTTTTTCGTGAAGAGAGATGAATCGAAAGTCACGAAGAATCACGTGCGTGTGTTTTCGATACATTTTGTCATATTTGACTATATAAAATTACGTACAATTATGTATCTTTTATTTTGCTGAAATATTTTGCTAGAAACTATCAACTGAAACATACGCTCTTCCTTTCCTCCGAGATGATACTAGTGTTAAATTAAATAAATGTTTACATGAAAAGTTATTTTTAATTAAATCGCACGTGAGGAGGTTACAAGCCCGAGAGAGAAAGAACGAGACTTATTGACCGAGACATGTGTCGTGCTTATGCATTTTCATGCGATCCGTGTGCGTGTTACATAACGGACGTTATCGCAGGATTTCAAATATTTGTCCAAACTGTGAGCATGCTCGCGCGCGCTCTCGCTGTCGTCGATGCGACGAAACGCACTGTGAAACGCGGTCATTATGTATGCGTTGTCGGCGGTGGGAATCGCTCGTCGCCGTTATATAAACGGCGTCACGGGTCTTCGAACCCGTCGTGCAATTCGGCTGCGACTTCGGGAATGGCGCAAACATTTGCGCTGGGGTGTTTAACGGTTCCCCGCGACACACGAAACGCGACGCCTCAAACCAATCCAGTTTGCTACTTCACGTAGTTCGGCGTCGTTTAATCGGCCGGGGAACCCTTGTCGTCGTCGTCGTCGTCGTCGTCGTCGTCGTCGTCGTCGCGTCGCGTCGCGTCGCGCGTCACGGCTCTCCACTCTGCGGAAGATGATCAGATCGATTGTTCTTGCTTTGTTCCTGCTTCGTTTATCGATCAACGTCGGGGGATGCCCGCGGGCGGGCGACACTCGCGCGAACTTGAATTGCACGGACGACATGACCTCACGACACAAGCTGAAAAGAAGCCTCACTTTCCCCGACACGTCGATGCTTCTGGTATGTAGCCGGTTGAGAACCGGCGAATTCTATTCTACATTGTAACATATTCTACATTATAACACAAAGAGCTCCGCGATTCGCAAAAAAGATTTCACACAAAATCAAACGGGGGGATGTTAATCTTGATGAATATTCGTCAAAACTGACAAAATTGCAAAGGTGCTTAAGCGCTGCCATATTGGATCCGCCATTACGAATTTCTCCTTGATTCCAGATTCATAGCCAGCGACTCAATGTAAAGAAAAAAAAAAAACCTAACCTGGGTGTATCAAATTCAATGCAAATTCGTCGAAAATTGGCAGAGCTATTCATGGTGCCTCATGTACTAGCTAATTGGTCACAATTGCTTCGTCTCGCCCTTTACGTTTACGTTTAAGAACTGCTTATGAAAATTTTATTTTTATTCGTTTCGCAATTTACGGGCGGGGGGGGGTTATAGCAGGGTTTCGCCGTGACATTCTCACCTGTACATAATTCCGAGCGCACGATCGTGTCTTCCTACGTCGTCCGTCCAATTTTCCGCGACAGTTCCGCGTTTTCGTGCGCGCCTCACGGCGCGGGGGGGGGGGGGGCGCATCGCCGTAGTTCCCGACATTTCGTCCTTTGACTGAGGAGCGTGAAGAAAATCGAGCGAGCGGAAGGTTCGTCGCTCGCTGCGACCGGCCGCAATTCTCGAGACAACGAGAGCCGCGTGTTTTGTGTTTTTCGGCAACGCGCTTAATTACATCGCTGCCGCGAGCCGGCGTGCTCGGCGTGAAATTATTAGATTCTCGTCTCGACACGGCCGGACACGAGCATGCGGTGCAACAACGCGTTCTTTCGGGGCTCATTTTATTTGCGCACAACAGCCGAGACGCTGAGAGCGCCGCGGACACGACATGTGCCGGCGCGCGTATGAATTTCGATAAAACCGCGAATTTCCAACGGAGAATCGTTCCCGAGCTGAGGGAGCGGCGCGGTGTCTGCCGGTGTCTGGTGAGGACAGTTTAACGAGATTCGCCGTGGGTTTTGTGAAACGAGATGAAAAACGTTTTTACGTCGCGACGCGAAGCCTCGCCGACCGACGAAATCGATACATTCCATGGACCGCTGACAGATCACACGCTGTTTTCTGTGACAAACGACAGAGAGAGAGAGAGAGAGAGAGAGAGGGAGAGAGAGGGGGGGGAGATAAAGTGTACGTCTAATCTGGGACTTAAGTCGAAAAATGGAGTTTCGATAGCGTCACGTTTCGGAAGTTTCCGCACGCGCGCGCGCGGCGAGTAAATATATATTTTTATTAGAGAGACGCACGTAGATTTTCGTGAGTACACACACACACACACACACACACACACACACACACACACACACACACATACACACACACACATACACATACAATATATATACATATATATATAATTCGTTATGGTCGAATTTCAAGTTTTATATAATTGTATACATACGACAGATGCCTGTCATTTTTTCACAATCATTTTTTCTCTGAGAGAGAGAGAGAGAGAGGCAGAGGTATTACTCTCGCGATCAATTATTCGCGCATAATGTCAGCCGTTGGCGCGCTCGTATTGTTTGCAGGCAGGTACGTCGGCCGGTCAGCCGGCATTGAGAAAGAAATATACCGGGCGTGTGTCGGCTCCTTTTTTCGCCAGCATGTATTTTCGCTCCAGCGCAGCCCTACCCTCCTCTCTCCCGTGTCCCTATCTGCCCATCTATCTCACGGGAGATCGAGTGAGAGAGAAAGGGAGAGAGGAAGGGGGAGAGAGAGAGAGAGAGAGAGAGAGAGAGAGAGAGCGCACCGCCACCGCTCCACCGCCATCCAGATTCTCCGGCAACGATTCTACGCGGAAATTTGCGGTTTTATCGGAAATTCGTACGAGAGAGGCGGGTCGCGTGCGCTCCGCATGAGCCCGGCGCGGAAATTGGATCAACTTCGTCGTGCGATCATCCGGAATCCACCGGCGCCCGGTCCATCGCAGGGGTGTGTATCCGTCGCGGAAAGGCAGGCGCCGACTCGCGCGCGTCGCTCGTTCGAATTCGATCACGCCCGGGTCGTCTCGAAAGTATTATTAATTCGACACTGGAAATTCGACCTTCCCCTCCAACCCTCCGGGCGAGTCGGCAGGGCGGACCAGGAGGAGAAGCAAAAAAAGTAAAAATGCGCGGAGAGTCCGCGGATCACACAGCGCAGGTGTCCCTCTCTCTCTCTCTCTCTCTCTCTCTCTCGTTTTTCGGGAGCTACCTCGAAAACGTTTCTCTCTTAAGCGCGCGCGCGCGCTCGCGCGTTATTGCATTTGCCGGCGCTCAGCTACGCTATCTCGCGCTTTTACAGCTGATTTTCGGTCTGGGCACTCCGCTGCAGCTGGATCGCGAGAGCGTGATCGTGGGCGTGTTTACAAAAATGCAGTACACCCTGCCGAGCAACGCTACAGATTTCACGGAGCCGGGGGTGTATTACACGCGGGCGGGCGGCAGCAGATGGAGTCTTTACAAAATGTTCGAGAAAGTAATGGCCATGTACGGCTTCGGCGGCAAGGAGTGCTTGCTGAGGGCCATCTGCGAGGTCGCCCATGTGCCATTCGACGTCCGCCACGGTTTGCTGGGCCAGTTGGTGCAGACTTTCCTCAGGTAAACGAAGACAACGCGCGGATATTGTATTTGAGCTTTTTACTTTTGTGTTTGACTTTTTGTTTGTTTGCTGGAGAGAGAGAGAGAGAGGAAGCAGAGTTTCTAGTCTAGGGCGCGCGTCACGTAGCGCCAATTAGAACGAGCGAGAGTATAACGTTACCGTAGACGCGCGCGTGGAGGCATTTACTTCTTTCGATTCGCCGATCGCACCCTCGGCAAATTTCTCGATAATACCCCCGCGCGACCGCTCCGATATTTCCGCCGCCTACGGACATGCATATCGCTGTAATTTTTCGCGCGAGGCGCACGTATATCGAGAGACTCCGTGGGATTCCAGGCCTTCCAGTACGCAGGAGGAGCACGACGAGTACGGCGATCGGGACTATCAGGCGGCCGAGCGGCTGGGTGAGCAGGCAGAGGGCGAGCACTGCCACGCCCTTTATCCGGAATGCCGCGGAAGTGTGCTGGACGTGTTCTCCACGTTGATGGCGTGAGGACATCGGCCGGGTGTGGATCGACCAACCCAATGAGTCCCGATAAATACGTCAAGCACGAGGAATTCGGCGTCGAGCACGAAGAATTCGCGAGCGATACGTCGCGTCGGTCTCCGGCGATTCCTTCAGCGGGGGAGGGACTGTCGCAGCTGTTGAACTTTGAGACACCGTCTCGGCCTCCTCGCGGGAGAACGATCCAGGAATAATCCACCCGCGCCCTGACGTTTCGTGTCGTCGTTCCGGGCGAAATCGTCCCTTGCGACGCTCCCTTCTCCGTCGTTCGTTCGTTCGTTCGTTCATTCATTCATTCATTTCGTTTCCTATTGGCATTCCTTTCCCTCCCGATTCCGAGTTTCATCTTCCTAAAAGTGCGCCGAAGAAACACGGAGTTTCGCCGGTCGGAATGCCGGCATTCGATATTAAAGAATCTTCGGCATTCGCCGGGCCGGCCGGCTCAAGTTTATCGCGGTTTTTCCGTTACTTCGGGATTCCCGAATAATCAGCCGAAGGAGGAGCTCGCCGAAAGTTCGCCGCTTTCGCGAGAGGCGACTATCGCTGTTTTTTTTTCTTCTTCTTGTTTCCTTTTTCATGCCATCCCCATTCGGAGCTGCATGCTAAGATAACGCTCCCTTTTTCCGACGTTCCTTTTTCCGACTGAGGAAACCGGGCTTTTTCTCTTCTCCCCCCCCTCCCTCCCCTCACCTCTCTCTCTCTCTCTCTCTCTCTCTCTCTCTCTTTTTCTTCCCAGCATCAAGTAATTCCAGGGCCATTGCCACGAACTATTATTTAATTAATCTATTTTTGTCTGGGAAATGTCTAGGAAATATTGTCGAATTTTGCAACAGCAGATATTTTTACAAAGTTAATTAAAATTATTACAAATTACTCACAAAGTTAATTAAAATTATTCTACAATATTAATCATTGAATTTAATTGATGTAGTATATCGCAGTATATTTAATTTATCTAGTATATTGTCGACTTCGTAACGCGCGGCGGCCGTAACTAATGTACTGTTCCTTTGTGAAGTCCGCAAAATGAGGGCGCTTTGGACCCCGCGAAACCGTCGGTCTTAAACTCTTCGCATTTATACCGCCATTGACGGCCGCGCGCGAGGCGCGCGCAAGTCTGCTTAATTTTGACGCTCGATGGGCACAAAAGCACATACATTACATTGCGGGTCTGAGACGCGCTGATTTCGGCTTGTAAACAGCAGAATGTCTGGCAGACGTGACTCCGACGCAAAGGGTTAATTTAATTTGTGCGCCTGTTCGCGCTCACGTGCGCGCATCGCGTACGCACACACGTTGCAGGTAATGATGCGCATTGTAACCGCATCCGCATCCATGCGCGGTGCCCGCGGTCGCTGGTTAATTATTAGATAATGGGCGTGTTACATAGTTAATTACAGGCCGAGATATGTGATAGGTTATACATATAATATTATACGTTATATCGTGCAGATAATTAGCTAAGATATAGCCGGCTTTGCCGTCCGCGCCGGCGACGCGCAGGCGCTTGAGACCGCTTGAGACCGCGATCGCGTCCGAGGGGCGTCTTTTTGTTCCACCCGAACACACTGTGTACCTGAAGAAGACGAGGATGGTACACCGGGTGTCCAGGAGAAAAGGTTCAGGGCAGATAGGAGCTACAAAATCAGTCAGGTAAAACGTCCAGACAAACATTTGGAAAATTAATGTTGCCGAAGTTGCGAGAGAATTATTTATTTTGATCGAGTGACAAAAGTGACCCCACTCGCTTCTGCTCGAAGATTTTCCGCGTGTCCTCCTGCGATTTCTACACACGGAGCACTTTTTATTTAGCTTCCCGTCCATTTTTTCTCAGCGACACCGAGACAACACCGCGACACTTCCTTCCTTCCTCCGCCGCGCCGGCCGTTACGCTCGATCCGGCTTTCTGCATCGAATTTTTCGGCCCTCTTGTGGGACTTTCCGGACTGTTCTCGCGCTTCTCATTCGGCAGGATACGCTAGCCCCTGGAAACGCTCGCGGTGAATAAAAACGATTTACTGCCGCGATATCCGCCCTTCGGCGCCCATATTTTCTCCCCCGGCAGGAACTGTACAACGCGCGTATAACATGAAATTGTCGAAGCAATGTAATTCTTGCCGCTCGGTGACCACGCGAGACGAGACGCGAACGATCCTATCGACTCGTCCGCGTTCTGCTCGGCTTTTGGCCTCGTTGGAGATTAGAACGCGGGCCGTATAAATTAATTGCCGCGCATCCAATTCCGTTTCGTTCCGTCCTAATTGTATGTATCCTCCTCGTCATCGGCGTTTCGCCCACGAGATTCTCTCTTCGGAGTCGCTGGGAAGCCGTCGAGAGCGAGAGAGAGAGAGAGAGAGAGAGGGGGGAGAAGAAACGTCGGGAAAACCTCGGGTTTTCCTTGTTCCAGCTATCTTCTGGACCATTCGAGGGCGACCTCGCGACCTTTTGCGGAGAATCAATTTCAGCAGCAAGGGAGGAGGAGAGAACGGACGGGAAAGGCGGACAGAGTCTTACCTCGACATACACACACACACACACACACATACATGTGCGAGCGCGTAGCCGCGCGGACATAAAGTTACGTGGCGTATCTCGTTCATATCGGTCATGAAAAGTGGCTTTTCCGTTTCATTTTTCTCCTGCCGTCGAGTTGTCCGAATTACTCGCTCTGCACGGTGTTGGCGAATTCTCGTCTGCGGGATGTCCGAAATTGAAATTTCACTATCGAGACCGCGAGATCTCCTCGGGGATCCCGTTTGCCTTGGTGCGAGGGGCGCCGCGTTTTCCACATGCTGATGTAAGGAAGCGGAAATTCGGAGGACTTTGTGTCGCATTTGTCCGACATTGTTTTCCGACGTGCAGCAAAGAAACTCTTTAGAACCCGAAAATCAATTACGGAGAGAGAGAGAGAGAGAGAGAGAGAGAGAGGAGGGGGGGGAGGGAGGAAGGGGTGAATTTCCGCTGACAGAAATCTCTGTTTCTGTTGTCGGCGGCGGCGGTAGTGAAGGAAGCAAACGAGTCGAGGGGGATATTGCTTATCCCTTTACTCGGTTAATTTTCCCTTGCCATTTCGCCCAGCGCGCGCTGAGAGAGCGCTGGAATGTATATATCGCTCGCGCGCTCTCGCGTGTTTTTCGCGTTTACAAAGGGTTATATATTGTTGCCGAAACGAAGTTGTCGCATGTCGTCCGCCCGACACATTTTGAGGGGCTTTGCAGATTGCACATGGTGCACGCCGCATATAAAGGCGCAAACTAAATAACGTGGCGGCGGCATACGTGGTACATACGTAGATACATACACACATACCTGGGATCGCGGAATATCGCTGAGTAAGTGCCGACGAGCGTGCGTGCTCCTGCAAACGCGAGATCGAGTGATCAATAGTGCCGGCCATATTTATTATGTATTATTGTTCCGCGATAACTAATATTAAACATGCGTATGTGTGTGTGTGTCTTCCGTTATCGGACCGTGTGCGTTTAATGGTGTCCGTGTTACGTCAACGCTTGCCGATCGCTTTCACATGATCGCTCGACAAACGATCAACCGCGGATCACTGTGTCAAGTAGAAATTTAAATGGAGCGAGTGAGACCGGGGTATTGGTGGCTGTGACTGGAAACTTGTGTGCGAATTGAAGGTTCAATCTGACGTGTGTGGTTAAAGCGCACGACACACACCTGTGGCATCAAATTTGTAAATGCGATTGAACTGGAAAAGTCAGGTCCAACTCGAAATTTTATGTATCCGGATATATCTCACTTGAGGCAAGTAACAACTATATTAAGCCAAGAGAATTCAGACCTGTATGTACATATATGTGTGTTTGTGCTGAAAAGAAATAAATAAGAGATAAGGAAATATTTATTTCGATGAGTATGGATTATATGTATAGTGTACATATTTTTACGCTGAGAAAAATTATTTTCAAACGCAAAAGTATATTTTCTTACAATTTCTTAAAACAGAAACTGCTCACAAAAGTTGTTTTTTTTTTCGTTTTTTCTATTTAAATAAGAAAATTCAGATCTACGCAAATATATTATAATTATTTGTCGGAAAAATAGTTTTTATTTCTCAGATATTTTTTCTCTCGGTGTGTGAGAGCTGCTGGATCTAAATTTTTCAGTCAAGTTGTACGATACACGTGCGACTTGTTTTTTAACACTTGTAGTCGCGATTAAACTGCAAAAACTCGAATCTAGCTCTAAATTCAAACTTGAATGTCTCGCACTCACAAACATTTCAAGTATAACAACTATCAAATTAATACAGGCCACTATGCCTCGTGAATATGAATGCAACGTCACACACGTCATGTGCGATTCAAATGAAAACCTGCCGCGAGTTTCAAGCAAAGATTCTCGATGCTTGCTTTCCCAAAAGACGAGGCCTACGATTAATCTCAGCGTGAAATTTCTCGATTATCGGGAAACGAGCAAATAGGAAGGGAAAACGATCACGACTGAATCATTAAGAAAGTAAGCGCTATCGGGACGATCGAGCTTCAAATGAAGACGACGTTGAAATTCCCCATCTGATGGCGGCAACAACGGCAACGCTAATCACGTAAATGGTCCGAGCGGTGTGCAACTAACGACAGCGACGATGTAAATACGATAACGGGAACGGAATTGGCGAGGCGACGCGCGCGCGCGCGGCAACGACGACGACGACGACGACGACGACGACGACGACGGCGTAACAGCCAGGCGGACTTTTGCTCTAGATGAGATTTTAATTCAACTTCGGCCGTTAATCACGCCGCTACGGAAACGGAATTAATTAAAGCTGCTTAACGGGTAAGACGGGCAATTATTGGATTTACAACGCTATCGCCCCCCGGCCGGGATTAAACTGATACGCCCGATGAATCGTTCGATGTCGCCGGCTTGATGCATCGTTATGTGTTGCTGCGCTTTCGCTCTCGCTCTGTCGCTCTCGCCTCTAAAAATTCCTTTCTTTTCATGCATCGCGAGCACGCGCGTCCACCGCGCGTTTAACCGGATTTTTCTTTCCTTTCCCTCCCCTCTTACCCTTCCTCTCCCTCCGCCCCGCGGGGCGTATGTTCGCAGCTGTGTGCGGCGAATAAAAGGTCGATTATTTTTCGGACGTCGGACGAAATATCGACTCGTTCCACTTACACTCTGCCGGGACGTGCGCGCCCGCCCGCAGCTGTGTTATAAATTTATTCGCGAGCGTATAAGAAATGCCGAGAGAGAGAGAGAGAGAGAGAGAGAGAGAGAGATAAGCGCAGGAATCTGCAGGGTAAATATCTCGCTGCTCGTGGCGAGGACGACCACCGCGAATGAAATGTACGTCGAGTTTCTCCTCTGTCACCAATGACGCGCGCAAATAGCGGCCGCGCGTCTCCTCGAGCGCGTAAACTCGCCCGGGCCCTCATTATCGTGTCCTCACCTCCTCGTGTCCTCGCCGATACGTATACGCCGTGAGAAATAAGGGGCCGTTCGCCTGCGGTTCGTTGACCAGTGATCCAATAGTCCGTGCGAATTACTTGGGCACAGAATGGGGAACGGCCATCCGCCGCGCGGCGAGCCGCGCGCTTTCGCAACGTTTCTGTCGGACGACCACCGTAACGACACGTGTAACGCCCCATGTCGCGATTGCTTTTTTACCTGTTCTCGTGCCTTGGCCTGTGGACGAATTTTTGCCGGTGCGGAGCGATACTGCTGTATCCTGAAAATACCTTGTATCAGGTATTTTGAACATTTCTCGCCATTTCTCCCTCTCTCTCTCTCTCTCTCTCTCTCTCTCTCCCGTTCTTTTTGTTTTCACGTTTCGGCTGTAGTGTTGCTACTGGTGTTGTGTTTACTGCTACGCGCGAAATCTGTTGTTTAAACTGGACGGTAGTCTCTCTCCCGACGCAATTCGATTCAATTCCGCTTTATTAACGACAGAATAATTCCCCCGTTAGCGTCGAAATACAAAATGAACTATGGAAAAAAAAAAAAGGGAAAAAATTTCGGACGCTTCGCAAATCGTATCGCTTAACGCGAATGCAATATCGTCATGAAGCGCGATCGCGGGAATTCACTGAAATTTCCAGCCAGCGTCGAATTCCTTTTTACACGGCTCGCGGACGTGTTTTCAATTCGGTCCGATTTTGATTACGGCGAAAAAAGGAAAAAAAGATATTCGCGCGCTCGGGCGGGCGGGAAGAAATCGCGTGCCAATCGAACATCGCGCGCCGATAATAGGTCATTAAAATGATATTTAGCCACGCGCACGTACTCGTCGTCGCGGGAATTTTCGCTGCGCGCGACAAAATGCTGGCCTCGTCGCATTAAATATTTATTCGCCGACCGCGGAATAATTGGCGAGTCCTCGTCTCGCCTCGTCCGAGGGCAACTAGTATCAACTAATTTTAGACGCATAGCGAAGGCTAAGATCTCTGTTTCTTCAACGACCACGACCGTATGAATTAATAACGTCAAAAGAAAAAGGTTTGCAACTGCAATGGCAATTGTGGTCGACTGAACATATTTTCAAAATATTCCGGGAGCTTTCTCTTTGCTTCAACACAATCAATAAATCACCGTAAAACAAACAACAAAGTTGTATGACGAAGTAAGTAGATTGAAAGGAGAGTATCGTGCCATTTTGATTTTATGACTAAATAAACAAACATTTTCGCATCGCGTTTTTTCCTTTCTCCACCAAAGTCTCATTTCGATCGCGCCGGTGTGATCAAATCGGTCGCGTTATAATCGTCACGCGTTTCCAATTTTCATTCTCGCAAGTTCCGTTTCGTTCTCACACGGCGCGTCGCGTCTAAAATAACGTTGTCCCCCGGCTGGAAAATCGGAAGGGCATGTTTAGCATTCGATACGTGTCCCGGCTCCTCCCCCTAATCGTGGAAGATCGTTTCGCGCGACCAAGCTCCAACTTGCCGTCCGCGTCTGGCGATATAATCTCCGGCCAAATTCTGCCGACAGTTCACCCTGGGCATCACAGTGCCGGTGGCAATGACAAAGCGGGGCGGTCTCGCCTTCAATGCGGGCTTTCAGCTCAACTTCGTCTTACCGTGGAATCTGACGCAGTTCGAGCCGACGGTGATCCCCGCGAGGCATATTAGGGATCTCGAGTTGTGGGACACTTACGTCGCCATCGAGGATCTGTTGAACGAGTGAGTTCTTAGTGCCTAGTTTCTCCTTTTCTCCCCCGCCCCCTTTCCTCCCTCTCTCTCTCTCTCTCTCTCCCGTTCGCTTTGTACATACATTGTACTTCTCTCTGGCTTGTCAGTTCATATCTCTCCGCTCGTATCATGCTTCTCCCATGATATTGCAATTGCTGCAATTACAATCCATACCCCATTATCGAGTTCGCGTTCCCATCGTCATTGATTGCGTTGTTATTATTGTCTTTTTTCATTTTGCGTTCCTGTAAGAGGGGGATTTATAACGGCATAAAACTGCCGTTATACTTTGTAATTTCATGTTTCCTTCGCGCGCCCGAGAGGATCTATCACATAACGCTCGATAAATAATTTCTTCTCCCCCCTCCCTCGGTGTGTCATTGATCGCGCGCTATTTGGAAATTCAGCATTTATCCGAAAGATACACGCTCGATGATGATTCGCGTTGCAGAGCTCCCGAGGAAAGAATAATTTCACGTTGCAAAGCGGGCGCGAGAGAGAGAAAGAGAGAGAGAGAGAGAGAGACAGGGGAGGGGTGGGGGCAAGAAAAACGCGGGGTGTCCATCGAGATCGGCTGCGAACGAGCGAGAGCCTCGTTATTCTCTCATATCCGCCGCGTCTCTTTTGTCCACTCTCATACACGCGAATTCCGCGAACAAGCGCGCAATTTTACTCACCACCCCCTCGCGCGCCCTCGCGCGCCGGGCTCAACCGCCGCACAATGGGCGGTAGTCGAGAGGCGATTTGAATTTCGAATCGGAAGAACAAACGCCGCGCATTACCGAGCGAAATTGCCCGATGAATCAGTAAACACGGGCGGAGGAGCGAGCGGGTAAATTCGTAATTAACTCAACTCCGGCGCGGCGATGGCCGCTCATCGAAATCATATTTCCGCCGCGCGACGATACGTTCGTACCGCCGCCCTTCTTCGTTTCCCTTTTCCTCGCAGCCTCTCTGACGTCGTCGACGCGTATTCGAGACGGGACTCTGGCGCGCCGAGAATGTTGTTTGCGAAAGTACGAAAGCGACGACGATCGATGCGGAGCGTGCGATGCCGAGAGTCGCGAGCGCAACTGCCGCCCGACGACAAAGGGCGCCTCCCTTCGATTCGTATCATTCGCGTGTGCGTCTTCCCTTCCTCCCCCATCCCCCCCGCCCCTTCGCACCGCACAAGCGAGTATTGCTACTCGCGGGATCAAAGGGTAGCCGGGGTAAAGACGGCGACTAGAACATAAATTAATTGGGACATAAGGCAATTACTCCTCCGGGACGTTAGATAGCACAATGCAGGGGCGTACGTGACGAACGGGGAGCCCGAAAGGCGTTTTCCGCGATCGAAACGCTCGATCGGTGAGACAGGAAGAGAGATACGACGGCAATTACGCGCAATAAGGGGATGCTAAGACGGATGACGATCCACCGAAGGTGGATGTTTAGAAATACCGCACCGGGAAGCGCTGTTTCCTTTTTTTCTCGTGCTAATCACAAACGGGTGCAAGGTTTAAGCGGAGACTTGCCGTAGGAGAGAAGTCAAAAATATTGGTCCTACATTGCTGTGGTGCTTTCTGCGCTAAATTGATAACTATACTGTCTTACATCGCAAGTTTGCAAATTTCCATGCGACCCAAAATCCATTTTTCAACCCTAACCAGCCCTGACACCGGACATAATTCATTTAATCCAACCAAATTTGGTCTAACGAAATTAACCAGTAGATTAGAAAATGTGCGTTTCAAACGAATGACAAGAAATTGCCGCCATTTATCGCAATTTCTTAAATGAAAGATTACCGTAAATACTTGAAAATTTTATTGACATAAAATTGTTTTTTTCTGCAAAGTTTACATCATATAGTGGCCGTGCAGAATTACGAGTGGTTTTGTACAATGAAAAGAAATGTACAAAAACAAATTGGAACATTGCTCGACACTTGACGAAAGCGATAAAAATTTGAAAGTTGATTTGTCGAGCTGTCAGTTAGCGTAAAAATTTGCCTGATACAAAAGTTCTTCAATTTGTACATGTAAAAAATGTGTTTGTTCCACCCGGTATATTCCAAAGAACATTGCATCAACCCTTTTGTAACTCGTTTAAGGAGTTCAAAATTATACGAGAAGTTTGCAGAAGGACCATTACTCTTACGCGTGGTTATGTCAGTTAGGTTCTTCTCTAAAAATATGATAAAACATCGGCACACACATTTATGTGAAATTTATACACAAGAAATATATAAGAAAAAAGTAGCGTGAGCGTGTTAATACTTATTCGACGTAACGTTTTAACGAGCGCCTCTATTTTATCGACATTTTTAAAATCTCGTCGTCGCTCCTTTGGTGGCGAAGTGCGCAAGTCGCTTCTTTATCTATCTCGATCGGAAATCTATTGACACGGTAGATAAATAAATTCACCTTTGCAGCGTGATTCGCGACGACGTTCTGCTGAGAGCGATTTTGTTTCGCGGGAGACCGACGCGCGAGAGGATTTCCACCCTCCCGACTGCTTGCCAAAAATTTCGCTGGCACGGGTCGCTCTAATAAAATTAATCTCTCGACGTCGGATCAAAGTAAAAAAAAAACCCGAAGAATTAAAGAGGGATGAGAAGGAGAAGGGAAGGGAGGAAGAAAGAGGAACGCGCGCTACACCATCGTCGCCGTCGCCTCCGCCGCCGCGAATTGTCGACGGTGAAGCGCAAAACCCGGGACTGTGAAATAAGATTTAATGTTGACTCTTTAGACACGGCTGGCGGGACGGCAGGCAGTGCCTTCTGAGGACCATTTGCGAGCTCGCGGAGACGCCTCTCCGCAGAACTCACCGGGAGGACATTCTCGAGGAAATGATTCACTTAATTTTAACGTAAGTCAATTCCGACGTTTCGGTGCTCGCTCTTTGACCTACCGAGTTGGATCGATGTATTCGCGCACTTTCGGAAACGAGATTTATTAGCGGAAAAGTCGCGAGTAATGAATTTCCTCCTCTCTCCCCTCTCTCTCTCTCTCTCTCTCTCCCTCGCACTCTCCACGTCTGTCTCTCTTTCTTTCTTCTGAGTCAACGCCCCATTGTTACGTTCGCCATGAGTAATAATAAAAAATTGGCGAGAAATTCGTACGGCAATAAAGAGCTCGCGAAATTCGGGTCAGCGAGGCACGAGTGACGCGCGTGATTTTCGATTGCTCGCGCGGACTCGAAGATCTGCGTAAGCGAAAACAAAACCGAAGCACGGACGTTGTCTATTTTCCTACGGGATATTTGTAGTATCGGCATATGAATATTTGAGCACGTAGAAAATATCTGTTACGTACACCGTTAATTAAAGCAAGGGAATTATACAGTTGATTTCAATATAATTTGGACATACCTTTTATCAGATGACACACACACACACGCACACGGAGGATATGAGTTTTTGAAAATAATTTTCCTTTGAAAATGGCTAGATAGCTAGAAATTTTGTTATCATCAAACTTTTGCATAAAAAATGTTCCGAAAAATGAATGGAGCAACTAAATGGATATTTTCACTATAAAGCACTTTTCTGAAAAAAAAAAAAAGAAAAAAAACGAGGAATAGTCACGAATAGTTAAACAGAGGTAAATTTTATTATAAAATTTGTATCATATTTGTTGATATCCTGAATAATTTACAAAGTACGTGAAAAAAAGACGAGAGCTTCTCTTTCGGAGAGTGATCTTAATTCTTTGGTCCTTTTTCAATACGAACTTGATAATTTTATTAAATTATAAATTTAATAAAATTTATAAATTTAAAATTTTATCTATTTACCCCGATTATGGCAGGTTTGATTGAAATCAAAGTTTTTTTCGGATTTACGCTCGTAAGAGTGTCAATTTTCGGTAAGAAAAAAGTTGCTTGGCGTTTCGGCTCGATTCGACTCGATTCGTCGCTACTCGTTTCGCGCTTATTTACTTTGTGTAAATCTTACAATATACTGACGCCGTACAATACACTGACTTAGCAAATCCTCTCAAAAATGCTACTTCAGTTTGTTGTAAACATCATAGTTCCAACTTGAGCCGGTAGGGAACCGAGTATATCCTAGAAAACCCCGCGACGGAATTACTCGAAGTACCGTAACTTATTTCATTTTCGCGTAGAATGATACCCGTACGTCGATGTTTCGATTGATGCAAATCATTGCGGATTGATCGTATCTGAGAAAAGTGTTCGATATCTATAATTATTTTACCGTGTCTTAAAGTTTTTTTTTAAGGGCGGATACTGCTCACAAAATGGAGGAAAAAAGTCTTGATAGACGTGAGTCGAAAAGTTAATATTGTTGAAGTTACTGTTGAATGTTGTTATTATGAAAGTTATTGTTGAACAATTATTTATCTTAATTGAAGCAAATGACTTGCTCGCCTCTGGTGCTTTTGCATTCCCTCATGTAATTTGTCTACGTCATTTATCGGTGAAGAGAGAGTACCGTGCTTTAAAAGAATCCCTAAAAAAAAGTCTTTTCGCTCTTGCTCGGAGTGCAAATAAACATTTCTGTTTTTCCCATTTGCCATTATATACACCCCATTTTCCCATTATATACACGTTGCACCGAGCAATTGTTAGTCACATATTCTCGTGAATATTTGCAGAGAGCTATTACAAAGTTTTATGGCAAGAATGACATCGATTACTCTAATCAAGAGTCGCTCGCTTTAATTAAAAAAATTAATTAAAAGAAAGAACAAATAATTGTCCGTAACTCTGACAATATTAATTTTTCGACTTATCTATATCCTTGAAGTCTCGAACCTTTTTTCTTCTACAATATCCTGTACAATCGCACGGTAAAATAATTATAGTCAAGAGAACCATTCTTGTGTAACGAGTGCTATTCTACTCCTGATAACAATAATCTTATATGCGCATTGCCATTGCCTTTTTTATTAAAACAGTATGAAAACGACAAGACGAAAATGAGCATGAAGAAGATAACGATAAAATGCAAATGAAATACACGCTCGCGCGACACCGGGAAGGACTAGAATTTTTGCGAATCTTCGACCATTTACTTTTTTTCTCTCAGTGCGTCGTAACGATACCGGGTATTGCGGGGCTAGGGGGTGAAGGGAGGCAAGCACACCCTAGGCTCAGAGTCTCGAAAATCATTGAGTGATCGCGGCGAAATGGCGCGATTCGGTAAAATTCATCGCAATCTAACGTCCGACGTTCGGCAACATCCTACGAAGGGTCCAGGGCGAACCGAATCGAAGGGATAGTGAGGTGGAGGGCGTGCGGATGACTATTACACCGTGTAAAATATCGCTCGTAGCCAGCTCGATCCCCGTTAGCCGGAGCTACGAATTTGCTATTCCAAACGCGTCCACGCCCGCGTGTGTTCGAAGGAAATTGCGCCCGGGCTAACAGCGGTGCGCTAATTGCGACAAAGTTAGGCGCGCGTACGTTAAGTTCTAATGAAAGTGTTTCGCCCGGGCTTTTCCGCCAGCGCGCTTCCCCGCGTTCGCTATCCTTTCGCGTTCGGAAGTTGCTCCCGGAATTTCTCTTCCGAAATAATCCCGACGAAATGCCAATGCGTGTAATTGCGTGCCCGCGATCCTTCGAGGTCCTACCGTATGCGCTGCACGTGCGCGCGCGCGCGCGCGTGTGTGGGCGTTATCCGGTATTTATGCTTCGGAAATGAATATGACCAGTCATGTAAATTGTTGAAATTTATCGGAAACGCGCGCACGCGAGCAAGTTCCGGGGCGTAAATAATTGCATTTGATAAATATTGACACAGATCGCATCGAATTTTACAGCGCGGCGGCGACCGTAATTTTAATACGATAATTATGCGCCGTTGTTTTGCCTCTCTCTTTCTCTCTCTCTCTCTCTCTCTCTCTTTCTCTCTCTCTCTCTCTCTCTCTCTCTCTCTCTCTCTCTCTCTCTCTCTCTCTTCCTCTCCCTCTATCCATTTTCACATGAGAGATACGTGGGAGATAATGTTTATTCCCTATTCTTCAATTATTTATTTGTTAATTATTACATCATCAATGCGCACGATTATTTAATCATGCAGTGTACACGATGTCCAATAATTCGCGCTTACCGCATACTTAGCGGTACTTTTTGGTGAAGATTTGGCATTTGTTTCCTGGCAAAAATATCGGGGCACGAATAGAAGCGATCGAAAGAGAGAGAGAGAGAGAGAGAGACTTTTCGCGAGCTGGGCTTCGGGCAACGGCCAACAAAGTTACCGTCTTCGATCAATTTCGCCGCAAACAACGACTATCCTCGACATCTTTTTGCCGAGGAAAAATCATCGAAAATATCTTCAGGAGGATTAACCCGCTGTATAAATAATGAGCTCGATTTACCGGACACTCTGTATACACGCAAGACGGCATACGCCCGCCTGATATCTCTCAAGGCAAATCCAAAATGAAGGTTTCCGAGTTCGCCCGTATTCGAGGTTGCCCCGCGCGAGGGTCATCGGATGGTAATCTTCGATGCGGTCGAGCAACCTGAGGCTCGACGGGAAGAGCTCGAGACGATTTAATTTGAATCTCCTCCACAGACCCACGGAAGAAGGCTCGTCGGTGGCGATTAATTCCAGTCACCCGAGCGCCAAGAAATTGTATCAGGAAGCCGAACGATTGGGTAGGTCTGGTGGCGATTGCATCCTAACGTATCCCGATTGCATCGAGTCGCCGTTGGAATCGTTTACGGAGATTATATTTCCTTAGAGAATCGAGAGCGGAGCTCGATCTTGTTTTCTGTATCGCTTGAAATATAAATTCATTTGTGCACAAATAGACAGACACACACACACACACACACACACACACACTGCGCGTATTTACGCGCGCACTTGTGCGGTGATAAAATATGAGACAATAAATATACAATATTTGATTATACAATATTACGCGCGGAACGCGCGCGAGAGAGAGTTTATTCGATTACGCTTCGATATCGCCGAAAATGCGCGTGTCGATAAACAGAATTATCGTATTTCCAAGACACCGCCTCGTCGGTGAAATTAAATTCGGTTCAGCGTTCAACTTCTCGCGCGCGGAACACTCGAATTTCATCGCGCGACGATAACGAGATCGGCGTTCCGATTAATAATCCCGATCTCCTCTCTTCGCAATTTTTCTACCGTGTTTCTTTTATTTGAACTCGCAAATATATCGCATCCACTCCGCCGCTTTTACCCTTCCTCCTGTCTTCTTCTGCTTTCCTTCCCTCCCTTTCTCTCTCTCTCTCTTTCTCTCTCTCTCTCTCCTTGCTTCTCTCTACCACAGTAACGTAAGGACGCTGAAGTAGCCACGAGAGGGTCTTAACTATAATCCGCTATACCAACATTGATTTCGTTCGTAGCGTCGATCGAGTGACTGTGCTCCGTCGTGAACGCGAAACGAGAAATGGAACAGGTACTAAGTAAATTTCGCTGTCGAGTCTCGCCCCCGTCGCTAAGATACCTTACGGGGAAGCGATATACGACTGCCGATTTCTTTTCTCCGACGTGTCTGTGCCGGGCTTTTTATCTCGATTCGTAAATATACCGCATCCACACCTCCACGCTCCTCTCTCTCTGTCTCTCTCTCTCTCTCTCTCTCTCTCTCTCTCTCTCTCTCTCTCTCTCTCTGCATCCCTTCCTCTTCCTCCGTCTTTATTATCTGGTCTTCCGCAACCTTGCTCGCTCGTTCTCGCACCTCCTATCTTTCACCGTCTTTTCCTTCCGCGTGTCTCGCGCCATCGAAGCTTAGCAGGTCGAAGGTTACCAGGAAAGTTCAGGTACAGAGGCACTTGCGAAAGCGACGATCTACTTTCGGCTGCTTGGGGGCTTCCGGTTCCTGCGCCGGGCGATGATGTAGCGCGCGGAGTCACGCGTTTTCGCGTGTCGCTCGCACATCGGCGCGGCGATCCGGTATCGACGAATGGCGACGAACGAACGTTTTCGCAAGTTCGGTTATCTCGTGCGAGAACGCTCGGGCTCCGCGATTTCTTACGTCTGCCTGAGAGAGAACGAGGGCGAGAGCGCAGACCCTCGTTCTGCGCGGTGGAGCTTCGTCGATATTTTGCGTGCGATGTATAATTTTGTGTGTGTGTAACGGCGCGTTTCGCGCGTCTCGGGGCGTTTCCGGCGTTGAGGTTTAACGTATCGCACCCGCGGGATTGTCGTTCTACATGCGCGTGTGACGATACCATAATGTTAAAACAAAATTGCGCGCGATGGTATTACGTAGTACTGCATAATATACGGGGTGTTTGATACATATAAATTTCTCGCGTGCGTGTAGATTCGATTAAATTGAAGGAAAAACTCCCCCTCCCCTCCCCCCGTTGTCTGCGAACGGCCACGTAGAATTTTGAGTCATCGACTGAAGGGGGTTGACGAGTGATCACGAGTGGCACGGCGGATCAGCTGTGATTGCGATTTTTGTACGCTTGTAAATTAGATCCAACTGAACGAAAAAGTTCTGTGCTATTTTGCAAATAATCGTGTAAGCTTTCGGTTATTAATTAAAGGACATTGATATTTTATCGCGCACGTGACCATCCGCCAATTTTTTTACATACACGCAGAGTGTCCGTAAAGGCCGGAGCTAAATTTTTATAATGTATCATTGAGGTCGAGTAGGTGATAAAAGTTTGTACATACGAAAATGCTTTATTAAAATGTTATAAACGCACGAGCAGAATTGTTCTCTGTCAGATTTAACGCCTCTTTATTTTTATTTATGGGGCACGTGAAACACACACACACACACACACACACAGTTGGTTTGTAAGCATCTAATAGAAATAGAAGACCAGCCTGTGGAACGCATTCCAAATTCAATTATTGCTATATTTTTAGTATTATTTAGTAGAAATATTTTCGAGAGACCTCGACAGTTTTACGAATCGAAGCCCGCCGTTTTGCAGAAAGAAGAATTTACGAGTATTTATTGTAAATGTTGTAAATAAAACTGAAATTGTGTAAATTGTTCTGAATCAGCGATTTGCGTGTAACGAGTTATGGGGAAGAATTTTGCTCGCGAATCTCCGAGCGTTTCTGCAACTTTTCACAATAAAGCATTTTCGGACCTAAGTAAACTTTCTCCATCTGCTTGACCTCGAATAACGTATAGCACAAGTTTGGCGCCGACCTTTGCGGACACCCCGTATACGTGTGTATCGAGTAGATAATTAATTAAATAATTAATTATTTGCACATAGCGGTATGTGCAATTTCCCGGGAAAGGCTGGCTTCTAAACTGCACATTCATCTTGGCCGATGTGTTTCCCCGGCGGAAAACAATAGACTTTTTCTCCGTTTACTATCCAATTTGGTTCAACCACTTTATTGTCCCCCGCTTCCATCTTCATTTATCTCCCCTCCGTTTTTCTTTTCAATTTTCGCCCCGCGTCTCCGCGTGTTCGCGCGCGCGCGTTCTTGCCGGAGGAAGCGCGCCCGAGTGTGACGTATCTCGGGACGGGCGAGATTATTCGCGGTTATTTTGCGCGATACGTCGCGTTCTTTCGTCACTCTCGCGCGCGTCGATCGACACTCGCCGAGTCATTGTAAACTCGTACATTCGCCTTCCCCCTTCCCCCCTCCGCTCCCCCGATATAGAGATTAGCGGCCCCTTTCTCTGTTTATTGCTCCACACCCCCAAAGGTTGCCGTTCGCGTGGCCGTCTTCTTTCTCTCATCGTCGTCCATCCTCGTTCATACTGTCTTTTTCTTTCCTTCCACGCTGTGTATTATCTCCCGTCGTCCCTCCTCCTCTTCGTCCTGCCATCAACTTCACCGGCGCGTTTCTCCGGGTTTTAAAGCTCGAACGTGTAATCTTCTCGTTCTAAAACTTGTTCCCCACGCGCCATCTTTTAACCGGAACTCGTCGTGGGCGCACCCACTTGAGAAGAGGGGGGGCGGCAGGGTGAAAGGTGATGACAACTTTCTGCAAACAGTGATTACAAAGGCAGAACTGACAAACATTTGAAGCGACGACGGGCTGAAGAACAGTAGATAGCCATCTATCTCGCGACGTTATCCGCGTCGCCGCGGCACTTTCCGCACATTTTCGCCCCGCCATTGTCCGCAGCGCGCGCGAAACTTCTCGTTAACTTTAACCTCTCTCTCTCTCTCTCTCTCTCTCTCTCTCGCGTGTTACACCCGGCGGCACATATTCCACGCGACGCCGGCGTTCTCGAAGTGCGATTTCCGTTTATCGCGCGGCCGCGGACGGGACAGATTCGGCGGCGAGATCTGAAAATAATCGGTGTAACGATGATTAATCGAATCCGGTCATTACGCGACGCGACGCGACGCGACGCGCCGTTTCGCGCGTCGTTTGTGTACACACGCGAGACGAGCGACGGAGCCAAATCCAGCGTAAGCGGATAAAATATAATTCAAGTGCAAGATTTATTCTCGGCCGGCACGGCGAGCGTGGTAATCCTGGTTTAACGATGAAATATAATATCCAGCGCGCTCGAATTAATGCATCTTGCATTTCGAAGCACGAGTGATTGTTAAGAGAGCGCGATATCGTGATTAAATGTCCCGCGTATATCGTGAAATACCTCGTGCAGCCGCGCTGCGATTGTTCGCGTTAGCCGGCATGCTGCGCACGATTTACGCGTTTTCCACACATTTAATAAAAAAAAAAAAAAAAAAAGAAAAAAACCAATACAGATATTTGGCTGAAAATTTTAACGATGTAACTTTGTTTTAAGTTTTCTATTCTAAAAGGTCAGAATCGTTAATCTTTCGACATTTTAAAGAGGTGAATTTTGTCAAGTGGGCAAGTCGAGAGTAAACGACGATTTCGTACGCAAGGCAGTCTGGTCAATAAGAAAGACGTCACTGTATTATAATTTTCATATTTATTTACGCTATTTATTATTACTGACGTATAACACGGAGAAAATTCGACCTAGTCGTCGGGGTCAAAGCGGTAGCAGGTGATTTGTGTAGATTTCCCACCGGGATTTCTGCAAGGGGCGGACATCTTACGGTAGCACCGGACCGATTTGGAGCCTCTTGCAGGATCAATATGGGGGGGTGAGTTTCTTTTGTTCCCTCATTTTCTCAACCTTTCTTTGAGATTTAAGGCCTGCGAGTGCTTTTTCCTCAGCAGCGTTTCTGAAGGCGACGTAGTTAGGCGCTCAGCGCTCACCACCGCGCAGGATTTTTTCTTAATGTTTTTGCGCGACGGTGCCTTTTGAAGAGGGCGAAGTAGGTCAACAGGTGACTCTTTACTAGCGGAGGGTCGCAAGCTTGGTCCTGGTGTAGCTGCTGGCGGTGCTGATCCGGTTCGTGCTGCCAGTCAGGGAGCGGCAGCAATTTTGCAAGAGCATGCGATCCCCGATGTCGTCAGTAATCGACTTATTGACACTTTCAATGACTGATGAATCTGTTTCACCGACGGCTACAGGCCTGTCAGTTGCGCCGGTTGGCGAGAAGTCCGATTCGTCGAATATTTTTTAATCAAGCGGCTGGATTCCTGTCTTCCCGCCGAAGCCCGAACGATGTTTCTCGGTGATCCAATTGATATTGAAACAGCCGTGTCGACGATCCCCGGGATATTGTGGCACGCCATCATTTTTCCAGGATCAAACTATTTGCGGTCCAATTATCACGCTCTCGATATTGCGAGCTTTCTTCGAAGGCCCGAGGCGCGTCAAGGCAGGACACGTCAACGGCTGCATTCCGTTACTACAGCGCGACGGAAGAGACAACATTATCATGTCGTTTCCACGACATGCAACATGTATTGCTGCAGCACTTACGTGCGATGACTGATTGTCTAAGAGCGAAAGGACGAGCCTCTCCTTCGAGCATCTACCGTATCCGGCAAAGTGCTTGAGAAATTCCATGAAGACATCCTTCTTCATCCGAGCGCCAGGGTCTGCGCCGCCAGCGCTGCCTATTCATTGCAGATACGTCTGCCTTACCCGTCTCTCTTCCTTTTGTAGTTACGCACTATTGTCTAGAGAAAAAACCCGTTATTAAAATGTGTAGGCGCATTGTCCCCTTGAAAATAAGACAGTCCCGACTACATTTCTCAGTCTTCAGCATGCTGCGGAGTTTAGGTTACGCGGAATTAACATCTGACGCTTCTCACGTCTGATAAATATGTATTAATTAATAAGGTTGTAAATTATTAAATTGTCGTCGCTCATCGTATCCTTGATACCGTCACAAAATGTGTTAGTGGTCGTTTTCTTCTTCGGCGTTGAGCGATAAACGTCGCTATGCACAGTGTTTTCAACTGCTCGCTGGGATGGTAGAGACATCTACTTTTTAACACTTGAGATGGCAATAATGTGGACACATAGCCTCCGTAGACAAATAGCCCAGATCTCTCTAATATATCTCGAGGGGGCGGGCAGTCGCAATTTTACAGGGTATTTCTAACGGAAGCTTTCGGTTTCGCTTTCTAACTTGGCGACAAATCGGGCCGCGCGTTCGTTCGGAGAAACACTCGTAAACCTATCCTGTAAGTTTTAACGACAGTTTTGTTATCGTTACGTCGCCGTTACACCGGGTTAATGCACTTTTTTCAAGTGAATCAGTATAAATGTCGCCGGATTGAATTGGCGAGAGGTGTTTCACCCGGACAATCAGTGGGTGCTCATTGATTCTGCGCCTCAAGAAGCGCACTGAGAAACAAATTGCTTGGTATTTGTAGGTATAATCGTATAATGATAGAATTATAGAAGATAATAATCGTTTTTTGTCACAAATATCACTACAAAGTTACCGATAATAACTAGACATGTATATTACAACTATTATTATTTTTTTTTATTAGAATAGTAAGAGATATAGCTCGGGATAAAAATAACTTTAATTTTAGTAACGTTAACCATTTTTTTTCTCACAACGTACTCGATTTTTCGAGAGTAGCAATTACTAGGTAAAACAATTTACTGAAATACTCCTTGACACATTGTTATATTAGAGAAAGAGAGAGAAGGATAGAGAAAAAGGGAGATTTGTCTTTCGTAGTTCGCATGCGAATTCTTCGTTTCATGCATTAACTAACAAGTTAACTCGCGCATTCTTCAAGTCGATCGGTAAACGTGTTTCTGATTGAATCGATAAAAGGAGTTTTTCAGCGACAATCAGCGAGAAATCAATTTGAAATTGAGCAATCGCTAAAGTACGAGCACTTAAATCTTTCATCCAGGTCGATTTAACTTCCGACAACAAAGAGTTTAGTGCCGAATCAAAGTGAATTGGTAAAAATTTTTTCATTCAATCAGTAAAGAATGATATCGCCGACAAGCAGTTTGCATTGATTTTCAGTGAAAACATTTTCAAATTTTACTGCTCCGTCTTACATCTCACCGATCTTGGTCAGTGCAAGTAGAATTTTACTGCAAAATCTGTGGACAAATTTATTGTATACGCTGCGAGAAATCCAACTTATAACTGAGAAACACCAGCTATAGTTACAGCATTTCAGAGTAACAGAGTGTCCTTTATATTGAAAATTATTCAATGCTGAAGAACGCACGGTTTGCGTAGTACTTTAAGAGTATAGTACAGAGTGAAATTGCGCAACAATAATAACGCTGTCGTTAAAAGTTAAGTTAAGAATAACCCTGCCGATCCCACTTATGGTCGCGACCGCGTCGGCTCGTCTGTCCGCTCGCTCGTTCGTTCGCACTCCGTTTTTTCGTGCACGTGCGAAAAATTACTCGAGCGAGTCCGGCCGTAATTTATCGGGTGTCAACACGCTGAGCAAGCGATCTCGAGCGTGGTTTTACGAATTCACGCTAATTCCCACAAGGCTGGCGAGACGTGCCGGGCCGCGGAAAGTTGTAAAAAGGCGTAAGTAGAAGTGGACCGTTAGAGTCCAGACGAGCGCGCGTCCTGTTGCCGCTGCGAGTCCATTGCCGCGTTTCCTAACATAAAATCGAAGGTAAAACCCATAGACATAGTATATCTAGACTGCGTGTTCGAGGAGTGGGGGTATAGCTCCACGTAGAAAAGGATATACTCTGTTTCTACTGTTCGTTCTCTCTCGCACAGTCCCGATGGAAAGGGTATAGAGGAGGCAGTTGCTGTACAGTGCTGTACAGTAACCACCGCCCCTATTCCCTTTCCGTCGGGGCTGTGCGAGAGAGAACGAACAGTAAAAACAGAGTGCTTCCTTTTCTATGAGAGTTATACCCCCACTTTCGAAATTTGGGAGAACGCGCAGTCTAGATATACTATGTCTGTGGTAAAACCGCTCGCGCTTTGTTTACACGCTCGGCCGGCTTGCTCTCGTTCGTGCCCTTCGCGTCCTTGCGAGATAAACAAGCGGAGAGTTTAATTCCTCGCGATCTCGAGATTTATTCTATCGTTAGTCTCTCGTTAGATTCCTGCGATGACGGGCAAGGTGCTCACGCTGATCTGTCTCGTGTTGTATTGCCGGGCCGACGGAAGTTGCGCGTCCAGAGTGAAGAGGCAGGGACTGCTTCCGCCGCCGATCGTCTACCCGTTCGGAGGGACATTCAAGGTAACGACTGAATATCGTTCAATCCCGTCAGCGTTGGCCGAGTTCTCGCTCTCAGTTAAAAACCTGCACCTGGACAGCCAGGGATGATAGAAAGAAAGTGACGTCATCGAGCATTTTAGTCATCCTTTGTGAGTATCTGGATGTACTCGGAATGAAATAAACATTTTATAATTTTATAATTTGCGATTACCTTAATGAATTTTCGATACGTGTGGACATGGAGAAAATATCATAGTTGAGATTACAGCGAAATTTTTGTTGTCAGTCTGGTGAGCAATGTCCGATTTGACGAAAGGTATCGTAAGAAGAAATGCAATTTTAACGCAATTTTTGCAACGCGATTTTCTCCGTGTATAGATGTGCAACGAAGTGTATCAGATATTTCCACGGCATCGCAATGTTTACATCTCAATCGTGAAAGTGCGTTTATTGAACAGCGACATTTTCCGCGTACACTAAATTCAACACAAAGCTGACGGTCTTTACTTTGACCTCGTGGGTGCTTGGGGCAATTAAGTCTTGAGATTTCTCGGTGCGGTTCGATTTGCAAAGAAGGCATCGAGTTCATTCTCCCTCCCTCCGTCCCTCCCTCTCGAGGGACATTTTTACAGCCAGAATGAAATAACGCCGTTAACGTTCTCGGCAGCGCGGGAACAGAGAGCGGAAAAGACGAAAAAGATGAATTGGACCGGCGAGGACGTATATCAGCCCGGTATTCGCCGGCGACACGCGATTGATAATTAACCGCAGCTTTATCCACCGTGTCGCGTCGAAATTCTTTAATTAAATCGGGGAAACTCTTAGTCTAGCTCTCGCTCTCGCTCGCGAGCGGCAGATGAGACGATGTCGTGATAGGTTGTTTGTCTTGGTTTTTGCCTGCCTCAGCGAGATTCTCGGTTATTAGTACTCCCTCTCGGAAGGCAGGAAAACTTAGGGGGAAATTAAACGAAAACTTCACGGGATATCTGACCGGAGTGTAAATAAAACGCTTTTAAAAGTGTTTGTGGCAATAACCGGAGGATGGTGAGGAATATCGGCGGCCTCCTCTCCCTTTTCTCCCTCGCGCGCACGCGCGCGATCGTCCGTCGTCGGGATTACGATCGTGATCTTTATTCTCCACTTGTATAAATAACATTATCGCTTCCGCGATCGTTATGCCCCTTGATTTTAAGATACGATCGTTTCGGAGAACGAGATGTCCCGGTTTTGTGTGAAAAACAAATCAGCCGAGACGCGAGTGGGTCAATATCGGATCGTTATCATACACGGAGATCATTTTGCGGTAAAAGTTATCGTAGAAAAATGTCCCTCATTTATTATTTTGGAATTTTTTTTTTATTATTAGCTTTGTAACTGAGCGGTATTAGTCGACGACCCGCTTTAATTTATTATCTTTCCGTTCCGTACGTGCTATTTATACTTTAGAAACTGAGATCTACCATTAACACGTTGAGAGTGTGTGTGTGTCTGTGTGTTATCGGAGTGTTATATTAGGATGCTAATTAATTACATTCATTAACTACATTTGTGCGAAGCCATTTAAGAATCAACGTGCCATTTTAATGCGTTAATTAATCACGCTCGTTAATTATATTTGTGCGATGCCATCGAGAAGTTAACCTATTTCAATATGCCGTTTCTCACACATTATATTGATGTTTTAAACAATTCACTTACCGCGTCGCTTAACAATATTCATAATGTTCCCCGGCAAGACAGTCGCGACAGTCCATCGGTATTAGAAAACACGGTAAAAAGTTGACAAGAATTTATGTAAAAAAAAAGCCGTAACATATATTCCCCCCTCCCCCCTCCCTCTCTCTCTCTCTCTCTCTCTCTCCGTGTTCGTAATTAATTAACGGTCGCAAATTACGTCGCAAAATGCGGTTGCGAACGTGACGGTACGGCGGGGCGTTTGGCGGAGCGATCGCGACGTGAATTTGATACGATACGAAGGAGCCGTCGCTTTTACGCGCGTTGCTCCGGCGAAAATGCAAAATGGAAAAGTTCCGCGCGCCCGAAAGTGCAGCGGTGGAGCTAAGACTGCAAACGGCTTTTCGCGGGAGACAAATTCGATGTATCCGGGTCAAAGCGTCGGGCGCCGTGAAAAAGCATCGGGGGGCGCGGCTGTGCACGCCGGATGTGCACGGCGAGGCAAATTGCGAGGCATCGATTGTTCGCGTTAAAACATAGCGACGTAGCAGTCTATTGCCCTCCCACGGAAGCCAGAGAGATTCTTTAATCCAAAGAGCGACGGGGAGATTGTAAATATTTGAATGTTTGCCTCAAAACGGAGGCAAGCAAAGGGGAAAACGGATTGGGCACGTACGGGTCACTGCACGTGTAAATTCGCGAACCCGGGCGGTCCTCTCCCCCCCCCTCTTCCGCGCCGCCCGGAGAAACAAAGTGAAAATAATTTACAGAGACTCAAGAGGCAGGAGGACAAAAGAGCAGCAGCCCCGAGCAAACACACTCTCCGAGGTCTCCTCTCGCTGCGCTCGACATTCTGCGCAGATTCGCCGCGTGCTCGATTAACTTTTAGCGGCTGCCATTAATCGCCACGAGCCGGTCTTAATCTTTCAGTCGCGTCGCGCCGCAACGGGGACACGTTTGCGCGCGCGGGAAGGATATTAGGCGGATGTGTGCATTGTGTCGCGAGAAATTAGAATGAGTAAGTTCGTAAACTGCGGCAATTTTCCGAAATGTCGCGATACTGAGAGCCAAAATCCAGGCGATACTAGGAGATACATTTTTCCCGAAGCGTACAACGTTTCGAGAGGAGGGGCTAAAACGTCGCGAAAACAGCACACGCACATTAATATCTGTTCATCCGAGTGCACTCTTGCTGCACTCGGATGAGAAGATGCCAATGCACTCGGCAGCGCCATGGCACAATTCTGATATTTCGGTAAAATTCTATGTCGGGAGATTGCCGCGCTATTCGGGGATTTCGGTATTACGACTTTTCAGAAAATGGTCCTATTTTTTAAATTTCGATATTTTTTGTCGGATACAATGCACGCACGCACGCCGAATATTAATTTTCCTTCATTCTCAAATTCCTTTTAATTCCTTTTAACACTCCTTATAATAATACAGGCTTGGATAAATTACTATCTTTTTATCCGAATTAAATTTAAAATTAAGGATCCGTAGCATTAACTTGAACAAACGAAAACTAGCTGAATTGAAGGTTAACTTACAATTAAGTTGACATGTGCAAAAGTCAAAATTTTATTGCGCGAAGCAGTACTCACTCGTACTTCACTGTTTTATGCTTAGAATTCCATCCAAGAGAAGAACGCTGGTGTTCAGAGAGAGAGAGGAAAAAATTGTTGCTGGAATTATTATTGATTTTTTTTATTGTACAATCCGAGCAACACTTGCAATAATTCCAATATTGACCATTATTTTAACTCGTGTAAAAAACAATTAGCAAGCAAATTAACAAGTTAACGTTGGCGTGTTTACGTTAAAACAGTTAACTTTCTTAAAATTAATTAAACCAAGTCGAAAGTTACTTGTATCGATTAATTTTTTCATTTTTTAACTTTTCTCCAATTAATTAGTTATTATCCAGCCATGAACTTTTCCAACAGTGCAGAGATAGATCGTCAGTAGAGTTTCTCTACTCTGATTGAAAAACCTACCACATTTTTTATTATATTGACTGTCGAATACAAATATCTCGTAATTGGCGCACGAAAATAATTGTCCACTCCGCGCAAGTTAATTCGTGCAAGTCTCTTCGCAGAAATATCTATTTATTCGTCTATCACGTTTTATACGTCTCATTTTGTATTTTAACGCGCGCGTGTATCTAACTTGTGTTTTTGGCTGGCTCAATCATTTAATTTGACACCGAGACGATTGGATACCTCCTCTTGAATACCGTTTTCCTTTTAATTCTAGTTGAATCGCGGCGAAGTGATATGAAGTTAATTCGTGCAAATTTTCTTTCTCTCTTTCTCTCTCTCTCTCTCTCTCTCTCACAAACGGAACCCTCACGACGCTCATGTCCGTCGCGCTTTGCCGTCGCGTCCATCGTTCTATTGGTGTAGAGCTTGCATTTCGATGCGTGAGAGTTCGCCATGTTCTTATTGCTCCTTCATTGTGTGTATTTCTCTGGACACGGACACGAGGAGACTCGAGGAAGAAGCAATCCCTTTCGTCACCCCGTCGACGTCATCATCCTTCCTTCCTTCCTTTGGCCGCGGCCAACGCTTCCATTTTCCCGGGACCAGGTTTTGCGAGCTTTCATCCTGCGGATGTTTTACGAGCTTGCGTACTCTTCGTGATGAATTTTTAGCTCGATTCTTACACGCGATTCCTCGAGGTCGAGACGGCATTCCGGCGCGCGTATGAATCTCGGCACGGCGAGCAACGCGCGCGGGCGGCGGTCGTTTAATTCCTTCTTTCGTCGGGTTTTCTCGCGCGAATTAATTTTGCGCGAATTGCGAAGGAAAATAACGGAGAACCGCGGAAACAATTTAGTGAAACGGGCGTGGCGGCATCGATTCGCGCGTAGCCCTAGGTCCTCCGATGAGACGCGCAATCTGAGGCGCAAAAAGTCTATTCGCTGTTCGACGACGACGCCTTCGACTCACGCGATCGCTCACTCGCTTTTTTCTTTCGTTGTTGCGCTTCAAGGCAGGCTACCTCTCTTCCTAAAACAGCATCCTTTTATTAAATCTTCGCTATGTACACAGAGAGAACGATTTAGTTGAATCTAACAAATGCTTATTTGGAATAGTCCAAATAAATTTTTTGATTGATCGAACAAGGTTTCGTTTGACGCAACAAAAACATTTCGTTGGAACTAAGCCGCGACAAAATATTCAAACAAAACTTCGTTCGATCAATCAAAAAATTTATTTGGACTATTCCAAACAGCATCCTTTTATTAAATCTTCGCTATGTACACAGAGAGAACGATTTAGTTGAATCTAACAAATGCTTATTTGGAATAGTCCAAATAAATTTTTTGATTGATCGAACAAGGTTTCGTTTGACGCAACAAAAACATTTCGTTGGAACTAAGCCGCGACAAAATATTCAAACAAAACTTCGTTCGATCAATCAAAAAATTTATTTGGACTATTCCAAATAAGCGTCTGTTCAATTCAACTAAATCGTTCTCTCTGCGTATTATATATTTCGATTATAATTTTTATTAAATCTTCATTATGTATTATGTATTTCGATTATAATTTTTATTTACTATATATTGGATAATTATGTACACATCTTTCTTTTTATTTCTGCATTTTGGGGATACAATGTCCTGGAGCGCATCATAAATGTCGTGATCTCTCTTCCAGAAACACTCCCTTAATTATATTTTCATTGTTATTTGCATCATGTAGTTCTAGACTATCATTTATATTTATCACATATTGAGTAATTATGTAAATTTTATGGCACTTCTTTCGTATATATCTTCCTCATTAGCACTTTTGGCTTCTTGCGGATTATATATATGTCCCGCAGCGCATAATAAAATATCGCTATCTCTCTTCCCGGAACATCCCTTCGTTGTATGTTCATCGTCATTTTTACCAAGAATTTCCATTATCATTTGTATTTATCACATATTGGAAAATTATGTAAATGATACTTGACTTCTCTTACGTGTCATATATTTTTCTCTCCGCCCCTTATAGAGGACTATAAGCGCTTCCAAAGCACATAATAAATATCGCTTTATCTCCTTCCTTTTCCCCATTTTTAAAAAAGACATTCACTGATTGCATTTCCACTCTCCTCTTCATTATGCATGTTCATCGTCATTTTAATTTCTCACATGCCGGGTGACGATGTAAATATCACTGAATTTCTCTTGTCTACATTTTGCTCTTTATCATCGCGCTTTAGGGAACAATGTCCCGAGCAGCATAATAAATATCATCAACTTTCCCTCTGAAAGAAGCCTCCCCTAAAAGAGAGAGCACTCCCTAGAACGGCTGGTTGTCTCGTCTCTCGCGTTTCCAACCGTCACTCATCAATCTTTCCTTAAACGCGCCGCGCTCACGACGGCTGCGGCGGCCATCGGCTGGTCGAACGCGCATTTTTGCACTCAATATAGCCGTCGATATCATTATTGATACTTTGCGCGCTCTATCCTCTCCTCCGCGGCGCTCCTCCGTGCTTGGTGCCGGATCCGCGCTTCTTCCGCCATTTCATGGGTGATTTACGAGGCCGCGCGTAATCTCCGAAATGAATTCGCGAGTTCTACCCCGCCGGGCTTCCACTATGTACGCGGCTGATTCTTTTCTTTACGACCAGATACCGCCGGATATGAATTTTTATGTCCACCGCGCGCGCATCTCCGAGATCGCATCAACGGTGACATTACTCAGCATCAGTTTCTTTCGCAGCCGTGCGATCGCCTCGGCCGTTTCTCGCCCTTGCCTTTACCGGAACTATTCCCGAGGCAATCGCGCGGTATCAATCCCCGGCATCTCTCCGGTCTATATTTTTCCGGCCAGCCGGCAGCGAATTGCTCATCGCAGCTCCTACGTACGTCCTTGAAATAATAAAGGCGCCTTCTGCAGCTTAACCCGCTCCCTGAAGCTGTGACGTACGAACAGCTTCCCCGCGTTGAACGCGCGTAATGGATAACCCAAATAGAAATTGAACTTGACTGTTTAGCCACAAGGCAGTAAATTTGTGTCTAACATCGCTGCCAGTTAGTAGCGTGATGTTCGCTTCCCCTATTGGCTACACAAGTGAGTCAACTGATAGCTAGATGGAAGAAATCTACAGTCATGGGGTGAAAAGCCGCACTCATGCGTGAGGAAGCCAGCCGACGCACAGTGGGGCCAGATGACATTTTTTGGTTGAAAATTCTCTAGAGACCTGAATTTCCAACCGATCATCGACACCAATGGATGAGGGGTTGATCCTGAATAAATTCCAAAGTGATCTGTCTAGCCGAAATTTTGAAAAAAATTATCGGTCCGGGGTTTAGGGTTTGTCTTAAAAGTTTATCGTTTAAAGTACAGTGTTTTGGGTTCGACCTCAATGGGTTCGCCTATGGATACTAAATGCAAGACCCCAGAAGAACGTATAATCACCTTTTAGAAAACGAAGAATTTCAAAGCTCATCATTTCAGCCCACATTAAGAAAGAATTAAGGATTAAAATCCCTCGGTTTTGTGCTTAACGGGTCTATATTTGACGTTTTTGCATTTTGGGCATATGAGTTTTGGGTTAATTAATGGGTTTCTGCTTCAAGATCGATAAATCTCGAGGTATCTGTTGATTGGTTTCATAGCTTCAATCCGCTAAATACGCTATTAAATAGAAATAAGTGTCGAATAATGAGTATTTCACAAGTTTCTCGCGTTTAACGATAACTTTTCCTCTTTTGGGGCTAGTAATTCGAGAAAAACATTTTTTTTTTATTTTGGCAAGACAGATCTCTTCGGAATTTATTCAGGATCAACCTCATCCATTGTTGTCGATGATCGGTTGGAAATTCAGGTCTCTAGAGAATTTTCAACCAAATAATGTCATCTGGCCGCCCTATTGTGCAATGGCGTAATGCTCATTTTTGACTCTGTAAGAATTCTACAAAGTAACCTAATTTCAACTTTGATTTGTGTTCTCCGATTTTATTAAATGTTAGTTATAGCAGCTAGGTTTTTTACGCCAAAAAGAGAACGCCGGTTCATATCGCCAAGGTAGTCAAAGTAGATCATGTATTTGATAGTGGACAGCGCCATCTGTTTTATCGCGTTTGATATGTGATGGCTAGATCTCTCGCGAAATTCATCCTACATTTCAGTGAATAATTAACCACTGACGAATAGCAACGAGCTAGAAAATTTAATTTTCCTACGTTAAGTAGCTCTTAGCTTCCGAATCAGGTCAGTTACAGTTCCATTTGGAAAACACACACGACCAGCGTTAACCAGCTTCAAACTCTGTAATCCATTGTATCCCTGAGTTGGTATGAGATGATTGCCGATAGATTTATAAAACTTGTGTCTAGAATGTCAGGGAAACCGAGCGATCATTTTACAATAATAAACTACCTCTCACAACGCGAGAGTTCCAAGAAAACTGTATAATATAAAAAGACTCCAAGCAAACAATGACATTTGAGGAATAAAAAAGGCTTGGCTTTGAAAGCCAAGTTTGATGTCCGAGAGAATCTTTCTATTTTTTCTATTTTTATCTGTATCGTTTTTTGTTCATATAAACAACTCCCTTTATTTTCGCTGAGGCGTCAGCGTTGGCTGTTGTACTCGTCTTTTTGATCTTTCGATTGTGAGCTTCAGGAAATTGCCGCTCTAGCTGAACTGTATAACTAAAACTAAACTACACATGTATATGTGCAGTTCCGTTCTAAAGTCGGTTAGGGGGTAGCCATGATGGCGACGCATCACAGCGGAAGGGCTAATTGGCGAATCGAGCGCGAGACTCGCCGGACTCTTTGACAGGGGCGCAAACGTAAATCGGTCTGTGAATGTCGGCGCCGTGTATGCCACGCGATTACTCTCCGCGGAATCTCGGGAACTGACAAATATATTCTCGTATTCATTTACTGTGAATTTGCGATAAGCTCGTCGTGGGATTTGCGGTGCCGGTGGAACTCTCGGGCAGGATTCTGGTTTACGGGCAAAACTTTCAGTTCCAATACGCCCTGCCGCCGAACGCGACGTTCTTCACGGAGTTCTTCGAGGGCGCGTCGTCGTCACGGCGACGTCGTGCGAGCGTTAGCCGGGACGAAAGGATGACTGTCTACGGACTGTTAGAGGGAGAGTTTGAGAGGTAGGAAACTCGTAGCTCTATGTCGGACGAAAGTGATATCGCCGCGTTATTCGTAGACGTAGACGTAGCACGTCTGCGAGAGCTGCGTTTCGACAAAGCGAGTATCTCGCAGGAAGAACTTCCGCAAAAAGGGTCGATTTTCTGCCCGTTTTTCGGTTTCCTCGATTTTGGAAGCGAATTTTAATTTTGTCAAAAGATAGTTCATGATGAGACATTAATTACTAAGAAAAGTTTTACGTTGACGTCATACGATTGGTTGCAAAGATGTAGAGGGTCAAAGTGGTCACTATCTACTAAGAAAGTATGACACTAATAACGCTTCATCGCACGAATTTTTGCAAAATTCGGTATCTATGAGGGTTCTTTGAGTTGCTGATTATGAATCTGATGTCAGATTAAAAAAATTCAAGATGACAGGTGCAACATGACGGACACACATAGCGAAGCAATCATTTACTTTTATTTATATACTATATATTAACTGTTATGTTGTGGTTTTTTTGGCTAGCTGATTGTGAATTTTCTATTAGATTTTCGAAAGTAAGTTGGCCTTTTTCTCGCCAGCTAACGGAAAATTCAGCTACAATAATTGTTACTTTCGTCACGCCCATAAATAAATAAGTGAAGCAAATAACGCAATAAAATAAGTAACAAAAAGTAAATAAGTAAATATCTAATAAATGAATAATAATTAACGAGTGATCGATAAATAATGGATAAATCTCCCTTTCTCTTGATATACGCAGAGTGCTGGCTATTGGATATTTTTTAACACGTCTAATGACTTTTTTGGGCCTATACTCTCGACAGAAGCAACAATTGCTAACAATATTCACGTTTGTTTGCGTATCTTCGTAATAAGAATTAGATTTCGCTTTCATTTGGTCCGTTGCATTCGACTTTTCAAAAAGTTACTTCTTTCGCCGATTCATTTACGAAAACTCAGAATGTATCTCCTCCTCGCTGATTTTTCAGCTTTGAAGCGCTCCGCACAAATGCACGACACATTCAAAGAGTTGAAGTTAAGAAAAAAAAAGTTCCTTTTCTCTTTTATTGTTCGCAGGAGAGGAATAGACGGAAAGGAGTGCGTGAAAAAGACTATTTGTGAAGCAGCATTGGCGCCTTTGGAGGACGAAGGTCTCGTTGGGGAATTGTTGCATCTTTTTCTCACGTAGGATAAATCGAATTTCTCTCTCTCTCTCTCTCTCTCTCTCTCTCTCTCTCTCTCGCTCTCTCTCTCTTTCTCTTTCTCCATTTCTCTCTCGATCATGTCGCAATTTTAAATATTATTCGTTCCGAGGCGTAATCTTTGTTAATTTCAGGCCTCAGGCCCAGGAAGCAGCGAATTCATCGGTAGATTCCGAATATTTAGAAGCGTTCGAGTTCGGCCGAAGTAATCACGACTGCTCGCGGATCTACCGATCGTGTTTACCGGGTCAGGGGATCCTGGATCAAATCTCGAGCGTGATATTGTAAAAAGTTAAAACGTCGGCTGAAGCGGAAGCTGATCTTGTTGACGGTTTCGCTTCTCTCGACAGAATAACGGGGGCGGTTTAGTTCCAACATTTCCCAACTGATTAGCGATAAATAGAAAGCGACGATTTGCCGACTGGTCGCATATTACCGAGCTGGTAAACGGTCGAAAACGAAGCTGCTATCGAATGGAACTGAGGCGCGAATGAAAGAGAAGAAGAAGAAGAAGAAGAAGAAAAAGAAGAAGAAGAAGAAGAAGAAGAAGAAGAAGAAGAAGAAGAAGCGCGCGACGGGCGGAGCCAGCGATCGATCTCGTGCTCCGGGAAAACCCGTACAGGAAAACTGTCGCGTTTAGTTACGCCCGAGTTAAATTAAGCAAGCGGTGTATCTCGCGGATTTAGCGTTAACCGCACTTCCACTAATTGGCACGGAACGGTGGAAGCTGATAAAGAGGATAGTCGAAGCGGCAACGATTCAAGGCGGACCTGGAAGCGCTATTTTCGCTGGAGATAGCTCCAGCTGCCTGCGTACGTGCGATACCATCGAAACGATCGGCAATCGTGGACGCACAATTCGATATACCTGAAACAATCGCGTGTCCGTCGAGTCTTCTAATAATCTCGACAGGTAAATTCAAGTAGAATCAATCAGAGAGGTAGATGGAGACGGACAGATGGAGATGGATGAGTGGATAAAATCGTCAGCGCGCGATAATGCTGTTAAAAACTAATATATATTTTAATATAGGACGTTAATACAGGACGAAGCATTCCGACAAATTTGTCTGCTAAAATATGATTTATGATATATGTACATATATAAGTCTTAATATTGAGAAGATGTCCAGCAAACGTGACGACGTCAAATAACGCATTAATGACATTTTATCGATATTAGAGACGTCATGTGTGATTAATACGTCATCTGACGTTTACCTTGCTATACGGGAACCGATAAAACTTATATGACGTCTAAAATTATGAAGAAATAATAATAAAATTATGAAGAAACAAACGATTTTTATCTTTTATAATATATATATATATATACAAGATAGATAAGATAAATGTCCCAATTAGCGACGGCGTCGCAATCTGTAACATTTGCACCGATTCTCTTTGGTAAATCACATACACTAGGAAAAAGAATTTAGTATCTTTAACAAAACTGTGTAGTTGAGGCATTTTTTAATAGCAACCAAACATCTTGTTTTGTATAACAAAATATTTAGTTGTCTCAACTAAGTTTTCTGCTTTGTTGTCTGGACCAAATGATTTTGTTATTAGACTTTATATATAAAAATTAAGCATTTTAGTTATTTTATCCGTAAAAATTACATAATGAAATATTATTTTACATAAACTAAAATAATGTCCAATGGATACTATTTTGTCTTTCTGTGCACTAAAATTTAGATTTTATATATTAAGAAAAAATTATAGTATTTTTAACACAATTCATATAGTTAAAACTTTTTGGTTGCTATAACAAAAGTATTACATTATACGAACAAACCGTAACCAAACGAGATGTTTATTTACAGGAACTAAACAATTTTGTTGGACATATTTTAACCAAATTATTTTGTTGTTACAATAATTTGTGTGTATGTGTGTGTATTCGCAAGTGATGAAGTTATAACCGATAGGATATTATTACGATTCTGTATCGTTGTATTTTATTTCGAGTGATCACACGTTGATGTATCACCATTTCCAGTATTATATTATATATTCTCCATTTCAATGTTATATAGTATATTCTCTCTACTATTATATTATACAGGGTATAAAAATATCGGGACGGCGAAAGATCTCAAAAACTAAGCATTTTAGAACAACTGTTTCGCACAACAGTTGTATGGTTTCAAGGGGGGCATAAAGCAACAATATTATTTTATTTACAGATGACACCACTTTCGAGATATTCACTGATCATTCCTTTTCTTAAGTGTGAACCCCAATATTTATATCATCTTTTTCTACCAATTAATTTGGAGAACTTTTATCTAAAATATTTTTTATTTGCTTAATATTTTTTGAGATATTTTTTAATTATATTTAAGGATTATATTTAAAGAAAATTTAACAACTTTTTCAGGATTTAGTTTACGATATCTCAATATAAAAAGAGAATATACAGATCATTAAAAAAAAATGAATTTTGTACTATACGGATGTTTCAGACCACTCGAGTCACCCGATTTTTTCGTTAACGCGACATTTTAGAGAAAAATATTTCAGACAAAAGTTGTTGGGCTTCAAAGGATCTATTTACTGACGCTATGAATTTGATCTTGGGATAACTTTGAAAAGTCCAGTCAAGATCAACATAAAAATCTTAAATGGATATCCCAATTTCTTATTACATCATCCTTTTTTAGCAATTAATTTGAACAACTTTTGTCCGAAACAAAAAAGTTGTTCTGTTGTTTTGTCCGAAAAAAAAGTTGTTCAAATTAATTGGTGGCAAAAGACGGTGTGCTTACAACGACTGCGAGTTACTTGCGTAACGAATTTCCTTCAATTACTTCTTTTAATTAAAGTCCTAAGCAACATGAAGCGTCGCAGAGCATTGGACGCGGTGTATAAGCAATCATAACCCATTTAAGCTTGAGTGCACGCAGAATCCGACGATGTAATGACCGCTCGACGAAAAGTCGCGCCACGAAACATTTACTCTCTTCCTCTTAAAATATACTTAAGATATATGTATAACATAAGATATAATTCATTGAAAGTGAAAGAAAATGTGCGAAACATCTACATTGAATCTTCACGCAAGTTATTACTTAATTATACACAATTAATTATACATTAATTATATCCTTAATTATACGTAATCAAACGTAAGCATATAATTACTTATTAATTTATAATATAAATGAGTAAATGGATAAAATACAAATGGGTTTCGAAACATCAACAAACATGTTCACTCGAAATTGCTGACTCCGGTGCTGACTCACATTACGCACGTGCCTGCACTACTTACTGCAATTTAGATATGTGATGATAACTTGGAACTCTTCTTAAACATTAAGCAACAAACTGTACGTTGATAATGTATAATTTGCGCGTGGAACAATACTACGCAGTTACTGTATAACGAGATACAATTACTGCGATAAAAACGATAAGGAAATACGCTCGTTATCGTTGAAGTACAAAAGTAGATTAGAACTGCTCGTTCCTTCTGCCTTCAGTGTTAGATTACACACTATCTATCGTGCCGTCAACTATCTTGCCGTAAAGCTGAGAGACGTAGTCTAGTTCAGCCGAAAAAGAACAGATACTTAGCTCGATTTTTCTCCCGAAATTTACACAGATTCAAGTTAGAGGTGTATCATTTCAAACATACGATTCTAAGAGAAAAGCTTCAAGTTTTGCCGATACTTTCCTTCTCTAATCTTTATACCACACTAGAATTTAATTTTTATTTTTTATTCTCTTAAATTCTCAATTGTGTGCAAAATTGGATTTTCCTTTGTATCATAAAATGTAGCCCGAATGTACTGAAGAAAACGCTGAAAAAATTGCCTACAATTTGCCTATTTCTGCTCCGATTTCAGGAGAAGCAGAGAAGCTACTTTTTAGAATAAGAATAGGGTTCTCAATTGGTATCGAAATCTGATAACCAGAGACAAATCTGAGAATTCTAATCGGAGTATACGCCGTGTTCGGGAAAGTGCAGAGACATTTCTACGCGAGTAGGAGCCGAAAAATCGAAAGATCCGCGCGGTCGAAAATCAATGAATCGCCAATGAAGCTGGGAGTGTCAGGAGTTTCGGTTTGGGGTTTGGGCGAGTCGCCGCGCCGTCGGCGTCGCCGGTCGGTATGGGCTATTTGCAATGGCGAATAGGGGTGATGTAGCGTGGCCGCGGGTAGTGCGACGGAATTCGAGAATGAAGAACAGAAGGGAGATGAGAGGGCTGTACGGCTGTGTAGGCTACGAGGGCAACGAGGACATCAAAGGACTTAGCCGATCGGGTCGCCGAACGCAATTAAAACTTTTCTACTTCCACCGGTTAATTTGTCTTTGTTATCGGTGCGATGGCACGACACTCCCTTTCGTTATGAAGCGCCGCTCATTCGATCCGCTTTTTCGACGCCCGCTGCTGGCTCATTGTCAGCAGCAGCAACGGCCATTGCTACTTCGGCTGTTTGAATATTCCGTCGGAGATAACCGAGCGCGAAGAGAGCCCTTCGTTTGTTCGCTCGGCCCTGTTCCGAAAGTTTCGCTCAGTTGTCCTCGTCGATCAACCTTTTTCGAATATTATGCACGCGTACTGTGCATCCGTGGACGACGAATTGTCCTGAAGTAAATTTAGCAAAGCAAGTCTAAAATCCATATTGATAGTTCATTACGTGAAACTTGCCTCAAGTGAGATAATCTGATTTAAATCTGAAATTAAATGCAAATTTTACAGACTAATCACACGGCTATCACACGGAAAGAAGCAACTCCCTTAGTGCAACTGAATTCTCTATCTGCTTGGGCGCAAGATGAAAACTCGGTTGTTTAAGAACAGAAAGATCTTTATAGAAAGTTTCCGTTTTCACTCAGTCAATTGTTCTCAAGTGCAAGAATGAAAATTTTTGATATATTTACATAACATATGAACAGTAGAAAAATTTTGTTTATTAACAAATATTCATATAAATATATGTCCACTTCAATTTTAAACGCGTTTCTCTCGAAATTTTATTGTTTAACTTTTTGCAGTGATTTCACCGAAACTGAGTTTCGTATCGATTTGAAATTTTAAAGCAATAATATTTGCTCATTCGGCTCTCAGGTGAACCATGGACAACTCCGTCAAAATATTTCATTTCGAGATATTAATTTCTTTATTGTAAAAGAACTGAAAAATTTGAATTTTTTCCTAATAATAGCTGTCATTTTGTTAATTTTGTTCGATTTTTTTTTATAATACTTCACTGGATAATGATAAGCCTTCTTAAGATTTCTAATTAAAATTCGCTCTGATCGGACCACCGAGAGCCGAGATATTATTGCGAACGACAACTTGAAAAAACGACAACTTGAAGAAAAAAGGAGAATATATTTCAGCTATATATATCGTATATTTATATGAGTATTTGTTAATGAACAACATTTTTCTACTCTTCACATGTTGTATAAATATACCTAAAATTTTCATTCTCGCACATTTATTCAGTTCATCGCAAAATATTGTCAAAAACAAGCATGATTTTTCAGCAATCTGACCCTCCAGTCCCCTTAATCTACTGTTAGAATTTAAAACGATCCATAAAAAGGTCACTTTGCTCCTACCAAGTATCATAATTATTCCACACAGCACGCTTTATAAACTCCTACACACGTACTCCACCAACACAAGAAGGATGTTGCACATTTAATTGTAATGAAGCGACTCATATATGTATAGCAGAGCCAAACCCCAAGCCATCTAATTACGAAACATCGATCCTCTGCAATTTGCGATCTTTTGCGCCGTGCGAAGAAGGAGAAAGAGAGAGAGAGAGAGAGAGAGAGAGAGAGAGAGAGAGAGAGAGAGAGAGAGAGAGAGAATGCGGCGTAACGAACTGGATTCGATCGGCAATTATTCCCGGCAATTAATCCGCCGTTTTCACGAGGCGCATACGCGGCGCGCATAGACAGTTAAGTATGCGCTATTTACAACGATATCGGGTAACAATTGGTATTCCGCGGGGAATCGCGACCGAATAATCGACGGCGTCGCATCGGCCAGGCGGACGACGGTAATTTCCGCAGTTTACACGGCCGGTCGAAATAACGCGAGTTCTCTCGCGCGACGGAATTCACGAGCTGTGGCTGCCGCAAATCTTAATCGTCGCGAGACGACTTGTCGGGCGAGCTCGAGGAACTCGAAAATACCGGGGAAGGGGAAGCTTTCTCGAGGATTCTCTCTCTCTCTCTCTCTCTCTCTCTCTCTCTCTCTCTCTCTCGCTGTGAAGTTGCCGGTGCGAGTGGTCGCGGTGATGCCCGTAGTGGATCCCGGCGTGAGGTGTGCGTCACGTCTCGTCGGCGGAAACTCTCGCACAAATCGAAACGGATCTCGCGGTAACTCGGTCCCAAGAACCCTTTCCGCTTCCGGCTCACCCTCCCGCCGTTCTTGTCGCGCGAGACACAACGAGACAGCGTTGATTATTATGCGCTCGCTGTTTCGAAGCGGCATCCTCTGCCTTGTCCTCGTCGCGGCAATGACGTCCCCCGCGCATTCCGGCAGGCCGACCAGGGCACTGGCTTTCCGCAAGGGCAGCAGCTTTTTCGTAAGTCTCAGCGTCTTTCCCGTGAGTCTCTTCCGATTCATTCCCGGTAACACTCGGCCGGATTCGATTTCGAGCTCCCGATGAGTCCGCATCGGCGGATATACTTTAGGCTTCGCCTCGAAAAGGGGAAAAAGAAGTGTCGACGGTCGGAAGACGGTTCGGGTGGATTTAACGATTTTCAGCGAAAAGCGCGAGCAAAGGACGGTTGCTGGAGGAAACGCGGACGGTACACGGGGAGAATATTATGTTGCAATTTTATTTTATGAATTATAATTCCGAGTGATACGATTTATCGCACTTTACCACATTTCTTTCACGGAGAAAATTTTTATCGAATATTGTACCGTATCGCGGTGTAACTGAGGTATGTTTTACGTACGGTAACAAAGAAGAAGGACCAATATAACTCTATATAAACCCCGCAGGATTTTCAAAAATATTTTTTTTGTATTATCTGATTATGAGAAATGTGAAAAATAACCATTTGGTCAGGAAAAACTCGATCGGTAAAGCCGAAATTGATTATTATTATTAATTATTATTAATTATTAAATTCTACAAATTTTATATGTAATTTTGTGTTTGCGTATACATCAGCAATACACTTCATCCTTTAGTCAACGTCCAATTGTCATGCTCTCCAAGCCGCTTTTGTTAAAAAATAACTTTTTTCACAAACAACGAACGACTGTTAAAATTTCTCGAGCGTTACTGGGAGCGATGACCTCGATAAGTGTCAAGGTAAAGGTTACCGGGGCTGATCGAAATAATTAGCATTTCCATCATAAAATTCCCTCTGCGTATCGTCGAAACGGAGACGATTGAATCAGCCGGAGTGAGAAGCTCCATGCGGAACGTGATATTTGGATTTCACAGATGCTCGAACATAAGCGGCCCGATAACGTGTAAATATTTCGACCGGATGGATCCGCACTCGGCTCGGCTAAAGGATTAAAGACACAGACACAGATCGCGACGCGGAGAGGCGAAGATCGCAATATTCTCACAGAGCATTCCTCGAATGATTGTTTCGCTTTGGTCTTCTGCGCGTTAAATTGAAATTCTAACGTGTAGCACAGTAGTGAATGCTCGCGGCGCGCTCTTGCCATGATTACGCACGCGCTCTCGCTCTCCCGATGCAATATGAAAAAGATCTCCATTCATGTAGAATGTATATACAGACGCAGACACACATACGTACACGCGCGCACACGCATACACGCACAATCGCAGTGAGAATAATATTCGATCGGATCCGTGGCGAAGAATGTTGTCGGAAATACTCCGCATCCCTGGGATAATCGAGGCGATATATATTATTTTGGATTAATTACATTCTCATTATCCGCGTGGACGGAAAAGTGTATCGTCCGTGGAAAATGCGCGGAATTTTTTTACGTAATTCCGGTCGCGCTGGCGATCATTTGCTCGGATTGTTTCGGCTTTTCTGTCATTTTGAGCCACCCGCCCCTCCCTCTCTCTCTCTCTCTCCCTCCCTCCCTCCCTCATCTCTTCTCTTCTCTTCTCTCGCACGGTGGGAGAGCAACCGCTCGGCGAGTTTCAATATTCAAATGCCGGGGAAGGTTGCTGTCGGTGCTGCTTTTTTTTCGTCTTTCGCGAAACAGCTGCGCGCGTGAAACGACGCGTTATGAAAATACTCGTTTTGCGTTCTCTCCTCCGTAATTTATACGATTTCGCGTCCAGCTACGTCGAATGTAACGTGCGCGGGCGCATACGCGCGAATACATTATAACTTTTATCTTTCTGAAATCGTTCGCGCTCGCGCTACACGCTTGCCGGCTCGCGATATTAATAAAAATACGAATCGATCGTGTCCGCGCCAGCGGGACAAATGGGTATCGTCTGGACGTCGTAAAATCGAGCGGGAATCCGTCTCGTCGCGGCGAGAAAAATCGAGAAAAAGGAGAGAGAGAAAAAAAGAGCTGCGCTCGCAATTTGAATGTATCAAAAGGACATGCGAGCGCGCGCGCGTTCGACGATGTCAGGTAAATGGATTTCTCACTGAAGCGGGCCATAAAAAGCCGCAAGAATCAATGTTGGATAACATCCCGTATCCATGGCGGCGCATAGCGGTACTGTTTATGCAGCGTCTGGCGTGCCGCTGCGCCACGGAGAGGAGAATTTATGCGCCATATGTACACGAGACTGGCTCTAATGTAAACCGATCGGAGCTGCCCGTATTTTCGCTTTAAAAGGCACGAAGCCGCGGATGCCGGGTCGTATTTTGAAGCACGATGTAGCGCGCGGCATTAATACGGTATACGAAGCTAAACGCTCACCGTCCGCGTACGTCTGTCGACGATGTGACTGTACGATGTCGTCGTACGAGCGAGAAGGCGCGACCGGAGGAGCCGGGGCCGATGAAAATTCACCGTGGCCACTCGGCCGTCCCGAATGCGCGGGAAAATGCAATTTCGCCGAAAGAGAAAGAGGAGCGCCGCCGCCTCGCTGGGGATTCGCTCAAATCGAAATGTCGCGGCGGTAGCCGGGAGGAAAAGATGTACAAAGAGGAAGAGGAAGAAGAAGAAGAAGAAGAAGAAGAAGAGAAAATCTCGAGATACATTTCAGCCACACAGAGAGTCTCCTCGAAACTCTAAACATCCCAATCCAAATCTCACCGATCGACAATCCAAGCGGCAAATCCGGGCTCGCCCGCCTTCGATTCGAGCCTAAATATCGAGCGGCACTTTGCATATTCGGAACTTTGCACGCGCGTACGGCCGATTCGAAGGATAAGGCTGCCGGCGCGGCGCAACGAGCGAAAAAATGCCGCGTGGAGCAGCAGCCCTCGCACGAAAGTAGCAGGTGTCCCTGAGACCGCGCACTCCATTTTCGACTATCCTGTGCCGCGGAAGAATTATGCAGCTCGTGATGATCCAGTGCACTTACGACGAAGTGCACCGCAATATCGATGATACGCGCCGCGCGTTTACCGTGTGCATTATCCGACATCCGGGAGCGGAGTTTAGGATCAATATTCATGAATCAACGTTGTCTCCTTGTATCTCATCCGCATACAGCGCGCGCGGAAACATACGTGTTTCTCTTCTCGTAGTTGAACGACAATCTGCATACATTCCCATACATACATACACGCACATTTTTGTCATTAAAAAATATATATATATTTTTTTTTTTGAGCTTGTCCTTGTGTGTGTGTGTGTGTGTGTGTGTGTGTGTAAGTATAAGCAATAGCTACTGCTACTTTGACTACTACTTTCGAAATATGAAAGTGGGATTTTTTTAAACTAATTTAAATTATTTATTATACGATAATATATACAATTATATGTAATTTATATAACTTATTTATCTATTATTTAAATTTATCTGTCAGAAGTTACACATGACGCAGAAGCGTCCCTCACAAGGACGATTCCTTCTTCATCATTCGTGTTCACTGCTCTTCATAGTCGAGTCAAAGTTTTAATACGAAAACGTAACATTTCACTGAAAAAAACAAAGATGATCTTCAAATCTTCAAAGTTGCCATCCATCTCGGAAAGAAAGGACAGCCGCTTTTGTTACTTCTCTCGCAATTTCTCAGTTAGAAAAGAATTTTTACTTCAATTATTTATCATATATATATATGTATATAAATAATATCAATTTGAAGAGACGATTTTCTCTTGAGAGCGAGAGCCCTTTGAAGGCGCTCGAGGTTGTGCGAAGGAATCGCGCTCGCCACGCTCCGAGCACTTTATCTTCTTCCTGCCTGGCGCGCGCGCGCGAGTTCGAGAACGCATTTTGGAAGCTGCAGGGAGCATCGTCGGAAAATTATGCAGCATACGGCGACGCGATGCACATTCGCGTATATATATTTCGTCGCGGCAACCTGAAGGCGAGCAAGACAACGGCGACGAGCGAGTGAAGAAGGAACAGCGCAGCAGGGCGAGGAGAGAAGAAGGGGGAGCGGAACGGTGCCTTCGAGCCGAGCATAAATCCGATCGCCTTAACGTATTTTCAGCCACTAAGAAACAGAGGTGGCTGCAACGCGGTAAGGTGGGCGCCGGTATGCAGCGCGTCTCTGACAAACGGCTTGCCAGATCCAGGCCAGACGCCACCCTCTGTCGCGTTTACACGGGGCTCCGAGGCCGGAGCGGAGCGGAGGGCGGGGGGAGAGAGAGAGAGACGGCACCCAGGGCGACCCGCAGTTTAATAGGCACCGCCGGGAACCGCGCGCACCACCTGCTTCGCCACTCTATCCTCGCGGCGGCAAGAAAACGCCGGAAATCGAGCGACGCAATTCAAACGTCGGAAGATAGAAGTGGACGCACTGTGGGGATCTCGAGGGCGCAGGCGAAAAGGGATAGGGGGCGGAAGGATGTCGATATCGCGGGGTTACATCACACCCTTGGGAACTTTTAGTCGTGAACTTGTCGTACGTTCGGCACACAATGCACAGCCGAGGTATTTCGCGTATATAAATTCCACTCTTTTTTGCAATAAATCTCTCTCGTAATAAATATACATAATGCCCCTTGTCGGATTTCGGACCGAGCGGTTTTGCCCGAAGTTGGAGCCGACCGCGAGACGTTCGTGTTGAATTTTAATTGTGAGCGGGGGGCAAGGTTTTCTTGACGGTGCACGTTTTAAGATTGCCCAACGCGTGGAGAAATCTATATGGGAAATCTATCGCGAATCTATCTTTACGAATTTAATTAAGTATTCTTGTTCAATTCGCCTTTTTCTCCTATGTAAAATTTGATTAGTCGAAAATTGATACAACAAGTATCTAGAAATTGATTAAGAAGTGATTCAAAATTACCTGGAAACTGACTGATTTCATTGTCTAAAGTGTGCCAATTAGCGACAATGTCCCAATTAGTGACAATTGTATTCATTTTCCCCAATAAATTAGCTCTCTCTCTCTCTCTCTCTCTCTCTCAATACGGTTCCATATTCGTCCCAAACTAAATGAACTAAGTGCTGAACCATCATAATTACGAGCATACCGCTGACGGCAACAGTTTGAACAGTATTTGCCGACATCGTAGAAGTTGATAGTTAATATCAGATGAACATTTATTAGATCTCAGGTGCACATTGGGAAGAAAGTGAAGATGGTTGTTCCTGCAGATTTCCAAGAATAGACTGTTAATGAAGAGGTAAAATTAAACCGCGACGTCACAGAATGTCGCGATGGTATTTCAGTACTTCTACTGGAATGTTTCCGTAAGTGAGAAAATGACAATTGAAATTCTCAATTTCTCATTGCGCTTTCCTAACAAAATCAACTTTGTGCATTTATAGCCTAAGGCGCACAGTGTTAATTTATTTTCACTCACTTGCTCAATGATTCGCTTGGCATTCGCTTTGGTTACCGCTGGGACAAGTGTCGACCAAACCGATGAAGAAGAACTAAAAAGCGACACTGGGGACAAACGCTAGAGTCAAAGTTGGACCTCTGCGAAGTGTCGGTTCTGTGTGAGCTTCGTGTTATTCTCGCAAATTTTTAATTCCAAACATTTCGCGTCTCGCTTTGCGTTGGGCGAGCTGGGACGGGAGTAAAGCGAGAGCGTGTTGCAGCGACGTCGCTCTACGACGTTGGAACTTGCGAAATCTCCGACAACCTCTCGAAGATTTTTCCCCGGAGTAACGCGTCCTGGGAATGCATACAAATTGATGTCGGAGAACTTTATTTATGGAAGATCGATAAGTGGCGCGGAAGGTTTCCGCTGTATTGCTTGCGCGCGCGGATAATGAGAGAATAACTCTCGTAAGAATCGCGGCGCGGGGACGGAATTTTACGATAAGTGTCTCGTTATTTACGGGCGGACATAAAGATAAAATCATGAGGAGCGAGAGAGAGAGAGAGAGAGAGAGAGGAGACAGAAGGGAGGAAGATCCTCGCGAATGCAGAAGAAGAAAATAATACGAGCCGCGCTAACGTTAGAACGTGCGAGCGCGGATACTTTTGCGCGGAGAGAGCGGCGAATAATTCACCGCGGTAATTCGGATAAAACCGGAGAATCGTCTCGGGACGATTCCCAATCCTACCGCTGGCGGCCGAATCGAACGGCTGATTGGGAATTCGGGAAAGTTTTCCTATGGAGATTACAGCGATTTCGTATATATCCGCCGCCCCGATCCTCCCGATACGGGATTATGATTTCGGATTCCGAGAGACTCGCCGCGCCGCGCCGCGTCGTGAAATGTCGCGCACGCGCGACTCCGTCCGCGGAATTCTTTCGGTCTTTCGTGGCGTTTCGTGCCGCGACCGTAGGGTAGGCGTAACGGGCTTGTTTCGAGGGTTTCGTTCGAAGAGCAGAGATTAAGAAGCTTCGGGATAATTGAGGAACTCGCTGATGACAAAATTGGAAAAGATTGACGACTGGAAATTTGCAATTTTTTTTTTCCAGAGTTAATAAACTGCGATTTTACGCGGATTACGGAGAAGAGGATTGGCTGAATTAACGCAACAGTGAAATGAACGGATGAAGCTCCATGATACGTATAGCACGCAATTACTTAGGTTCATGAGATTATAACTACCCGCGTAGAAACTTCTCAGGATTTTCCCAGGCACCACTTGGGAAATCCCACTTTTATTCCAAACATGGATTGTCTGTCTGAAACCGAGACAGAAATACTATTGGGAGCTCGCCCCCTTTTTTTCCGATCGGTAACGTCGATATATATATATATATATATATATATATTTATATGGTATCAAACAGGAAATCCCATTTTTATATCAATATCCTATTGTGCGCAACGGAATAAAAATAAAAAATAGAATTCTAACAAAATAAACTCCATTTTGAAAAAAAAAAAACTTTGGGCTTTTCTGTTTAATATGTTATGTAATATTAAAATAAAAATATAATATATTGCTTCACTCACACAAGACACTCATCATCATTGTGATTTGAAAAAGAGATCGAGCAAAATGTTTGAGGCAGTTGGAAGCATGCGTGAGGCTTTTTGAGTATTATTTATGCTTGTAAAGTGTACACAAGTGCTCAAAACGTTTCAGATATTTTGTTCAACATAAATATAAAGTAGAAACCGAGATCTGTTTGGGGTTTCCCATTTAGTATCACATTTTTGAAACACGACACTTCCAATTCGAATTTTCATAGATTTCCCGGTTGGAACTTATCATTCTTTAGAGAAATCAAGATGAATCTCAATTAAATATCCCGAAACATTTTCTAAAGGACTTATAGTTTCATTTTGGCTGTGATTACATACGCCACGGTGGATCTTTGGAGAGCAACTGGCTCGAACGGCAAGCCAGCGGAAGCGCGCCTGACGGTGAATGAGTTAAGGGAAACAGAATTTCTCTATTCCTCGCGAATTCGCTCCTGAGAAGCAGAAATTCTGTCTCCTTCGAGTCAGTTTTCCTCCGCCTTATGACTCACGGCGAATGAACAATTTTTCAGATTCGGCTGAACTACAAGATAAACTCGTTGCCTTACACCGTAATCTTCGCGCAAGCGGCTGGCTTCAAGGCAGCATGGGAATTGCCGAGCTCCGGTGAGCCCCGGGTCGTCCGGTCTGTCTCCGACATCAGCGAGCACGTCGAGCTCGTGTACGAGAGGTAATAAATACTGTAATAGAGGTCCTGCATAATACAGGTCCGCTGGCAATCGCGGGCAAACGGGAGGAATGTCGGTAAAATGTCGGGGGTGCTGCGTCGCTTCGGGTGTCGCGAGCGAAGCGGGAGAGAAAGGGAGAGATCGGGAGAGCCGCCGCTGAAGGAAGGGTGAAGTGCCGGCTGGATTTCTGGCTGCCTGACCGAAGACTTCCGCCGCCACCGGCGAGATCGGATAGCGGCCAACGGTGCGCTACGTCTCGACTTCCGCGCTAATCTTCGGCCGCAGCTTCTCAGGCGCGATTCAGAAGGAATTGACTTACGCATCGAAGTTTCTCTCCAGCAGTTCGACGTGTTGGAACATCGTCCTCCTCCCGGAGATCGATCGTCGCGAAAATCTTGGGGCGCATAGCCGCGGAGAAATGAGAATTCCTCCGTCCGTCCGCTTTCCTTCGGCTTTTCCTCGCGGAGGTCTTGGAATCTGCGGATGTTGGGGACTAGTTGATATCTCGGTGATGAAACGATGAGATTGTTAATGAATGAGTTATTAATTAAACTTTTGATCATCGGCTGGCTTTTTTTATTTTAGAAATGTATGCTACACTGATAGGGAAGGGAATGCATATCGGACAATATTGGGCGATAATCGATTAAAATTTTAGTAGTCTAAAAAATCGGCCGATCAGTCGGCAGTAATCAAAATTAATTAATCGTCATGTTTGCAATTATGAGTAATTTAATTGTTTGGTGAGATTAATCATTGATCGGTGTATAGCCAATGAAACAAAACAATCGAGGATTTATTCGATATTAATTTTGATTGTTTTAATCGACCAAAATATCGATTGATTAATGACCAACACTGACCACCAGATATGGTAGATACAAGTAGTTTCTGAAAAAAAGCTTGCTTGGGGAACGGGAAAATTTTATTGGAAAAGATTAAATTTTATTACAAGAGATTAAAAGTAATTCTGCGCAATCGATGAGACATGAACTCTGCGGTATTCCGTCGGTCAAGTTTTCAAGTACGAATAATGAGAGAACGAAACTCGAGCTCAGCAGGATCTTCTCGATCTTCTCGAACTCTTCAAAGTGTCTGTGGATTCTGAGACCCGCAATTAACGCCCCTGTCGCTTTCATCTCGGTAATAAGCGCATCCTGTTTGATGAATCGCTCGATCGAGCAACGTATGACGTTCCAGTCACGGCTTCAACGGTCGCTCCTGCCTGCTGAAGAGCATCTGCCAGGTGTCGCGGTACATGAATGGGCAGGACGGTGTTATAAGGAAGATTTTGAAGCTACTCGCGAGGTTAGTGCCGGTTAGCGTTGATCGTACCAATCGTGCACGGTGTTAAACGCGCGTTGCTTGCAGGTCGTCGCTCAGCAACAGCACCAGACACGAGGATCCGTTGCTGTGCGAACGTCAGGCCAGCGACTGTCCTCTGCAGCTGATCAGGCTGGACAGCTTCGCGGGGAGCGTCGTGTGAGATCTCTTGTATTCTTCGTGAATTAATAAATACAAATTAAGTCACCGCACACACCACGACCGTGATCGACGCCTGTTTGTTTGCTCTCGCTCGGTTATGAAACGAGCGAGCCATTCCGGCCGCCTACAGAACTGCCGCTCGATCGCACTCCTATCTGCGGTGTTATCGTCAGACGACGTGGGTGAGAAATGACGACGGTTAATGAAACATTTGTCATTCCGCAAAACCGCATTCGAATTATTCCCGGGAGAGATTCCGGCTTAGCGAGTGGTAAAATATGACGGCGCGTCAGACGACTAAATGTAGTAAAAATATACGTCTCGCTGAAGATTGGACGGTGGGAGAGGCGGGGTGAGGGAGGGAGGGGGGGGGAGGCGCGAGACGAAGTACGCATTGCAAAAAAAGGGAGAGAGGATATTTCTACCGGAGCGTTATATACGTCCCGGCCCTCAGCGCGCCATTAATTTGTCTTCGTAATGGTCACTGCGGAAAAAAATATTTGTCGTTTTCGTGCATTATTCTTGCACCTCCCCCACCCCTCCTCTCTCTCTCTCTCTCTCTCTCTCTCCTGCTCCGCCCGTGTCCTTCGTCTCCGCTTGTCACATTCCGCGACAGGACGATTATAATTGCTACTCGTCCCCCCCCCTTCGCTGTGCTTTCCAGCGCCACCGAAAAGCATTCATTTGGACTATCGCGCGACTACCTGACAATTAAAAAGCGCCGCACTTTGCCGACGCAATTTGCCAACGCAAACACACATATCACATTCGGTAGCCGAAACTGCGGTCTCACCGCCGCGCGCCGGCTTACAATTACGTTAATGATCCGAAGTCGCGTCGTCTAAATGACGCGGCGGACTCGCGGTCGCGTAAACCGAAACAACGAGGCGCGACTGAAAGGAACAGCGTTTCGAGAGAGTGAGTGTCTTGCATTTTCATTAGCACTCACTCCCTGCTTCTCGCGCGGCTCGCGTCCGTTTTCCCACATCTACCGCACTCGGTTATCCGGAATTTAAAAGTTTCGACGAGAGAAGAGAGATACCGCTTTCGCCGCGGAATCAACGGGACCTTGCTTGTGCGAACAAAATTCGCACGTTCGGACGAACGTTTAGTCGACTGGACAATTTCGTTAAATATGATTCTTAATGAAATAATTTATATATAGCTAAACTGATATATAGTTTAATATTGTCTGATATATTTATATAGCTTAATTAAATGTAATTGTTGCAGTTGATTCGAGATTTCCAAGAAAATATTGTTTAGGACTCCACTGAGATGTAGTCCAACTTTCCGAAATCTATATATACAAATTTGAATTATAATATCTTTCAAATACGCGACTCCAGGTGGGAAATTCTCCATTTTCGCAATATTCCATCTGGTTTTCATTTTATATTGGAATTTCTTTTGGTTTTTCATTTTATTGAATATAATGGCGTAAAAATTATGCAGTGTTTACTTTCTCTCGATTCTATATCGGTGTGTTAATTTTTCGATGCCGGTGTGTCAAGTAATTTCATTCGCCCGACACAAATGTTTCACCGCGCTTTTCAAGTCACGGTATCTAGGCAAGCCAATTCTCTTTTTAGGCGCGCGCTTCAATCACTGCGTATTGTCCTGTCGGCGTCGAGCCTTGTTAGGAACGAACACGTCGTTGCCGCGAGATCGCTCTATTAGCAGGTAAATGAATTCTCTCGACGTAATCGTCCGGAACCTCCCGCTCATGATCGACGGATGTGTTCCAGTTGGGATATCAAAGGTGCGACGTGTCGTATCCGGCGAAAGTTTCTCAACGATCGGAAATACGGAACAACAAATTCCGCAGCTTGCCGCTGTGTTATACACCCGTAATCGACGTTGAGGAGTTTTACACGCGAATACGAATCTCCAAGGTCTGTCGGTCGTGAGACTAGCAGCTCCATGAATACACTGAATTCAATGATACTCGGTTCAATGACTCGCGTGAAATCAATCTACAATCGCTCCAATGATATTACGCGCAAATAATAATGATAATAATAGCAATAGCGACAACAATAATAACAATAATAATAACACTGTATCGGACGTAGCTCACAATTGACAATGTCATAATTAATAGAATGTGAGAATATATATTGCATTGTTTCATCGTAGAATTTCTTTTCAATTTTTATTATATTTTCTGGTAGTGCGGAGGTAGGTTGTTAGCATAGCTTTTGTCTCTCCCTGAGAGATATAATAAATTGTCCGAGTAGCAGAATTTTGTTTCAAAATATAAAACATCATAACACGAAACACGGAAGGAATAATAAATAATAAATGTAGGTGCGTAGAGAAAATATCGTAGTAAAAATTACATTGGAATATCCTTTTTTTTTTATAACTTCCCGATTATTATTGAAATAGTTATAATAACAGAAAACAAAGCAAAACATTCAAGTTGCTATAATGTGGTGTGATAAAAACTTAAAGGCGTATAACATTTTTTTAACAAATACGTACTAATTTCGGTCGTAATTTCTGTACCGTTCAGAATTACAGAAAATATTGCTGTAACTCTTACTACAGTATTTCTCGTGGTGTAAAATATCGACGTGTTCCTGCACGATTACAGCACTCTACGGTAATTTGTGCTATAAAATTCTCTTCGGTATTTTGATTCTTTTCGACAATGCGTGTTCATCGATATTGCAAGGATCATGTCATCCTAGCTGCCGGTAAAGCCGATAAAGCAGGTAAAAGCAAATGATCCTTTCTGAATGGGAAAGTATGATATATCAGTTACGAAACTGCGTAAACGCAATCGCCGAGTTACGACGAGCATATTTTCAAAACTCAATGCGTTCGTCGATCGTGAAAGATAGCTTGCACATTTTTGCGCAAGCGAGCTAAACTTCGATGCGTTATCGCGCGGTAATAAAACGATACATTTATAAGTTATATCGCACCGCTAGAAGGAGGAAGGATCGTCGAGTTTATTCATATAACAGCGACCACTACTTGTTTTTATTTCGTAACTTTGTCTCATTTGATGAAAACATTCGTTAAACCTTTTTACAGTTAAACCAGTTAAACACGCAGCATCCAATGGCAACAGCCAGAAACTTCAACTTTATGAATGCCCCGAGAAGAGAAATATTTTACATATATAGGATGTTGACAAAAAAAAGTTTAGGACTTTAAAGGCGGATACTCACAAAATGGAGAGGAAACGTTCTAACAAACATGAGATGAGAAATTGATATTGTCAAAGTTATGACCAATTATTTATTTTAATTAAAGCAAGTGACTTAACTTTTGATGCATAGCCATACATTTCTGCCACTTCTTGATTAGAATAACAAGATGTCGTTCTGTAAAAACTTTGTGATAGCCCTCTGCAATTGTTTATTGTTCACGAGGATTTGTGTCAAATAATTGCTTGGGGCGAAAATAGATATAGAAAATAGATAGATAAAAAGAGCGAAGAAGCCTTTCTTTAGGGATTTCTTCAAAGCATGTTACTCACCGATAAACGACATAGACAAATCACACCAGAGAATACAGAAGCACCAGAAGCGAGTAAGTCACTTCCTTTAATTAAATTAAAATAAACAATTGTTCATAACTCCGACAATATTCATTTTTCGATGTTCATGCTTACCGGGGCGATTTTTGCCAGTATTATTTAAGCCCTTCTTTTTAAACACCCTATACAGCACGTCAGCTTTTCACATTGATATCAGCAAACAAACGCGTATCTGCTTAAACTCCGAAATTGTTGGGAAATTAAACGCTTGTCATTTTTCTAGATCCCTGACCCGCTGTGCTGTGCGACGGCCACGTCGCACGCAGTGCGTGCGTGCGTGCGTGCGTGCGTGCATCTCCCGGTGCATCCCGCGCTAAATACGCGCCTGGGTGGCGGCCGTGGCGGCAGTCGCGACTTAAAGCGCGCGCCCTCGTTTCTCTATACGTTATCCCAACGGCCGGCTGTCACCCTCTACCCTCAGCAGCCGGACTGTCACATTCCAGAACAGAGCGGTTATAATTGCATCCGGCGGTCCCGGCGGGCCGCGCGTTAACGAAAAGCATTAATTTAGAATGCTCTGTGGTTTTCTTGTCAGAAAACCAGCCACGCGCGCAACTCCCATATGCAATTAACGGACGCTCGTACCGCCGTTATGCGCCGCAGGCTTGGCCGCGTCCGCCTGCGTCTCCTCCGCCGCCAACAACGAGGACATAAGAGTCGGCCGGGGGAAAAAAAAAGTATGTTAGCCTGGCTTTTGTCAGGCTTGATCCGCGCGAGCAGATAATATTACGCGCGCGCGCGCGGCAAGCTCGGACTCGGTGTGCGTCTATATGTATGTGTGCGTCGGGGACACAAAAAGATTCGATCGCGGTGAATGTGCGCGAAGAGAGAGGCCGCCTGATAGCGGCAGTTAGCCGGAGATAATAAAGGGTTGAAAGGGCGGAGAGGATGAAATGTACTGGAAAATCCCAGGCGAAATTAAATGACGATTCCTCCAGCGCTCCGTTCAGCCCGCTTATTATTCTAATGTCTCGCGTAATTATCGCGCGCGCGCGAGAATATCTCCTCGCTGCTTGTACATTTCGTTAATAAAACGCTCCCATAAAATAAGCGCGTTTCGATTGTGCGCGGACTTGTATGCGCGCGCGTGTAGTTTTTTGTTCCGATATAATGCACGGGATAATCCGCTCGATGGCTTCGACGCTTTTTCCTCGCCTACTTTCCTTCTTCTTCTTCTTCTTCTTCTTCTTCTTCTTCTTCTTCTTCTTCTTCTTCTTCTTCTTTCCGCTCGGTTCTTTCTTCTTACAGGAAAAGAAGGAGGAACAAAGATTGCTCTTCTCCTCCTCCTCTCACGAGGAGCCCCCCCCGGCATGTATTGCTCCGCTATCAGCGGATTAAATATTCCGACCGCTAATTAACAAAGTATTTAAGGAATCCCTCGCCGGGAGCTGGAAAAACACGGACTAATTATTGACTTTCCGTCCGCTCTCTTAATTGCGAGTACAATCCGCGAAGTTGTATCCGCGCGGGGATTTACGCGGTCGCTTCGTGTTTTATCACACGGTGGCGAGGGAAGGGGAGGCGGCAGGAGAGAAGGAAAGGCGGCGAAACTATCCTGCGTGAAATATTTCAAGGACTCTATCGATCGACGAGCGAGATTTATTCGCAATAAAACGCAGTCGCGATTTGCGATCGTGCTCGTGTCGATTTGGCAAATCCGATTCGTGAAACACACTCTCTCTCTCTCTCTCTCTCTCTCTCTCTCTCTCTCTCTCTCTCTCTGTTCTTTTCTCTTTCTTTTTCCCGCCCGACGAGCGTCTTCCTCTCACCCGTGGGTAACACCGCGCTCGCGCTCTCGGATTGTCAGCGCTTCCTCCGTGCCGCTCGTTAAGGAGCGCGAACGGCAAACAGAAAAATGCGCCGCGGAAACGCGCGCAGCCGCGTAATAACGGTAACGATAGAGCATCTCTCGCAAAAGCGTGTTTAAACGACGCCCGAGTAAATAACGCGCGCCGTAGCGAGCAGGCCGCGTTCTGTTTGGCGTACGAATCATCATCGCGCGATGCGGCCGAGCCGTTAAATCGCGAAGGAACACGCCGGCTTGTGCCGTTAGCGGAAAATCACCCCGGCGAAAGGTCGCGCGCGCTGGCCGCGTTAGTACCACGACGACTACCCGCCACGAATCGTTCGATGACGGGACGAGCATGCGGGATTTCGTCTGAAGTATGTCGCTCCTTCGACAGCTGTCCCTTCTCGTCGGCTGTCTCAATTGGCTGATCCTCTGCACCGGCTCGACGCTCGTCCACGAGAAGACGACCGAAGCCGCCGAGCAAGTCGTGCCCAGAGTCTTGTCGCGACCTAAGAGGTACTTGATTTTTCCGCAGGGTAGTAATTTTCAGGTAAAACAATTTACTTAAATACTGCTTCGAACATTGACTGCCGGATTCACCGTTAGGGAGCGGCTTCTTTATTGGTGGTGGTGAGGGGGGAAACTTTGCAATTCCTGCGCAATCACGTTTGGCACCGAGATAGTTCGTTACGAAAATTACGCACAATAACTAACATTGATGAAGTAAGGTCGGAGATGTGCAACTCACTGTATTATTAACTACAAGTATTATTTATAACTTTTAACACGCCTGCAGCGCCTCGATTTCAAATATATACATGTCGAGTTATACATTATTCTTATTTTAATATTCGCGCTTTCAAATTTAGCGTCGCTTTATCACTGACTTCCTCAGCCCAGGTGTCCGCTAAATGTCTCTGACGCTTTCCTCTCGAAGTCAAATTTGGCCCTCACGCTATAAATAGCACGCGCAATCGACTTGGAAAATCGACTAAATGATTAATCGTCTGTACATGACGTAGAAATTTATAACACAGGGGACATCCCCCCCCCCCTTTGTCTTTGTTGTCCATTAAAATCTAGGGCGATCTTGATAAAAATTAATCAAACAATTATTCAACGCGGTTGAATCATTGTTACATATCTGCGCGAAGCACAAACTGAATCTGGATTGTGTGGCAAGTTATTTTAACGTTCGCGCAATTTCTACAATGTGCGCTGTAAATCTCGGTTATTTGTATCGCATATTGAATAGCTTTTTTATAACGCTCTCTCACTCTCTCTCACTCTCTCTCTCTCTCTCTCTCTCTCTCTCTCTCTCTCTCTCTCTCTCTCTCTCTCTCTCTCTCTCTCTCTCTCTCTTCCCAGTTGCAGTCGTGACATCGGACGTCTCGTGTGCCGCCATCTCGGCTCCTATCACAATCGATTATGGCGCAAACCTATCTCGATGATAGCTTTTAGTCGTGATCGTTTGATGAGCACGTACATACTTCATTGTGTCTAAACCGTTTTGTATTCAAGTATAGTCACGGAATCCAATTGTGTGCTTGCGTCGATGTAATGAACGGCTTTCATGCGCTCCGCGCGTGGTGATGCCATTGTTTACAAACTGCATCAATAACGGAAACAGTCACCATTATTAGCTTGATGCAAAATAAAAAAAAGATTGAGTATCGGGGAGGAAATGAAAAAGCCTATTTAAAACAAACGTCCTTCATCATATTCGCAGAGCGCTGATAGATCCCTCGAAATTGGATAATCTCGTTTACTCTTTTGAAAAGCACGGCAAATCCTTCGCACCAATATTAATTGGTTCTTTCAGCGACGCCCCTCCGATTGCAGTGCTGCGTTTATAACTGAAAGAACACATTGGTTATACTTTAGAGAGACTGTGTTTTCGTCCGCGAGCTTTGCTGAATAACTCTAATTAATCACTAATTAATAAAATTGGCACGCTAATTTGCAAATGGGAACTCCTTAACGTCACTATGGTAGTCAACGTGTTAAAACTCTCTCTCTCTCTCTCTCTTTTTCTCTTTCTCTTTCCTTCTCTCTCCCGACATCTCGATCCGTCTCCGCGATTAGGCAGCGAATGAACGTCGCGCGCGATCGCCGGCGAAAGATTATTCTCCGCGAAATCGCGTTACCGAATTACCGAAGCGGGCAAACGAAGCGTTTCGCGGACACCCGCGCCAGCAGCCTCTCGCAGGGCCTGGCATGGCAGGCGGGATTTTGTTGCCCCGGAAATTTCGGTACACGGCTAAAGTAGAAGAGCAAAGTGCCTGCCGCCGGTATTCTGCGAAATTTACGTGGAAAATTGAATCTCGCGCGCGGATGTTCCGTGTATTTTCCAGTTAGTGTATTGTCTGACTATTGGGGCGTACGGCCGAGACGGTGATTTGGTCCTGGGACTGACAGCTGCCTTAGCCTGGGAACTGCCGAATCAGGTCAACTCAAAGATATCGAATTTGCTTCACCGTAGAAGCCGGGCCGTCGTATATCCGAAAATGGAGGCTTTCCTGCAATCGTAAGTGTCGTGCCCGCATTCTTCGGCCGGCTTTGCCGTCAATCTCTCGACGGCTCAGGTCGACCGCCCCCCCTCCCCGCCCTCCTGCCTCCCCTCGCCGCCCCGCAACACGGAGGACGAGTATCGCGTAAACAGCTCGAGAGAGCGGGCGGAAGGAGAGGAGAGCGCGCGAGGAGCTTCCTTTTGTTACATAAACGCGCGCGCTTCGGCATTGTAACATCCTCGTTCTCGCGGCGTCCTTGGTGAGGACGTGATTTACTTTTAACTGCGATTGCAGACGAGATCGTCGTTTCTCGGGCGTAATTGTTTCCGCGAGAGACGCCCGGCCGTAAGCCGAGCTGTCGTCAAACTTTATTTGCCGGGCGAGAAGGGCAGGGGGCGGGAGCAGGGGGGACGCTTTTAAATTAAACTTTATCGGCAGCACCGGCCTCGACGGCAGATCCTGCGTGATGAGGGCACTCTGCGAGGCGGGCCAACGGGAGCCCTCCCAAGTAGGCACAGGCACCTTTGTCCAGGAACTCCTCCACGCAATTTTCACGTGAGTGTATACGTGTGTGTACGCGTGTATGTGTGTGTGTGTGTGTGTGTGTGTGTGTGTGTGGTGCAAGATCCTTTTATAAACGATATCGTTTTGGCTCTTCCGCGCTGTAGAAATAAAAAATGACGTTTTCGCGATAGTTTTCTCCCTCTGTTCTTTCTCTCTCTCTCTCTCTCTCTCTCGCTCCTTCTCTCTGAAAAATTTGGAAGATAAACTGTACAAGCGCCCTCAACGATTCCCCCAGTTTAAGATACCCGTTGCGGAGCTCATGATTGATGACGTCAGAAATGAGAGCATCCACGCTCGAAATTCTTGCAAAATATTTGTAACATAAAAAGGATATATTTATAAAATGATTCTTGTGCAGTTGGTCGAGTGAATCTACAAAATAGTTCTGACATTTTCCTCTCGCCCTAATGAACAATAAATAAGCGTAAAATTAATGCGACATGCAAGTATGCCTATCTACCTTTTTCACCTGTCTTTTTTCATAATTCCGTCACATTAATTTTATGTTTATTTATTTTTAGGAAAATATTTATATTCTATGTTTTTTTATTTCGCACTGTACGGGAAAAGAATATTATAATGAAAATTACTATAGAATTTAATAGAATTGCTACAAAATTATGGAAGTTTGCAACCGGATTTGGAAGAACTAGAGTCTATTATTAAAAAAAGTATTTGTGTAAGATGTTCTTTAGCGAGATATACTCTACTCTGGCACAATTCAATCAAGTCCACAATTTGTAATGTGACAGTTTACTCCTCCATTACGAATAATAAGATTGGAGATAACTTATAGAAAAAAGAAAGTTATAATAATATTCTCCCCGGATGTAGTTACGGAGTGTAATCCACCCTAGGATTAACCTGAAACTCGGTGAGATGGTCCTAAATACCCCCAAAGGAATACAGTTATTTCCGAAAGTTTACCCACCCCACGGATGCGGGGTGATCTCTCCTCGAGTTTGTGGTTCCTCATCCTTCATGACAATCGTACAAATGGCCTGTGTCCGTTACGCATGACGTCTATCTCTCACAGTTGTTGCTCGAACTTTTCACCTTTCCAAATTGATGAGTCCACCGTACATCCATCAAAGATGGATATTTCACGAAGATTAACAAGGACATCCTTAAAGACGGGAGCCTGGCAACAGTGACAGACACACATCCGCCTCGCAGGGAAATCTGTATAAAAACTTTTAACAAGCCCGAGTAATATATTTCGCGATTCAGAAACAACTCTCACTGAGCTCAAAATAAACGTTGGAAATGCAGCGTGTCTCTGTACCTTGCGAGCGATCTTGAGGACATATCTCAAGGACGAGACCATTCTCCACGTCCGCAGTGAGTAAGCCTTTGGAAGTAACTGCACTCGCTATTCTAATATTATCTCCGTTAATTCCCAATTACGCCGACAACCTTTCAGATACGTTCGTTTTGACGTATTTGACATTGTTTCACCGAATTTCATGAAAATCGGACGGTAATCTCTCTCTCTCTCTCTCTCTCTCTCTCTCTCTCTCTCTCTCTCTCTCTCTCTCTCTCTCTCTCTCTCTCTCTCTCCCTCTCTCCCCCTCTCTCTCTCTCTCTCTCCGTGTACTATTTCATTTGTCTCGCTTCGGGGCATATTGTCCCAGAGCGCATAGCAAATAACGTTCTCTTCCTCTCTCCCTTTATCTCCGTCGAGATCGAATTATTCACAATGGTCGAGTGAAATCAAAGGAAACACTGCTAATTGCTCGCAGACTACCAAAGGACGGCAGCAGATTCGAGCGATCGGAAGACCGCGCGTACGACCATGCTTACGAGACGAGCGGCGACTGCGAACGGCTGTATCCTACGTGCCGCTATTCTATTTACGACGTGGACTTTTGAAACTGCGGCGGAAGCGACCGACTTTTCGCGTTGAGCGTCGAGCGGAGAGGGTGCCGCAAACTGCGGACTGCGGGCATGCATACGTGCGAACGTGACGCCGCGACCACGTTGTAAATCGGACGGGAAACTCGCCCCGCCGCCGCGAAGGATCTTAGCGAAGTTTTCCTGGCAGCCGGCCCGCGCCGCGGCGATTTTTCCGCCTGGCGTTCGACGTTGGCGTTTGGCGTCGCCGTTCGCGCCGCGTATAATTTTTATCATCAGAATCAGCCCGACGTGTCCGGCATTATCGATTTTATCACCGGATACCTGGCGGCGAGCGACGAGCCGAGAAGCTCGGGAACTCTTGCTCTTTCTCCGTCCGCCTCGGCTGATCTTCGTCGCGCTCGCGCGAGGCTACCGCGGCCGATTTTCGGCAGATGGACGTCATTAGCGGATTTGAAGAGCGTAAAACGGATCTTGTACTTGACTCTTTTGTCCCTGAATACAAATTTTTCCCCCAATGTGAAGGTGTTAGACAAGGATCGGGCGTCTCGAAGTCAAAGTGAAGATCTTTAGTGAAAGGAGTGGAATTATTTGGGGGAGGGTGGCCGGGGGAAGATGGTGACGGTAAGAAAAAATCCGGTTGGTAATTTAAGATATTTATGGTCGCCTGTGTGTCGGGACGAAAGAGTTAAGTTCTCGTCTTAAGTTCTTCAGCTCCGTCAGATGGCCGGAGATGCTTCAGAATTATTTCATTGACTATGGAGTATTTAAAGGCAGTACTTAAGGCAGTTTAAACATAAGGTCCGACTATATATAAATACCGACCATAGTCGGCTCTTAAATATGAGATCGTCTTAAGCTTGTCTTCAGGTGCTTCGTAGGCAACGAAACGATCCGTACAACATTTTAAGATTTTAAGGTTGATTTTAAGATAAACTTGGGCGAATTTTCTAAGTTTAAGTTTAAGATTTTCGACTATGAATATCGGCTTGTAAGAGGCGAGGCTTGAAGACCAGATATATAAAAAAGAACAGCTACGCAGAAGATATATAAAGAACAGCCGTAGAAGATCGAATGCCTCGGTGGCGTCCCTTTCAGACATCTTCGCGGTTAACATTCGCAGTTAACCGCCGCTGTGGCAAACGTACCTCTTTGACAGGATCGTTCCCTCTACTTTGATAGCTTGGTTGCATAAAATGTTAAAGTTATTATGCCGGTCGCTATATGCTCAGTCAAGACTCGCGAATGTCTTACCGTCGGCAACTACTAAGAGCTTTCAGTCAGTCGCATTGGATTCTGAATCGCGCATTTCTTTTTATTGATTAATGCAGAAAGCAGCGACACGTTCAAAGCAACGGTGACATTTTGACAGCTCCGATGTTTCGTATGCGTCAGTAAAGAACTTTATCCACTTACCTATCAGCCTAATCAGCAGATTAAGAGAGTAAGAATGATATGGAGGATAAGGAGGATAAGAATGAATTTAAAATATATATATAAATAGTTATTTACACATAACAGTTACACGTAAGCGAGTAATCCTTTTTATCGAAGCATACCGAAGCGTACGAAATATCAAACCGCCACTTCTGCTTCGAATACATTCCCCCGCTTTACGGTTTAATCGACTCAGCCATGAGGAACACACAGCCAGAAATGTGATGAGGCTGGCCGGAAAGTTTCAGCAACTATTCACTTATCGATGGCGAGGGATCTTCTCACTCCCAGCGGGACTGAGGAGTGTATATACATAAGCTTGCGATGTACACCAATTATAGATAATTTTTACTGAACGATTGCACAGTCGCTTCATTAAAGATTGCAACTCGATGAGTTTCGTAACAGGTCCCCGATAAGAGAGAGAGAGAGAGAGAGAGAGAGAGAATTCGTTTGTTCGTTAATTCTCGAGAGATCTGTTCTCCTATTGAGCACGGGATACGTTACGAAACTCATCGAAGAAAAGTGTTGCAGCCTTTAATCAGTCGACTGTACGACCGCTGTTGTGTTTCCCGAACGCTGCCATTCCGGGTCGCGCGAGCAGCGATCGATCGGTCGATCGACCGATCGAGGAAGGGAGCGAGCGGGCACACGGAAACGCTTATTGGTTTGCGCATCGAATTTTTCGTAACAAGGTAGCGTTGCCAGCTAGATTGCATTCGCCGGGCTCTCGCACGATAAACGATTATTTAACACCGGCGATGATTCCGGCGAGGGGGCAGGGGGAGGAGAGGAGAGGAGAGAGGGTTAAATTTAGAAAGTTCCACCGCCGAGGCTTCTCGCGCTATGAATATTCTATATCGATCATTACATTACTTCCGCAACGCGTAATTCATTTTGGCACGGTTTCGAATAATTTCCACGACGTTTTGCATTAATAAAACGGTCGGTCGGCCCTCGTCGATTTATGGTTCATTTTTGCAGAGTGCTCCGCGACAGAACGAACATCCCACGGTTAGTTCATCTCTCTCTCTCTCTCTCTCTCTCTCTCTCTCTCTCTCTCTCTCTCTCTCTCTCTCTCTCTCTCTCTCTCTCTCTCTCTCTCTCTTCCCGGGTTTTTTCAATGGGAATAAAATATGCCGCAAATACATTCCAACGTTGTAACGAACATCTAATCGATATTCATTCGCCGAAGCGTTTGGCAAACATTTTATGTCACAAACACACACACACGTACACATATACGCACATACACACACACGAACTGCACATTCGTTCCGTTCTGGTCGCTCATGTTTGCACGTACATGTCTACTTATAGTCGTAGATTGTAAATATATATTTTGTCATTTGCCCGCAAATCCACCGAAAAATTATACGCTGGAGAATAAAGGAACAGAAACGTTTTTTGTCGTAGCTCGGCGTTTAATATTTCGCATTTTTAGTCCACGAGGGTTTTGCGTTTCGAGCCGCTTCATTTTCATGCTCGAAGCGTCTCATCCATCCCCGCAACATTTCCGCCTCGAGACGCTCGATCGATGGGTGCACCAGAACTCGCGCGTTTTTCCAAGAGTGAAGAATTGTCTCTTGTTTGCGCGACGTTAAGATAACAACAGGATAATCATGTTATAGTAGGAGTAATACCGTTGCTCTTAGGCATATGCGAATGCACTTAGCGTTCGTCCTCAAAGAAGACCGGTTCTCGACGTCGAGCCGACGCCGCTTGTGCGCTCAGGTGGCATTTCCGAGGTTAACTTAGTTCAAGGGTGCAGGGAATTTTCGTGCGTGCCAGCGCGATGCCGATTAAATATTTCCGCTATTTCGCTCCGCTGTCTGTTATCGCGGTTTGCGTCGTTGGTTCGACCGAGACATTCCCGAACGGCTCGATCGTGAGATCCGAGAGAGAAGTCGACACCAAATATTTGGTGTTCCCTCAAGGCAGCAACGTTCAAGTGAGAGACCATTCTGTGTGAATTTATTCTCTAAGAATCTCGACAAGATTTTCGAGTTCTTTTTGTGTGTTACAATAAGACAATAATTCGTTAAGACGGCAGTAAAGTCGATATTTTGCTTCCGCTTTCATCTTGCAAATTCTATGTAGTTCGAGGGACGAACGAAGAATTTCGAGATACAACACTGTATAGTTTATTGTGTCCTGTTTTGTTGCTAAGAAAGTTACCTTGTCCGGAAATTTTATTTTGAAAATTTAGTGTTATTTTATATGATAGAAGGATATCGGATGGATCTAAATAGTTTTTTTTTCTCTTTCATTCTCTCAGAAGTTTGATTAGAAAAAAGTATTTTCAACAAGAAAAATTGAGAAAACATTCTGATGAAGAATTGGAAAAATTTTTTAAAATTAGTTTGTTCTTCTTTCAAGATAATTAACTATAACTATGAATAGATAGCTTCGAATGCGCTCTGTTACATGACGTATAGAGACTAATCGAGATGCATTTATTTTTAGAGATATTAAATGGCGTATCCTCTTCAGAGATACGCTGGACTCAAAGGATTAAAAAGAATATGTGCAATTAGAAGATATTAAATTATTTATTAAAGACTAACGAATAAGTGTTTAAATAAAACAACAAGTTTTTCTTCCTCGTAGTTTAATTATCATTATTTTGTTTGATTTACCTTGAAGATTTCAATGAAATTTCAATCTTTAGAGGTGAGAGAAAAAAGGGCTGAGGAAGAAATTGCAACCTTCATCCTGCATCCTGAATATTCCATCCTGGGATTAGCTTTCGATCACCCTGGTCGAGCACTCGATAATTTCGCACGAAAATACGTGTAAACTAGCAGTCTCGTTCCAATTAATTTATAATTAATGATTTAACAATTGATGACTCGCGAAAGTCGGGAACGTTTTGAAATCATTGATTGTCGTGATGTTTTAGCCGTCGAACATGTTCGTTATCGATTGGCAAGCGACGATGGTTAGTGATTAGTAGGGGGCGGCAGGAGGGGACAATTTGCGGGAATTTACGGATTTGGAGATACTCTCATGCGTATTTTCCCAAGCCGCGACGTCTCGAGCCGATGAACAACGCGCACACCGCGATGCAGAACACGCGATCGATGCGTTATTTACAAACACCATCGATATTTCACGGACTATTGGAATATTTTGGTATTCTCGTCACAGTATTATGAGATTTCGCACACGTCCCTGCGATTGGATCGTATTCACGCGATTGTCCAGTCGGTGTTCGAATGTCCGAAACCACGGTGCGGCCAAGAGCAGGATGTTGAAAAGCAGAACGCAGAACATAGCGATACATCACGTGTTTCCAGTCCGGTGTCGAGTCGTTTATTGAATAGTTCTGTTTATGACGGACATTTGACGTTCTCGCGGAGAACAAGCGGAGAGATCCGAGTCGACACGTAAATCCGTTATATCTATACCACGCCGTATCATTCGAGAAATAATCGTTGATGAGCCTCTGATTGTTCGCTAATCTGCTTGTACCTTACACAACGAGAGAATATATCTCGAGCAGTCGAGAGAAACGATTCGTAAATACGAATCTTGCAATTTGAGCAGCCGGCGAGTGCAACGCTGGAACAGCAACTCGCGTAGGATTGTGTCTCTCGAAATTCTTCATTGGCCCTTCAAATTCGATGTCGCCGATATGGAGTCGATATTCCGACTCGGGCGTTTTTTAATAAGCGCAGCCTGAACACACCGAAGGATGCGGACGTGCTCGCTACCACTCGTTTCTTCCGGTGTGGCTCGCGGCTTATCGTTGATAAAACCATTGTTCAAAGCTGAATAATAATCTGCACTCGCGCTGTATCTGTTTACAAATTGCCGCAAAAGCGCCGGCAAAAGTCGCGTATCGCGCTCGCGTATATACAGAGCGATATAAATTTGTGACGCGGCTCGACGAGGAAACTTTTACGCGCGAAATGGGACGAAGTTCCTTCTGCGCGCGAACGACTGTAACGAACGGCTCGAGGTGACACCTCCAGTCCTTCCCTTCCGAGATTCGTTCATTCGCAGCGTGTATCTGTTGAATATCTTAATTTCATAGAAATTAAGGGCTTCCCTCGCGCCGTGATGGGGAGACGAGATACGAAATCGACGAAAGAGCGGAGTCGGCGGTAGCGTCGAGAATTATATCTGACCCTCGCAAGGGGTGCTTTCTCCACTTGGAGATATAGATATAATCTTCCACTTGACACAACGGAGATTAATACGCCGTGACTTTTTTATCTGCCCATCTGCGGTTACGTAGCTCGTCTACTGCATGACCGTCGGCACATACACGAAGCCGGCTGGAATGTACGTCATAAGCGTTACCGCCGGACTGGCGTGGGAACTGCCCCATAGAAGTATCTTGCCGCTCAGGAAGTCGACCGAGGTTTATCATCGTCGGAGCAGAAGAGAGCTGTACCGTAAAATAGAGCTAATGCTGAAAACGTAAGTAGAGGAGGGACAGGCGGAGAGCGGGAAGAAGGCCGGAACGCCGGTTTTCTCGTGAACATGAATATCGATTCGGTCGGGGGTGTCTTCAAAATTGAGAATGACGTCAGCCTAGCGTCTGAGTTTTTTTTATCTAGATGCATAATTACAAAGAGCACGTCGGATATCTCGATGAAACTTTTGTCGAAGACATTTTTCCGTACTTCTCGTGGTTACTAAGACATTCGGTTGCGACGAAGCAAAATACATACCACTTAACAATATAATAAATCATACCCGTAGCGTTTGAAACTCATTTCCCAAAAACGTGATCTCAGGCAATAATTTTATTGTGAAAAATTTGAAGACAAGAGGTACATATTTCTCGTGTAAATATTTGTATAAGGGTTGCAAGAACTTCTCGAAATTAACGCCACAAATCGGATTGCAATCGAATATCTTTGAAGTCGGAAAATATTTGAGAAAAGAAATGCTTTTGGCAAAAGCTTTATGATATTCGATACACTTTATAATTACGCATCTAGATTTCTCGAAAGCTTTATTTTACTTTTTTATATACTCTCACTTCATTATTTTAACGAATTGTAAAGTTATTGAGAGGGTGAACATTAAAGAAGGCTCTGTGTTCAATTCAACCAGAACAGTAAAAGAATTATTTTTTGAGGCCGTATTTTTTTGCAGCAAGAGATGAAGTCCGTACTACATGTATATGAGTAGTTACGGATACGTAGGATCAGCCGTGCGTGACATCTAATCCGTCTGCATCTACTTACAGCGCGACGTTCGCGACTCGTGTTCTAAAAATACGGTCTCAGAAAATAATTTTATTGCGATGAAGCTAAAAATAAAGGATACATATTTTTATAAGTACTTTCTTGTATGTCCAAAGTTTGAGAGAATCTCTCATCTTTTTAATACTGTATATTTAATTACGACTATTTATTACATTACCTGTCTGTTATGATTATAAATATTTTTGGAACTATAAAGTATACGAAAAAATGTCCTAAACAAAAATTATATATATATATATATATATTTTTTTTTTCCCTTAATATATCTCAGTTTATTGTTATTTTGACAAATTGAAAAATTATTGTCAGGACAAATTTAAGAGAATTTTCCGTCATCCAACCATGTGTGATAAAATTATTATATTAATTAATTTTCGAAAATTATTGGAATAATGAGAATATAATGATCGCCGCTGCAAGTAGATGCAGACGCGTTACGTACGGCCCACGTTCTGTCCGCCCACAATACGACTGTGTCTACTTACAGCGCGGCTTTCGGGATCTCACATCAAGATAAGCCGTAACTAGCGTCACGGCTAAAGAGAGCCGACCGATGCCGACTTCACTTTGCCTCTCAGACGTTTTGGTGGACAAGACATGAGAATCAATCGGTGCGGAAGAAATCGCGAAGCTAGCAGTCTGAAGTCGGAATTCTCACGGCGACGCGGACGTAATTGACATTTCCTGTTCGAAGAGGTCGTTGAGAAATGCCTCTCGTAAAACCTCGTGGGCGTGACCGTAATACAATTACCCGGTAAACCCAAGTAACTCCGGCAAAACACGCGCGACGAATGAATTTCACGGCCGATGGGGCGGCAGGGAAACGCTCTCAAACGGCCCGGTCGTCGAACGGGCGGATTAAGCGGCGCGCTCTCGTAGCTCCGGTCCGGAAAATGGTCTGAGGAAACGACAATAATTGAAGTATGACGAGCGACACGGTGCCATTCTCGCTAGCTCGCTCGCTCGTTCGCTCGCTCCTTCGCTCGTTCGTTCTTTTCGAGTGCTCCGAGCCGCGGATATAGCTCGCTTGCGGCGGACGCATTACGCGCGCGGATTAAGAGGATTCGCGATGATCGTAACGCGACGTGATATTTCGAGCGAAGCTGTTCCCCGGCCCGGCTACTCGGTGAATATACGGTCTCGAAATTCGCGTCGGTGCATGGGTCTCGCGGAGGAATGCGAGTGAGACACGAAATTCTCACGAGGAATCGCGCGTTCGTTGCCCGTTTTCCGTAATCGCACCGGCGCGATTTGCGGTCCGCCACGATACACCTTCGAGGCGTGTCAAGAGCCGCCTTTATTCGCTCTCGATAAAGTAATAGGGTCGCACGTTAACTGCCAGCGTGATACCCGACACGGAGGGAATTTCACGGTAAAAAAGCTTTATAGTTGAGAATTTTGTAGATTTAAGCGAAATCTGTGGTTTTAAATAAAAGTAATACGTAAATTGCATATTAACGTTAATATTAATATCGGTGATACTAATTAATATTAATATTAACATTAATACGCAATTTGTAGTCGGGAGGGACATGTCGATTCCGAACATTCTGCTTTAATTTATCGTCCTCCCGTTCCGAACATGCTAATTGTATTTTAGAATATATGCAGTCGATGCTGAAAAATGCTATAAATCTACTATGAACGTTGTACCACACATCGGTGAACTACTATTTATATTATGAGTGAATTATGCCACTTGAAAAGTTTATCATGTGATCCTCAGCAAATTTACCGTTTCTCAACAAGCTTTCTTCACCTTCACTGTGCGAAAACATTTGCATAATTCCGACCCGATGCGACATCGACTTTGCGAAAAGGCGGCACTATTTTGCTCGTAAAAAGTTCTCGAGTGTGGTGTGCCCTTAAACAGCGCCTTTCAGCCTTCGAAATTCAAGTCTGACCAGCATTTCATTTGTCAGACCGACTCGCACACTTTAGTTAGAGCTTAGATTAATCGGGCCGTTTTCTTTCTTTCTCTCTTTTCCTCCACACGGGGTTGCGCCGAGCACGATGACAGCGTTATGTCCGCCGCGCGGACGACGGATCGGGGCCGAGGCATTTCGGGGGGAGGAGGAGGGGGGGGGTAATCGCTGGCGCGCACGATTTGTCGGTTGCTTGGTGGAAACAATTTACTCCCCCTTCCCCGTCCCGGAGAGGACATCCGGCATTTATCGGGCGGCAGCATCCGCGCTGCGAATACGATCCCCGCGTTCGACAGCGCCGACGCGTCCTTTTAATGTCGCTCTCGCGTCGCGGTTCGATCTCGTTAGCATCGGGCGCGACCAAGCAGTTTCCAGCTCGTTTCTCCGGCGCGGTCGGTGATTTTCGATTCTTCCGTTCGCGGGAAATGACGAGCGACCGCGGCAGCTCGGTTCGTCACTCCCGCCCCCTTCTCTTCTTAGTTTTTCCTCTTCGTTTCGTGAGCAGTATGACTGGACGTGGTTGTTGTTCGACGTTATTTGGTTTGGTGGACGCACGAAAAATCGATATGGCAATACTTTATTCCGCCGCGTTAGTCGCGCTCGAGGATGAGGATGAGGGTGAGATCGAGCGCGCAGCTCCTGCGGATCTCGAGAAGATCCTCGAGGCCTGTCGTGGGGGAAGTGTCGCATGAAAAAATGCACCGGCGTGAGAGGGAGAGAGAGAGAGAGAGAGAGAGAGAAAGAGAGCGATTTGCGAGAGGATCATGTTGCGCGTTTTGGGAGTGAGAGAGGAGCAAGGGAGAGAGAGAGAGAGAGAGGGACACAGCTTCCGCGACTGCTGCCTACTTCCGCTCGATCGCACGAGCCATCGCGCTGGCGTGCTTACGAGGACCAAATTCGCCCCGCTGCGGGTAAATCAATCGCCTTCCTCCCCAACGCGATCACTAACAACTCCCGCGGACTGCCGATTAGACACGTACCCCGTCGCTGCTTTCCATCCCCCGAGGCCTCCGCCATGCCCGCGGAATCGCCCTCGGCGCGACGAGAGTAACACTAAGCCAACCGCGCGTATACGACGCGCCAATAAAGTTCCATCCAAGAGCGGCGGAATCGCGTGAGCCGTAATCCCTGGCTGCGGTTATTCTAATTCTAATTGCTCGGCGGCATCGCGCTTCTATCTCCCCCCTTCCCCCTGCCCTCACTCTCTCTCTCTCTCTCTCTCTCTCTCTCTCTCTCTTTGTCTCTCGCGCGCGTTCGCCTAATTAGCGGTATTTGTTGTTATTTATGGGAGGGAAGGGACTGGGAGGGGCAACGACGCGACGCTCGGTTGTTTAGCAGAATTCAAGGGGCGGAGGGGGGCGCGAAGGAGGCGAGGAGAGGTCATTGTAAACCAGCCCCTGGGTTTATAGTGCTGCCGGGCGATATCAACGCGCGCGCTCACCCCTGGTATTATCGCGAACTTAATGAATAGACCGTCGACTCTCCCCCCCCCCTCTCTCTCTCTCTCTCTCTCTCTCTCTCTCTCTCTCTCTCTTACTCACTCACCCTTCTTCTCTCACTTGGCGAGCTCGACAACGATAACGAGGATGATAATGATAAACGACCCTCAGCGCCCTAAACTCTCGCGCCCTTTCCTCTGCGCTCACTTTCCACCCAACCTTCCGTCGCAATGTATCTCACCTTGTGTCTTGCCGTGAAGGCAGGAGAAGGACGGCAAGGCGTGCGTCCTCAAGGCGATTTGCCGGGCAGCCAAGCGGACGCGCGACGGCGATGTCGGCAAGGGGAGCTTCCTCGAGGAGATCCTTCACGTTATATTCACGTGAGTTACAAAATCGTTTTTTACCTCACCTGCTCGACCTCTCGTCCTCTTCCTCCTCCTGCTCCTCCTTCTTTCTCCTCCTCCTCTTAATTGATAACTCCGTTTATCCGATCATTGCAGCCTTCCCGGGGGACGGTACGACATCGATCCGATGACCGAGTACGAGCGAACTTATCACTTGGGTGAGAATTGCGAGGAGGTGCAGGCCAAGTGTCCGGATGTCTTCTGAAGTACTGCAATCAGCGTGATTATCTTACACAGTCGCGAAACGAGCAGCTATCACGAAGAACTTCTCCGTCCCTCATTCCCATCCTCCCTTCCGCGCCTCTATCCTAAACCACTCTCTCTCCCCCTCTCTCTCTCTCTCTCTCTCTCTCTCTCTCTCTCTCTCTCTCTCTCTCTCTCTCTCTATTCCGTGCCCTTTAACCGTAATCAGATTAGCGGAGTGCTTGAACCGTAAACCCAAACGACCATCGGATCTGGACTAATTGTAAGATTTCCGCGAGCGTCAATTTCGAGGGTTTCGAGCAAATAATAATAAATGTTATCGCAGCGCCGTATCATGTTAATCTGGAGAGAGAAAGGAGAGGGGAGAGAGGGGCGGTGGATTCATGGGAATAATTTTGACAAAGATTACCAGGATCGACTCCTGCAGGCCTGTCTGAATTGAAATGATTTTATCCTGGTGTTCACAGGAGGAATTAGGAGAGACCAGGATATGTTTGTGCGAGAGGGGCACGCTTATGAAATTAAATAATTATTATATCAAATTATTGCCTTCGAAAATATGTTTCGGATTTTTCTGGAGGCAAGATAGCAATCGTAATAATTTTCTCTGCTACAAAATAGCCTTAAGACGATGAATCGTTGCTCCAACTTTACGATTATGTGTATTTAATATGTCTGATTGTAAGATATTGTATATACATAATTATACATCATCGTAACATAAAATTTATACACGTGAAAATTTTGTCGTCATATAATATCAAGAGAAAAACGCTGTTGGAACAAGAAGACAAGAGACTGCTTCGTTCAATTATACGTCTACATCACGAGCTGCCATAAACGTAAGCAGTTACTTTAATCGCAAGTAATATTCAGTGATTTCGGGATTTTGAAGGATCGAAGATATTTCGACCGTCTCCCGCGATTCCGCGGAGAAAACGGGTAAAAGTGAGTGACAGAAACCGGTGGGGTGATGAGATCCGCGACAATGATATCGGCGACTCGAATTATACAGTCGACGTCGTTCTCGGAATTTCCTCGCAACTGCGAGGTCTCTCGAATTGCAAGTGGAATTTCCAGCGTCCGGTCTTTCTTGTGGAAACGGCGCTCGAACGAAGAGACGAGGTGCAAATTACTCCGCTCTCCGTATCGGGGCGCGCCCGCGCGCTTTTTCCGTCGGATACACTCGTGTCTCGCGGGTAATTTTAATTCATGAGTCCATCGATCGTCTGATCGATTCGGGGCGTACGCTTCGCCGACTCTTAAAGCGGGTATATACTGAGCGAGCGCACAATAAACGAGCGGAGAACGCGAATGTTTAGACGTTCGCGTTCGCGTCCGTCGTTCGTTCATTTCTTCTCGACTCGGCAACGAGCATTCGTGTTGGGCTAAATTCGCCGCACGTGGAAGATGAACCCACTAATCATTGCATGTTATTTTCTCCGTAGGCGTAGACTTATGAAGGGTGTCCTGTATAATCCGCGCGTCATTTCCCTTCGGCAAAAGTGTCGAAGGACTTCGTTATTCATAGCGGCCCGTCTCAATTTTCGGTATAACACATCTTCAATGCTGCGCCTCAGCTTAAAATCCTGACGAAATAACATTTACCTGCAATCGGTCGAAGAAAATCATTTTGTTGTCCAAAACTCAGCTTGCGAAAAGCTTTCTTGAACGCTTGCGTCCCCAATATCGACGCTTCGATCACTGGCATGTTAAGAAGGAAAGGTAAAAAAAAAAGAGAAGGTCAACAGGGACCTGTTTTCTGCCACCGGAGGATTTCCGAGAAACAATTTCTTTTGTATTATATGGTCATTAGAAATGTTAAAAATAACCATTAGATTAGGAGAAAAAAATTCGACCTATAAAGTCAAAATTAATTATTTACTCTGGGTCATTATAATATCTAAGCCCTTTTCGTGATGGTCCAGTGGATTAATAAAATATTTTCGCTCGTTATTAAAAACAGGAAAACGCCTTACTGATTCTTTTTATAAAAAAAAGAAAAAAAAATAGCGCAATGTAAATAATGGGGTACAGGCCGACATATATCCAGGCCGATCGCTGCAGAGGAGGCTGCGAAGGATCTTCCTTGATGCAGGGAAGGATGTGCTGTTGGTGCAGGCGTTCGATCTCTGTCTAACGTGACTCCTATTAGCTACTCGGCACTACTCAGTCCGATAGGAATCAAGGTAGACGGAGATCGAACGCCCGTAGACAGCGGCAGGGAAATGTAGCTGTCCTTCAAATGTTGTCTTCGAGCCTCTCTCTCGAGAAGAAGAAGAAGGCGCAGTCTATTTGCCTCGAATAAGTCTACACTGCCAGGCGGCACGTGGCAATCTTGCCGAGAATCGTTAGCGCGCTCGCGGAGTCTCTCTCTCTCTCTCTCTCTCTCTCCGTAAACTTCGCCCGGTGGTGCGCGGCATCCATTCCCGCGTGATAAGGAACATAGCTGCGAGGGATTGCAATTTGTGAATTGACGGCGACTCGCGCTAATGACACGTGATGCAAACTCGACTAGCAACTGACGTTCTCGGGAGCGCGGAATTGTATTACCTTGGCTTACCGTTGTACGTGCAAACATGGCGTAATGCGATCGTAACGTCGTGCACGCCCGTACACCCACACACACACACACACACACACACATACGAATACGCGTGCGACCCGTTACTCGAAGCTGCGGAAGCGAGCACGTATATGAGTGTACGTGTATACGCCGGAGAGACTCGCGCGCTATATTATTCCCTGTATGCGACCTATTATTGTAAGGCAAACAAATGAATCTACGTCCACCGACTTCCTCGACGGAGCTTGCGGGATGCTCGCGGAGTGGACTACAGGACGCGGTTACACGCCCTCGGCGCGTTCGACGAAACGCCGCCCGGTGTCGATCCGTGTTGGGTTATCAGCGTCGTCGTCCTGGCCCTGACGAGTCCGAAGGGCGCACGCGGAATAACGATACTCGTCGCGGTATGTTCGATGGGATCGAAAGGTGACGGAGGAGGCGGAGGGGGGAAGAAGGAGACGAGGGGATCCGCTCGACTTGGAGTGTTAAATAAATCAGCGAATTTTCCGCGAGGAACTGCGGCGGCCACGGCGCTCACGGGGAGAGGAGAAAAAGGATTTAAGCGAGGAAGAGGAGCAAGAGGGCGGGGGAGTATCCCGAGAAGCCGAAAATGAAATTACCTCGCGGATGGGAGCGGCGAAGATGGTCAGAGAGCACTCGAATCTTCGGGATCGGATAAAACGGGCGTTTCCGCCGCTCCTGAATATATTTCGCGAGATTTACGAAATTTATTTAAAGGTCCTCTCGTCCTCCCCCCTTCTCTCTCGTTGACTCTCTCTTCCTCTCTCTCACTCTGTCTCTCACTCTCACTCTCTCTCTCTCTCTCTCTCTCTCTCTCTCTCTCTCTCTCTCTCTCTATCTATCTATCTATCTATCTGTCGTCTAGCGCGGTAGGAAAAACGCAGAGAGGGCCGATGAACCCTTCACACAAAGAAGAACAGGCGAGCTCTCTCGGTGAGATTTTTCAAGATTAGCATGGAAAAGCCGGAGGACTCCGCAGTGGAGGACAGCTTGTCAGATTTTAATGACCTACGAGAGACTCGGAAGTATTAATGAGCTCTCTCAGTTAAATATGTCGAGCGCGAAAACGCACGAAAATCGTCGCAGCAACGTACGATAGCTCGCGATAACGTGAATTATGAAGCGGCGCGCGGGAACGCGGAGAAACGCGCGTATTAACGGCTTCGCCCGCGCGAAACGCGTCGTCCTTGCTTGCGGGGGCGAAAGAAAGGGAGAGGAGAGGGAAAGAGAAAGAGGTAGGAGGGAGAGAGAAGAAGAGATAGCTATTCCCGCGCCGAATGTCTCATAGCGATGCACTCGACGCGCTCGCAGCTCGCGTATTATTTCCTTCGTTAGTCTAGAGTTCCGCGCGCGCGCACCTTGTCATCCGTTCGCGGGAAATAATTTAGAGCGGGTCGCGCGCGCTGAAAACGTTAAAACATGACAAAGACCGAAATTTATTCCGCGTTGCCCGACCGGGGTATCTTACCGCGTAAAATATGCCGGAGCAAACGTACATGCAGTCCGTGCGGAGATGGAGATGAAGATACATACTTTATCACAACCGCGAGCGGCGGTCCTCCGGAGCGCAGTTGCACGGCCGAAATTATGAAAACTTTAACTCGCGTTTACGCGACGAATAGGCCACGCTTCAAAGGTAACTTTATTTACTTCGCCTGCCGGAGAGGAGGCTGCACGGATTTGCGCGCGTAGCTAGAAAAGCGGAGGGTCAGCATTTTTCCGCGTCTACAGGATTTTCGAAAAATAATTTTGCTTCCTGTTTCGCATGATAATTAGGAATGTTGACGCTAAGTCAACATTAAGTGCGAAAAATATTCAATCCGTAACGCCAGAATTAATTATTGGTCCAGGTATATATCACTACGGTAGTCAAATCCTTCTCATGACCATTGCAAGAGAGGACTAATAAAATATTTTCGCTCGAAAATCGAGTTTTCATACTCCTGATGTACAATAAAAATATGTCCCATATATGTAACTCATTTAATGCGCGTTTAATACGCCGAGCGTGTCAAGATCGAATCCGACTTAAAGCGCGATGAGGGAAAAGAGCTTTAGCTAAAAAGGAGAGACGCTCTTGCATTCGCCGCGAAATGTCCCGCGGTCCAATTCGTCCGGCGACTTGGAGTCCTGCGGGACGCTCTATTTAGCTTCTCCGTGAATATTCGCTCTACCTCGAGATACGCACTCGCGCGACGATTATACGACTTTTCAATTAGGCCGTCCAACGCGACGCGTCGTCGAGGCAGACGCGCTAATTCGCGGCGCAAACGCCGCGGAGCGCGTCGCCGTCGACGCGCCACGGCGAGTCGCCCGCACCGTCGCGTCGGCCGTGCGCGCAATGTAAGTGTAATATTTCGGAGGACGACGTCGCATTTCGGGCTTTCGGAAAATGTCCCCCGTCCCGTAGCCTCCCGGGAGCGACGGGCTGCTCGTGTGCCACGGCGTGAATCAGAGGACTGATCTCGTCCGGTAATTCCGCGAAATGAGAGCCCCGTGGCTCGTCCTGATTCTCGCGGAGATCCTGCCGCCGTTGTTGCTCCTAGGGGAGGCGGTTTGTCAGCGTAATGACACCGACTTGAGTGCCGGCACCAGCGACGGCCAAAGGTCAAGAGAGACTTCGCCCAGACGCAGACGGGAACTCGCTTTTCCGAAGGGGAGCGCCTTCGTGGTGAGTCAGGCCGTGAGAATACAAGCGGCTGCTTGTTGTTTCGAGCGAGCAGCGCCGCGTCGCTCGGCTCGTTCTTTCGTCACGTTGAACTTTTGCGGGAGAGAGAGAGAGAGAGAGAGAGAGAGAGAGAGAGAGAGGGAAAGAGCATTCGCTATTCGCTATTCGGTAGGCCTCGTCGTTAGTTCAAACGAGCGGTTCCTTATTTGCGCGACAAGTTTGCGTTCGCGTACAGGACGAAAGTTTTTTGCGTAATCGAATCTACGTTCATTCGTAGAACGAGACCGCGTGTTTCTTTTTATCTTTTATCTACCAATTTCATACACATACACACACACACACACACACACACACAAGCGGTCTGTTATTAACGTTGTTCTTCCGGGAGGATGAAGAAGCTCTCCTGGCTCTTCCTTCAATGGATATACAGGGTGTCCGAATTTAAATGACACGAGTCATCGGGTGTCTTGAGGTAAAATGCATGATTAGAAAAGTCACTGTTTCTCTCTCCACGAAAAGAATGTTATTTCTTTATGCAAGCCGTTTCTCCAATTTGATCATGCTTCTCGGTGCCTGTCGGTAGATTTTATCTCGTTAAGGAGCAAGTTTTTCAACACTTTCGCTGCGCAGCGTTACAAATGTGTGACGGCAAAAACTTCTTTTTCTTTTACGACCACAGTTTAGTTCAATGCGTTCTACAGTGTAATCGTACTTTAATCCCGACACCCTGTATATATGCTGATCCGAAGAGACGACATTGCGTACCATCGCGGGCATGAAAGATACATGTCTTCTTCGATACGTTTCGGAACGCAGCGTGCAACCGAGAAGGAGAAATTTACATTCCGCGGATTTCTCCGAAATAAATTCTTCCACTGCACATCGGCCACGTTCGAAATGCATCGAAGCAAAATTGTATCCGTACTCTATGTCCGTAATTCCACACTATCGTCGACACAGGTGTTCTTCGTTATTTCTAGCGTAGATTTCCGTATGTATATCCGTCTTGTTCAATAGGACAATTCGTTTTCCAATGGGAGAACTCTCCCTGTCAACCTTTACATCTGCAATTGTACAATCGTGGGCTCAGAAACCAGCATTTTGAATTCTTCGATGAATTCATCGATGAAAGTGGCTCACAGCTCATCTGGGAGGGTATGTAAGCCGCTTTTAGGGTCGCTTTTATCGACAACAGAGACTTCAGAATACCGGTCATAGGTTATCTTCTGTGTGAATTTTGGATCCGTCTTGACCAATTGGAGAATTTGCGTTCCAACGCAAAAGAGAGAATTCTCCCATTGAACAGGACGGATGCGTTTTCATACAAAATATAGCGTTCACAATCTTTCCGTTCACGTACATTTGGCTCCAATACGGCCTGGATACTCTTCACTCGATGCAGTCTGGAATGCAGCCGATGGTCCACTGAGATAACAAGCTTTTCAATCATTCCCAGAAGCGAAGCTCTCTCATTGGGCCATTGGCTGCGTTTTAAGCTGCTTCGAGAGGAGAAAAGTGTTTAAATCCACTTGGATAGCATAAACTTCTGAAAGATGTTTCAAAGACCTCCAAAGTCAAAGAACGCTCTATTTCTTCAGACGGTTTCTCAGGCGTCTTTAAGACGTCTTTTCGAAGTTCGCGCTGTCTGGGCGTATTGAAACCGAGTGTACAAAAGATTACCCGTTTAGGCAACCCTGACCCTCCTCAAGTCTATCCAGATTACCGAGCCCAGTAATTGGAACCTCGACCTGGAATTCGACATGATCTGGCCCATACCGAGCCAGGAGGACCTGAGGAGAACCGTGCTTGGAAGACCGGCGAAACTGAAACGCCGGCACCGGCGCGAGCTCTACGCCAACTTCGAGTCGGCGTTGAACAGGTAAAGAAAAGAACACTCTCCCTCTCGGGCGTGGCTGTGATCGATGAGTCTTAGCGCCGGTTGTTGCTCGTTCCAGCCGGAACTTGCCAGGACGATTGTGCATTCTTCGCGCGATATGCGAGGCCGAGACGGTGCTGAGTCCCCCGGGGTTCTCGCTGATCGAAGACGCCATTCGTGTTATTTTGAGGTACGCGTGAGGAGGGCGATACGCAGGATTACGATATCAATGGCGTGCGGCTCCATAATTAGAAGGTGACGTATGTCTCGTGCATTCTAGGAATTTCGAGGATGCGGACAATCGCGATTGCTATGACGTCGCGTATCGAAGGAGAACCGACTGCGAGGTCGCCTATCCCTGTCCGTTCTCGCTGTTGAGGCTGCTGTTGTATAATTTGTACGCGCAGGAACCATGACCGCCGGTGGAAAGTGTTCGAAAATCCTGTCCGTGTCGTAAATCATTATCATTATTATTATCATCATTATTACGCGACATATTTAATTAGCATAGACTTCGTTGTACGTCTGAAAGATCTGTGATGTTGCCGATGTTATTGCGAGAATAAAGGGGAAGGAAGGGAAGAGAGGAGGGAAAAAGTTTCTCGAGGCGGACGTTCCAGACAGACAGTTCTGCATAATTAAGGTAGTTGGTCCGTGAATCATTTCCTTGGGAATCTGTTTAAACTTTAATTGCATATTAATGGAAACACAATATATATATATATATATATAATTAAACGTACATATTACGTGCACACACGCGTACAATTAGAAGAAACTCATTGTACCAAAGCTGACACGATGGAAATCAAAATTACATCGCATGTACAAGACGACCATATTGCATTTTTAATTCCAGTAATCAAATCATTATTCTTACAAGTTTAATGAAAAATCCGAAGACGGCTGAAAAAGAAATTTGCAAAAATATTGCAAAATTGTACGCAAGATCGGTTGATTATGTATACAATTATTATAATTTTCGAGAAATTAACGTGGAAACTCAATTTCTGACAGCTGATTTATAGACAGTTGACAGACATATGACAGGTGACCTGCCACTCCTCTAGTGTCGTTCATTAGTTCATTAGTGTGTTAATTAACATAAATAAATACGTAACACCAGTCGAAAGCATTAACGAAAGCAAGAAACAATTATTTATCCTTCTAGATATTTAAATATCCGATAAATTTGACTGGTATTCTCTTGCGGCAATGTCAAAGTTGCCTCGCATAAATCACACTTACAAAGCACTCAAGCATCAATCTGTCGAGCTCCTTCATGCTGCACAGATCATCAATGAGACTGTCGATAACTAACCGAGCGGCTGAAAATCCGAGAAAACTCGGCGAATAAAATCGGACCGGATAATCGGAAAAACCTCTACGGCGACGATAACGAATACCGCGAAATTATAGGCGTGCGCGAATCGAATATGCGAACACACGCAGGGGTGTGTGTTACGGGGAGACACTGGTCGCAAACACACACACACACACACACACACACACACATCAGCGGCAACGTTAATCGCGCTAATAGTGGCGGCAGTATTTTACGCTCACACCCAGCGACGCGTCCGGCTGTTCGGCTCTTAAGCCGTTAATCGTTCGCTAAATAAAGCCGAGGAACGGGAGCCGAGCGCGGCTGGACGTTAATGAATTCGACAATGCTCCGTACTCGCCTAACTGCAATAATAACGGTCGCTTCGGCCAGGCCGGGAGATCATTCACCGGGCAACCCCTCGTGCGGACGAGCGGAGTAAGCGAGCGAGAGAGCGAGCTAGGTGAGTCCTCCCGACATCGGCGAGCGAGCGTGCAAGCGAGTCGACGACACGGTTCGAAATAAAACAACTCGTTTCTATTCCATTTTCATTTTCATTCGCGGACAGGGGGTTCCGCAGATTGGCCGGAATAATTGCTCGGAGGACGCGGAGTGCGCTGGCGGACGATCGCCCTCGCCGGCGATCGAATTGCACTTGCGGGAGCACGGCTGAATTTGCACGCTGGTGTTTAACGGATTGTTTGTATGCGCGCGAGCGCGCGACATTTTCCGAAAATGCGAAATGCCGCGCGCCGGCCGGAGTGATGTCTCATTTCGCTTTAACGCGAAAGTGGACAAGGCCCCGCGCATCGAGAGCGGGGCAGCGGCGGAGAGAGGAATAATAAAAGTAGAAATGAAAAATAAACGCGATGTTTTCGACATCGGCGAGGTTCCACGCAGTCGCGCGGCTTGGCGGCCGATGAGCGAGTCGAGCGAGCGATAAAAAGGGAAGAGTCTTGTCAGAGAGATGTCGATAATACGAGCGAGCTCGGCCCGATTACTCATCGTCTCTTGTCACGTGCGAGATCAAACGACGCGACTTCGCTTCTGTGTAGTGGCTGTTGTTCTTTTTTTATCCCGCGCGCTGATGCACTCTGTTAATTTTGACATCGCGGCAGTGACTCCTTTGACTCCGGCAAGTCTCGTCCGCTCGGCACACACGTTCGCGACGAGCCGATTAACGATCATATTTTATCGGCGAGGTAGCGGAGGTAACGGCTCGCCGATACTTGCTGGGGAGTCGCGGTTTCCAGAAACAACGCCGGCATTAATATATCGGTGAGAAGTACAAATTCGATTCATCCGTTATCGAGAAGAGTTTCTACGGTGCGGTGCGAGAGAAACGTCGACGCGAACTCGATTATTTTCGTACCTATTTATATATCGCGATGTTCGCACAATTCATACTCGAGAGCGAGCGATTTCAATGGAGGTAATTTTATTATAATATACTTTATTATAATATCGCAATCGACATTTGGTTATATAATTTGTATTTTATTGCAGCATTATATATTATATAATTATCATTTTTGTTACGATACTTTTAATATACAGAGTGCCCGATAATCCGAGCTCGTTACTCACACAGCGCTATTCTCGAAGTGAGAATTTTTGATAATTTTTCCCTTGCGGAAATATCGAAGAATATGACGTTGGTTATACGCAGCGACACGTCGATTTAGCACGTCTTTATGCAGCAAAGTCTCAGATTGAAATTCTCTTGGAATAAAGTCCACTTGAAGTTGACCGAAGAGAAGAATAATTTTCTTATCCATTTGATTATCCTTTGAGCAGCTTCGTTTGCCCGAACGCTTTATTTCAAACACTATCGATTCTTCTACATTTATGCTAAAAAGAAAAAAAAAAAGTGTGAAATTTCCTTAAAGAAACAGCGCTATCTAGATATAATAAGCGCGAAATTACCGGACACCTTGTAAGATATCAGCTCGGAGAGAGCACCTCGACGAAAGAAAATACTCGTCTCCTGCGTATCCTCGCATTCCCCGCGGTGGTGTATCCACGGCTGATTAGAATCGACGAGCGGATCCTGCCGCGTGAGAAAATTCGCTTAATCGCGAAACGGCCGGTCTGAGCGGAGCAGATTTTACAGGTCCAATTACGCGGCTCGAACGCGGGATAACGAAATAATTTCCGCAATTATATCAAATTTGTCCCTCCCCCGGCCGGCTCCCTCGCTCTCGTGCTCCCGCTTAACGCGCGAAATTCCCTCACGTGTCGCGCCCGCGCGTTATTCGATCTGCGCGCAGTTCGGTCCATCGCGAGTGAAACATCCCGCGACGGAAACGTCTCGCTTCCCCGCGTGACGAGCAGTCCGCGAGAAGAAAAGGAACTCGATTACCTCGCGGCACGTCTGCATCCTAATGAAGTTCGCGTTACACAACGCTGCGATGCGGCCGGCTGTTTCGAACGGTATCGTCCTCACCGATCGATCGATCATCCTCGCCCCCGCCCATTTTTCCACGGTCGACTAACAATTTCCTGTTTCCCCGAGAACTCACCGACGATTCTTTTTTTCTCCCCTTTCCGCCCTTCCTCTTCCATGAGGACTCGATCTTCCGGCCTCCATGGGAAACTTCTGTCCGCCGCACGGAAAATACTCGGCCAACTCTTGTTAGATGTACCCCTGTGTACCCTCGTGGCTACAACCGAGTGACTTTCCGGGGGTGGTTTCCTGCCGAGGGAGAGATTACACGTCGGCGGTATTCGCGGAGGGAAAGAGAGAGAGTGTCTTTTCGGGCACATTTCGCGGGCATCAGATCGATAAGATCGTGCGAGAGGACGCGGCGCGATGGAGACGCTTGTGCGTGTGATGCTCTTCCGGATTCTTCTCCAGAATCGCAATCGTAAATTCGCAAGCCGCACCTTCGTCTGCGCGTCCTCCGTGTAAAGCCGGTGTAAAGCGGCTCGTATATAAATCATACACGCACCACTACCTTGAGACACGCGATTTCGATATCCCGCGTGTATCGCAAACGCGATGATTATAAATTCAGTTATTCTACTTTCTGCACGTGCAAACTAATTATCTCACACGCGTTGTATCGCGCCGTGAGTCGCCGCCGTTGATCCATTACAGTATGATAATCGGGACTTCGAAACGTGACGCTGAAACAAAAGCCGGCTGCGTTTCAAAGTCATCGCGCGTCCGGAATTTTGTCGGTGGAAGACAGCCGGGATTTCCATCCGGGTGATTAATATTCAATCCCTTCTTGCCGGGCGACGAGATTGCGCGGTTATGCGCGGCGCGGGAACGCGCGCGACTCGAGATCACTCGCGAGGAAACACACCGCGCCCGCGGATACTTTCGCGACGGCGCGCGGCTCGCGCGCGACAAACTCCAAAAGCGAAATCCCGAGCGCGAAACAATAGCGGCCGATATTTCTCGTTTGATTACGACAGATTTCATCGAGATTCCGGGAGTTAAACGCGATCAGACAACCGTTACATCTAATCAAACTTGTTTCGCCGGATACGAGGTGAGATTTGACGATGTTAACTGGCTCGAACTTTATTGATTATCGGTTTTCGTCGAATGCGGGTTATCCGTTATTGTATCGGCGACGCGAGTCAACTCGCGTGGGAACGAATCGCGCCCTTCGCGTATTCTTGGGCGATCTGCAGCCCTGGATGGATGATCCGCACGGTGAATCCTGCGAGAGTGGATTCGTGTACAAATGCTTCCTCGAAATTCACCGGAATTATTAATATCCGCAACGTCATATCCCTGCGAAGTCGCATCCGCGCGTCCGCGCAATTATATTTCATCGCGGCGAAATTTTGCCTACGTACCTACGTACACAATATATTCAAACAGATTATCATCGCTTTTGTTGGAACAATTTATCTCAGATGAATAACAATGAGAACGATTTATCCCGCGCCGTATAGATCGGTGGTCGAGATACGAGACGTAAACGGCTGCGCCGCGAGTGGTGGAGAGGCGTCCACAGTCGGCCCCGTTTTCCACCTTTGCACTTCTAACTTTACGCTAAAACATCCACCCAAGCGTGATAAAATTATCTTCCAAGGTCGCATTCTTTTCGTACGGGAAATTTTATACAGGAAACAAATGCACGATCGTGAACGAAAAGCTTGCTCGTTATTTTTCCGTGCGAATTTCAGAATGCATCCGTTTCGTCCAATGGGAAAATTCCTCCATTGGGCAAAACGGATGCGTTCCACAGTCATAAAAAGTCATAAAAAGAGAAAAATAACGGATAACCTTCCCTTGTCGGGGCAGCAAATATCCGACAAGAGAACTTAAATTCTGGCGATTTTTCGGAAACGACTTCTTCCGCCGAGCAGTCGGCCGCGTTTCGCGGACTGCGTCCCGAAGAAAGCGTCCAAATTGTTGCGCGCAGCTTCTTGACGATATGATGACTCGAGGATGATGGTGAATTGCGGACGGTGCATGTTCCCGCGAGTTTACCATCGGCGTTAACAAATCTCACAGCGTTGCGCGCGTACGTCGTCACGCGGAGTCAGCGCGTTAATAATCCCCGCGCCGTAGCGTTTAATTGGCCGCTGAAGGAGCTTTCGACTCGCCGGCGCGAGCGTTTGCCGCTGATTATATCCGCGCCCTGCGAAGTAATAGAATCTAGTTACGTTGCCGTCGGAGTCCGGAACAGGAAATTGTGACGCTGCTTGATGAAATGCATGCGAGAACGAGAGAGAATCTTCCCCGGCCGCGAAGATCCGCCCGACTCGCTTTTATCACTGCCCCTTCACGCGCGCCCCCCCCCCCGCTCCCCCTCTCTTTCTGCAATAAGTATCCCGATTCGTAACTTTACTTAGAAACTAACTCCGGCCAATCGTACCAGACTCTATTTCCGCTGCCTTCATTTACTCCGGCTTAAATCGCTGCTTTTCTATTCCGCTGGGCTTTGCGATACGAATTATTGAGAGAGCGTACGGAAGTACGATATTCGACATTAACAGCGCCATCTGTTCACCGCATTAGCGCCTTTAGGTTTCACCATTTTTGCAGGATCTGCCTCTGGCACTTTGTCCTGTTATAATCCGCTGTAAGCTCTAAGGCGTGCTCGAGAAGCCCGCGCTGGTTTTATAATAAACTTTATTCTCCCTCTCTCTCTCTCTCTCTCTCGGCCTCTTTCTTTCTCGCGGCGACTCGCTCGATTTAATTTGACGGCGTTTCGAAGGCAGAAGGCCAGGAGGCTGGCTTCGGTTGGCGGGAACGAGCGAAAAGTCGCAGGGCGAGACCTCAAGAGGAATGCGACAATATCCTGCCTGTCGCGGCGTGGCCGGGCGAAATTCCCTGAAACGCGCGAGGATGAGCGGCGGGTAACCCAGCTCGGCAGGATCTATGGGATTCGTGGCCGGAAACGCAAGGACGGTGATCGATGTATAATCACGTGAGAATGTACAATTCTCTCCGCGTGTACATGCACACACTGCGACTGCTACATCCTGCGGCGCGCATACTCGCGCGCGCGCGCGCGCGCGCGAGCGCACGTATTCCCTCGCCGGGGAAGAAACTAATGCTGGTAATTCTCAAGTTTTCCGGGTTAGCACTGAAGAAGAATGGCGGTCGCTAGAGGCCCTAGTACGCGCGGAATAAGAGATTAATCCCGCACGTCCGCGATATACGAAATGTTCGCGAATGGCCGGGAGTGGAAATTTCGGCTCTGCATTAAACACGCGGCCGCCGCGCCGTCGAACGCGAACGTATCCGTGGAAAAGCTCGGCCGGCGCAAGCACAAGTTCCAGGGCCATTGTCCTTTGATGTCGGAGATTGTTAGCGTCGTTCCGTTGAGGCTTACAGAAAGGGCTTGAAAGAAGGACTTGCTTCTTGGAGTCGAGAATAAAGATCGAGTGCAGATAGACTTTCGAGATGATCGGATATTAAATAATTCTTCAATGAGCGCTGCCTCGAGCTCCAACACGGGCAAAATGGCAGCAATGGGAGTCAGCATGTATAGCTTCAAGACGGGGCAATAGACTGTGCAGCGTTTTATCTCGAGTGTATCGGATGGGCTCTCTTGATATTCAATTACGTAACGAACGGAAGAGGCATCTCGCCCCGAAGTTCAGGCATGATATCTTTAATAAAACGGCAGGATAATAATACTTTGCATGTGAGAGCGCTCTACGCGCCGAAGGTTTGGTCGATTTTAAACGACGCTTAGCTCCGGGAGAAAAGAATTTTAATTTAACTGAACGAGCGGATCGGACGAACATTTGTGATTCGGAAACGATATCTCTGGTTACAGCGTCTGGAAATACTTGCTGGACATTCAGCTGCTTCAAAGTTATGAGCAATTATCTATTTTAATTAAAACAAGTGACCTACTTGCTTACAAAGTTGACAAAAGATTTTCCACATATCCTCTTTCAAAAATGCTCGGCTTTGTATTTCTCGACTATCCGACAGGCACTTTGTATCCTCTGGTGTAATTCGTCTGTGTCATTTATTGAGTACACTGTGCTCTTGAGAAAATTTTTAATTAAAATAAATAATTATTCGTAACTCCGACAATATTAATTTTTCGGCCCATGTTTACTAGAACATTTTTTTCCCTCTATTTTGTGAGTACTATCTGCCCTTAAAATCCTCAAGTCCTTTTCTTAAACAGCTCTTCTTACTTCACTTAGCCCTCTTTATTAATTAGCGAAATTATGGCGCTGCAAAAGATATATAGCTCCAGTCAGAAGTCTTTTAGAATCTCGAGATCCTCCATTGATCTCGCAAATCCGACGGAATTTGTAGAATTAATGTAGAGTGAAAATTTCGATATCTCTCTCCCTCTCTCTCTCTCTCTCTCTTCTTTTTGCAGCCGCGAACTCTTTCGAGAATTTCAAGTCAATTTTCTCCCGATGAATATTCCCCGCGCCCTAACTTTTTTATCTCTCACGTAAGTCGTCCGTTTTCGCGGAGCTCCCAAAAGCGTGGATCTTGTTACGGACAATTTTACATCGCGCCGGAATAACGGAGGAACCTATCCCCGCGTATAAACGACGTAATAGATTTCGCGTTGAATTCTGCGCCAAGCGGTCGATCGGTCGGTCGGCACGAGCGGCTCCCGGCGGCGCACCGCGCCGGGCCTTAAATATCCGCGAACTCGCGACAAATCCAGCCGTTGGAGCGTGGCCGACCGGATTATTTATCCCGAGATTATTTCCTCGTACAATTCCAACTTCCTGTCTAATCCTCCCACCTATCGCTAACCCCGCACCGCGGCCGCCGCCGTCGCGCTAGTGGCGGCGGAGTCACCGGCCCGAATCACGAGTCCCGGTGGTTTACGGTAGTTCGCCCCTCGCGATCGCAAAAAGGCGGCATTACCGGGCGTCGCTCATGGGCTGCTTTTATTTCAGAAAAGTCGTCGAACAATTTCTCAACGGATTATACCGAGATTTGCTCCCCGCGAAGTTGGGTAATTCCTTTACAAGTTCGCACTGCAAGAAGAAGTTTCATCCGTCGCTCCCTGTCTCCTCCTCCTCCCTCCCTCGCCACCCTCTCGGTCCACCCTTCGCTCACCCATGCGATTTCCACTTTTCCCTTTCCGTCTGTCGCGCGCACTCCCCGCGATGACAATGAAATAATTTGCTTCTCCGCTCCGGAGCGCCTGGTTGACGCGACGAAATTATGAGTTCCGCTGTCGCGGATTTCCCAACCTGGATTAACGAGATACCGTTGGACCGTTTGCGACGATGACGAGGGCGACAGCTCGGAGCGTGTCGCTGTGCGCAGGCGGAGGGCCTCCTCTCCTGCGCACTTCAGCCTCGAAAGTAGCGGAAAGTTTAGCCGAGAGCTGGCCCGCCGATTCTTGATTGTTCCACCGCTGCGTCTTCAAGATTCCCGTCGACTCATCTCGATCAGTGGCGTCGATTTCGACTTCCCGGACTTGCGGATGTTACCTAGGTACCCGAACATGCGCGCAGTTAGGGGAACGCCGTACTTAAAAACTTCGTCAACAGAGTACTGGCTTCTTCTTCTGCGAAACTTACGTCCTATTGCTTGCGCAGAATTACAAATGAAAGGACATACGGAAATGTACTGGAGCTCGATGTGTGAGAAGAAAAATAAACTCTATCTTCCAAACGTAAACACATCGTTTTCCGCACCGTTGACCTCACTGTGATCGTTATTGTTTTTCAACGCTCCGAATGCCCATTTCGGATTCTCATACGCAATACTCACACCTCGTACGATATGAAAGGTATTAGAAACAAGAATAAATTCAATATTTTTATTACAATTGTGTGCTTTTCTTCTCAAAGGCATACACAACAATAGATCGACGGCATTCTTTAGAAAAAGAATTAATATTCGATCTCTATATTCTATATCATGGTGATGGTTAACTGTATAATGATTAAATAAAAATAAAATAACTAAAATGCTTAATTTTTATATATGAAGTTTCAGAACAAAATCATTTGGTCCAGAGAACAAAGCAGAATACAAAATTATTCCCCGACGCTCCGATTTATCTCCGCACGCGCTCGTTCATCGCGCAAAGGCACTTTGCGTCATTCCGGAGCAATACGACGTAAACTCTTCGTAGGCAGAGGCGAAGTGTCCTGCCGGCACAATTGTCAAATACAACATCCCCCTGTAACCGCGAGGCCTTCAGCCTTCGAGGCTGCGACACGTTATTTGCGCCCGTCGCTTCTTCCGAGCGGAACTGTGAACGTCACTCGCTCGTGTGTTCGCTCGGCTTCTTTGTAAAAACGCACCGTTACACTTTGAGTCGCCGATCGACCATATAACGCCGAGCTTTTTACAGGATAATAATGGATTACCGCGCCAGGTGCCTCGTGTTTTTCGTACTTTGCCTGATATTGCCGGAGCATGAGGCGGACGACGAGCACCGTGCGACGACGCTCTCCAGGAAACGCCGCTACGTCGTTTTCCCGGAAGGCTCTACGTTCTCCGTGAGTATCGCGCGACATATCGCCATCTACCCCCGCGACCAATCCCCCCCTGGAAATCTCGCCTCCCCTCGGGAGCGGGAGAGCGAAGGGGGCAGGTTATTTGGAGCCGCGTCGCATTCGCCCCCGAGCGTTAGCCCGCGCGGCGCGGCGGCTGTCACGCCCGGCGGACTTTTATCGCACGCGCGGTAATTATTAATTTAAATGCAAATATAATAGACGTAATTTAACGTTTATTCGTCGACAAGGGGGCGGGAGAGTCGCTGTGTTACGCCGTTGCGCAATAATTAACTCGATAATTAATTGTTCACCGATTGAATGCGCCCGCCGCGCCGCCCGGATAATCCCGGATCGAAAGTGTATACACAGCGGAATTATTGCGTTTTATTATTATTATTTATTATGTCGGGGGGGGGATGGATCTCATGCGTAGATCGCGCTCTGCATGACCGTGCACACGCTCACGCCCGACGACATCTTCACGGAGGGCCTCAACTGGGGCATCTCCTACGACCTGCCCAACGAGAGCAAGCCCGCCCTGGAGCCCTTCCTGGAGCTGAGAAATGATAAAATCCAAAGCGGTGACAGACACGATCGTCACCGTCCCGCCGTGGCCGCTAATAACCACGGCGTCGTGAAATATTCAGGATGGAACGACGACAAGTACCGCTTCGCGCCCGGCAGGAAAAAGTATCGCAAGTCCGAGTATTATTACTTGCAGCGGAGACACCGGCGGGAGCTTTACAGCAAGCTAGAGGTCATCATGAACGCGTGAGTACGACGTCCCTCAATCTCATCGTATAATGTCGTCGGTCGGGCAGAAAGTTCGCATCGATATATCTCAGGATCTCACTTGAACTTTTACGTTGTCGCTCCCGAGAGAAATTCGCGATTTCTTTTTTTTTTCTTCTTTTGGCAGAAATGCTGGCTGCCTGATCGACGAATCGGTGAGGTAAAATTCAGAACGAGGTTGGACGTAGAATGTGAGGTGACGTTTGACGTGAGATTTTCAAGCGAATCTCAAGTAAACTGTATCGAATAAATTTGCAGCAAACGAGTATATAAGCGAAGTGTAATATTCGTCGACGTAATTCGTCTCGAGCGAAGTTCAAGTAAAATTCTCAAAAATTCCACCGAACCTACGCGGTTCAATTGCAGACAGAGAGGTCGTGAGCTTCGGAACGCATCCATCTTGTTCAATGTGGGAGAGTTTTTTTCCCAATGGGGGAGGGGGGGGAGGAATCCTTCTGTTAGACAAGACAGATGCATTCGGAAACGCGCACAAAAGATGGTGGACAACTTTTCCGTGCGCTATTATACAGCGCTGTCTTCGAAAATCGAAAAAGAAAGAAAGAGAGAGAGAGAGCGAGAGGGGAGGGGGGGGGAGAGAGAGGCGGTCGGCCGCGAAAGGAAGTACGGCAATAATCCGAGGCAATTTGATGATTAATGCGGTCTAAATTACGGTCCAATTAATCCCGCTCCCGACAGCAACATTAATTAATGGCACTCACGCGCGCACACGGACGGTTAAGACGACAATTTCTTCGGGATCAACATCGCGTCGTTGTCCCCCGGATATATTATATAACCTGGATTTCAACGTCTTACGGACGAAGGAGGAAGAGGAGGAAGAGGAGGAGGAGGAAAGCGAGGGGACGGAGAATTTTCGCGGGGCTACGCATTCAGACAGGAGGAGACACGCTCGATAATAAAATGGAACGGAGGGCTTTAGTGGCTCCAGCGCGATCGAACGGCCGTCTTGTCTCTTTATGGAGACTCGTCCGAGTACTTGAGTCTCTTCCGTGTCATCTATCGCGACGTATCGGCCGCATTAATGGCAAAAGCCGATATATCGCGATAATGACACCGGAGTAGTCTTCCGTCCATCCCCTATCCCTCCCTCGCCGGGCTATGGAGGGCGGTAAAACGGCACGGACGTGTTGTTATCGCGTCGGCCGAGCTTTACATCTCTCGTCTCGGCGGTCGAGCCGCGCGAATCATCGAGGATGTCGCGCGGAAGAACCTCAGGGTGTCCGCCGCAGTCATGATAAATGATGACGTCACAGGCGAGAAATGACACACGCTGAAAATTCGTGCGCGCTGTTTTTCCCGAGGAAAAAGAAAAAAAAAACGTCGACGAATACTCGAATATCCGCGTCTGAAAATTTCGTTATCGAAACGCTGCGAAGTTTCGGAGATAGGAAATTATATTCGTAATTCTGATTTTTAAAATTCTTTCGCTATTCAACTCAGGTTTAAATCACGAAAATATGCACCAGGTACGCGATGAATTAATGCTATTCGTTGGCTCGTATCACACTGACCCCCTATCGGCTACATATTGAATTTGTTATACGCAGTCGGTTACATTTTGTATGTAAATTAGTAAATTAGTGGAAACGCAAATATTACGACAAAATATATTACGACACGCCCCGGCTGGCACGCTGGCTGGCGACAGCCTCAACCTTTTATCGTCATTTGTCTGGCGGCTTTTACACTCAACTCGGCTTGTGCACGCTTCATGCAATTTCAAAAGAATCCTCAAGAGCCCCGTCATTGCAAAATCACGAGATCACATCAGATTTGCGACTGACAAGGCGCACGATCGGCTCGCGAGAGCACCACGTCCGGGTGACGTTGCTCCAACGAAGGCTCGAGCAAGAATCGCCCCGAGCGAATACGTTGAGCGTGATCAAACGATCCGTGATTCGTAATTCGAGGCCATTGCTGTCCTTTATTCCGCTCACCATCACGGCTACGATCGATCCTCGCGCGAATCTCGCGCGACGTCGCGAATCGCCGCGACCGCGCTTTTATTATTACGAGCCTCGCGCGGGAGACTCGCCTCGAGAAACATTTATCGAGCGACGTTTAACATTTAATCGTGTCGTTTACTCCCTACCCGAGACAGCCGGGGTAACGAGGCCGGTGTTGGAGTATTGCGGCTAATATCCGCATGAAATCATTCACCCCTTAGCCGAGAAGATGCTAAAGTGGCGGTTTATGCCCGGCGTCTTATATCGCCACCGGGATGCTTCAGCTATGCAAGGGGTGGGTTTTACATGTGCCTGTGTGTGGGTGCGTGTCTATGCGGGAGCAACGTCACGGCGGTTTATAAGGGATCGGCCGGCGTTGGTGGTGCTGTTGGTGCGGCTTAAGGGTGGCATGAATCAGACGGCGGCCGCGGAGTGGCAGCTCGATGGTGGTGGCAGCGGGGTTGTTTCTGAACGAGTCTGGCAGACCATTTATCCGTTTCTCCGGGCCAACGGCCATGAGAAAATGCTTCTCTCTCTCTCTCTCTCTCTCTCTCTCTTCCTCCCTCCTCGCAGTCGGAACCATAGCCAGATTTATATTCTCCGTGCTAGAAGTTCGACTATTCTCGTCGGCGACGCGGCGCGTTTCTTCGCACTCTCCCGCCGAAATGAGAGACGCGGCTGTCGTCTCTTCGGCGATAGTGGCCGGTTTTTATCCGAACGAGACGCGAGACATCGAGGCGCGTCTGAATCTTGGAGCTACCCGAGTAGAAATGTAAGTGGCCGACCTTGTTCAACAGCCAACTGTTAGCTAATACGGCCTGGGTTGAACTTCCCAGCTGGCTATTGGCTGACTATTCACGGACACGTAGAATCAGTCTTGCGGTCTAGTCGTCGTCTAGCCATTACGTGCCGAGTAGTACAATGGGATGGATGAATTTATTCTAAGGTTTGTAATCTAGTTATGTCGCCTCCAGTCTCTTGGAATTGGATAGCAAGTCGGAACTTGGAATCATTTCATTAAAGTCTTAAAAGGAGCAGAAGTTACGTTACTGGCTGGCAAACGCGTATGCTTTTTCATCGCATAACGATAATTTCTTCCGTGTAATTATCAGCTAATTTATTTACACAGCCACCGAGAGAAGATGAATATTTTTGCAAAAAGAAAGAGAAAGAAACATTTGTTTCCGATACCTCGGTTTGAGTTTCTATCGAAATTTTATACATAGATCACGCTCGAGTAGAGAATTGTTGATGAAGGCTGAAAGGAAAGGAGTGGCGTTTTGCTTCGACGATTATGTAGCGAGCGTATGTCTCCTCATCGTCCTTATCGCAGCGGCTGCACTTCAGCTGTATTTCTCCTCACGCAAATTATAATAAATCGCGAGGAGAATGTTGAACCGTTACGCTTAGGGAAATTTATGCGATACGCACAAATCGAGAGTACGTTGATGGATGGCCTTTACCGCGGCGCGAAAGAATGAAAGAGATAAAGCGGTTTATCAGGGCCAGCTGTATTAATCCTATCCGCTTTGTTAAATTTCGTCTTTCCTTCGCGAAAGGAATCCTCCGAAATAAATCGTCGGTATTTATTTACCCAGATCTAATCAGCCAGATCAGCCGATGCGTTCGAACTTGCCGATTCGTTGAAATTGCGTGTAAGGAACGACCCGTTATCTTATTTTTCCGTTCCGCGTTAATCTCTCACGACTTATTCCTGGCTCTCTCTCTCTCTCTCTCTCTCTCTTTCTCTTCTCTCTCTCTCTCTTTCTCTCTCTTTTCGAAACTTTTTGTTCGGAATGCCGATGCATCGCGATCGCGCCGCAACACATACGCGATAGAAATTTCTTCAAGTCGACTGCGCAACATTTTTTCGTGTCGTCCTTTTTCCAGAATGGGTTTTGACGGCAGGACATGCATCCTCCGAGCACTTTGTGAAGCGTCTCAGCGATTAATGCCGAAAGGAAACACTTTGGTGGAGGAGATGATGAGGATATCATTCTCGTAAGTTCCCCTTTTTCGTCTTTCTTTTTCTTCATTATGTTCTCTTTCTTTTGCAACGAAACGAAAGCTACTTGTCGCGAGGATGCCTCGAAAGGGGGGTCGTGGACTGTTGCTCGAAATATCTTGGGCTTTTTTAGTCAAAGAATTCACGGACACTTAGCGCCGCGCAATTTCACGATTCAAAATGACGCGACTCAAAAGAGCGCGGCGGGTGAGAGAAAAGACCAAATGCAGCGGAAGATGCAGATAACTGAGCTAAAGAGTATACGAGCTAAATAACGGAGAATGAGTAACGATAGCTTCCCCTGCGGCAATTTTGCAGCTTTTACAGAGCGTTGCAAAATCAATGGCTCGTGTTTTAATGACGACGCCGCGACTAATGCTGAAATCGATTTGTCTCCTCGGCAAAAATGTTGAGAGCGTATCGCGAAAGTTTATTGTTTATCAACACGTGTGCCGGTTGTTTGGCCATTTTCAAATATCCAATTATATTATGTATTATACAAGAGTGTTTAAAAAACGGTTCAAGACGATAGCAGAATAGAGGAAAGAAAACTTGACGAAACACGAGTCGAATAATTAATATTGTCGGAGTTATGAACAATTATTTATTTTAATTCAAGCAAGTGACTTACTCGCTTCTGATGCATGGCCACACATGAAGTGCATTTCTGTCATTTTTTTATTAGAGTAATACGATGTACCATTTGCCCTAAACCCTTTTTCTTAAATACCTTGTATAAATTCCAATATTGACTTCGACAATGACTGCTGCTGAGTTATGCGTGCACGAGAAATGACCACGCCAAATAATATGGCGTCCCACCTTCTTCGCTCTTGGGACACGCTAAAGGGTCAGCAGAAGGTCACGATTACGAGCCGTTGCTTACGAGCTTGCGTCTACTAATCGATTATGACAGGAGTCGAAGTGACAGTACACGTTGTAAATATTAACTTTTTATTACAACCATTAACTTTTTGTTATATTTATTTTATTTATATTATTACATTTACCTAATAAATGAGAATAAATGAGAATAAATGAAAAATGAAAAATGTAATAAAATACTTGCGTTTTTCCTCAATTCTCCGTGGTATTCGTGACATTACAATGTATCATACATTGTCATTAGGATTACTGACCACAACAGATTACCGACCAGACTCAGGAGTGGCTCGCAATCGTGACCATTTGATGCACTCCTAACGTCACCGGCAAAAACGTGCTCCAATCGTTTAGCGGACGAGTGTATACCTATAAATCGTCGTCATTCAGCTGCGAATTAAAACCCCGCTCGATTCCACTCGACATTAATTAAACAATACGATTTTGTTAGCTATTCTGGCCCCTCCCCCTCCTCCTCCGTCCGTCGAAGCTCGAACAAGTCCTCCACAGTTTCAATAGCTTGCATAAAAACTATCGATGTCTCGATGGCTTCGTTGAAAAATAAAAAAAAAAGCACGGCTTTAAATTGGTCAAAGAATTTGTTATTACCACTTGACCGATTTATTTTCTAAAAAGTCCCACGCGTGAAATCTCTCGTGGCGTCGCTCGCGCGCGTACGCAGATATTTAAGTAAGAATTCGCGTAAGAAGGATTAATTGGCGAGACGTGAAAAACTCACTCTTTCTGTGAGTGTTCTTTAACTTGATATAAATAAGCTCCTTGTAAATACTCCAACCTCGTTCGCGAAAACGCGCGTGCCGCGTGTCGGACAATTCAACTCGAACGCGCGACGAATGTCGTTTTAATTGGATTCTTTATCCCGCTCGTGCGATCTCACTTTACACAAGCACTTTGTACAACCGGCTCGCCCTGGAATATTACGCGTTAATTTACACCCTCCTCGAATTTAAAAACGCGAGCAACAAGCTCGCTCTCCTTGCGAGCGGGGGGAGAGGAAGAAAAAGAGAGCCCGAGGAGTAAATAAAGTATCAGATGATTCTCCGGCAAAAACAGCGACGATGACGGCGACGAGGGCGGGGACGAGAAGGAGAATCGCGAGGACGAATTAAAAACGTGACCGGACTCACGCACAGTCTAAAACAGTCTCGTTCCGTCCGACGATTTCGAGGGGGAAATCCCCGTCGATTCCACCGCAAGCGACCTGGTGATCATCTCGAGCAAGAACGCGCAATTTGCAAAACGTTAGAGGATCTTCCACGAAGGGTCGCCCGCCTCTCCCCCCCCCTCCCTCTCCCCCTGCCCCGAGAACGGCTGACCCTCCGCTTTCGCCCGGAGATATTTCGGATATAATAGCTCGGCGGACGACGTGGAGGGAAATGAGGAGGAGCGAGAGAGGAACACTAGAAGAGGCAGATTCCGGGCGTCGATCGCCGTCCAGGGGCTGCTCGGCTGGCCTCGATTCGATCGTCGTCCACGTAGGCAGATCGGCGTTCCCTCGGACGTGTAGTCGGCCCTGAAAGCGGCTCATTCAGCGTCTCTCTCGTTACAGGCTGCCCCTGAAGAGAGTGTTCTCGTTCGAGCCGGAGGAGCATCACACGTACACTCAGGCCCATAAAGCCGGCCACGAGGGCAAGAACTGCGCCGTCGTGTTTCCCGGGTGCAGCTTCTCCCTCATCGACATGGCCCTCGGGAAATATAACGCGCCTCCGCCAGCCCCCGAGCAGCCCGAGGATCCTGCGGACTACGGCGGAACTTTCGGCGCGGGGAATGAGCCCACCGCGGATTGGCCGAGGTACAACATGAAGTAGCGCGATGCATGTAAACGACAACCTGATTTTCGGGGGGTGAACGCCAACGCGCCCCCTTGACCTCGCGGCCCCACCGCCGCCCGCACTCATCGGCGCTCCTGACGTCGTAGTCGTCGTCTCCGAGATGCGCCGCGTCGCAATGCTGTTCTGCCGTGTGAAATCAATCCTGCGAATTCCGTTGGACCGCGACCGCAAGGACCTGTGGAGAGTTCGGGGATACGCAGCGCTGCGGGATTATTTCAAAATTTATTTGTCTCAGAGTTGCTTGGTATTCTCCATATTGTGGTCTCGATATTTTATTTGTATTTAATTTTGCGTCGAGAATTTCGCTGAAACTTGAAACTGACGTATTAATTATGTAACTTGTTTGACCGTGGACAGAGAGAGAGAGAGAAAGAGAGAGAGAGAGAGAGAGAGCAAATACGATAGATAAATGAATATTAAATGATCGGCATGAATAAACAGTAGCGATAATGAGCGAATAAACGAAACAGACTTTCCTTCTTTGCATACATACGCTTATTGTCGCTCCGAGAGGGAAAGGGGAGGAAAGGACAGTTGCAAATGTAACGTAATGAAAATTTAGATTTGGTTTCGGTACGCAAAATAGCGATAGTTCTACAAACACGAAGACGGCGACTTGATGAATTTAATGGAGAACTCGCGGGTATATATATTCTTCGTAATGACGATTTATCTGACTTATCGAATTTTGGAGCTCAAAAATATATCGAAAGTTCGTAGGAAGATGTGTGTATACGGGAATTAAAATTAAAATTTTCCGCTGAATATGTCGTATAGAACAAAACAGCGCACATTTGTGCAAGATTTATACGTACAAGAAATACGAAAAGAATGGCACGATCGCGTCAGAGAGAAGGGATGTTTATTTGACACAACGTTTAAGGACGATCGCCTTTATGTTATACTTGTGAAGCTCGTTATTCATTTTGACATCCCTTTAAAGTTAATTCTCACTATTCGCTTGGACAGTGATAGATAGAAGTCTGTCAATTCTCCGTTAAAACGTTATCCGATGCTCCTGTGTCGGAACACTCAACGCAATATCCGTCACCGTCACGTCGCAATATCTACAATTGAAAGGAGAAAGAGAGGCGAAGGAAACTTTCAAGGGCTTTTTTGTGTCTCACCGGCGCCTAAATGGCGGGATCGACTTTCGAGTCGCATTTCGGCGCGTTATTATTCTCGGCGCTTGTGGTAGTCGTTATACCACCTGATTGTTACCGCTTAATTGTTGTCGGCCGACAAAGAATTTTCGGCAGGACACGGCCACGAGGCGCAGTCGCAAGTCGCAAATACAATAGCTTTTATGCGCTGTCCGAAGATGGTTTGGTTGTACCTCGAGTACGATGCTTTTGTCGGCGATTGCTTGCTGGTGTGCGCACAATGAATTAACTTCCAAGATAGTGGAGACTGCTGGGAAATTAATTTCTTCGTAGAGACTTACTTATAAATACCGCGAGCGACAGCTCGATGGCGACGCGCCGCGCCGCGCCGCGTGCCGTGAAGACCGCTTCCGCCAAATCGGCAGTGTGAAAATTTTCGTGCAAAAATGCTGGAATTATCCGACGTGTATAAAAACTAAATGAAACTCCCTGCGTATCGCGTGCGCGCACGCTTGAAGCGGAAGGACGCGTGACTCGCGAATAACGGTGCTGAAAGCGGAAACTGGAGCGCTGGTGGAAGCCGGAGGAATATTTCACGTGACATTGCTGAAGTGAATACGGCTAATGTTTTCCATGACAGGCTATAACAATTCCTTGTTACATTGTTACCGCGCGCACGGTGGCGTCGATTTAACTAATTGGATAAAGTTGTAGCGGATCGAATGACATGGAACATGAAATGCCGGGTATGTTTCCGGGTGAAACCGATGAAAAGTTTGATTGACAAAGGAGCGAGCTCGACGAAGATCGTCGAAATTCGCGCGTATAACGCGATTGTTCGAACCTTCGAAATGTTCTCAACCCTGTTTGAGGCCTCGACTTTGATCCTACAAACATACATACATTGCGACTCCAAACGGTTTGACCACATTTTGCTGAAAAATTCTCAGAGGTAAAGTCCTTTGTACGTTTTTATATTATATTACCGCGCAGCTCGCGCGATTATTTGTAACGACAAATCGATCAGCCGAATGTCTTCTTCTGCTGTCTACACACGCACACAGGCGCGCCGTGGAAAGAGATTTGAGAAGCTACTGTCGCGTTGCATTTATCTCAGTTGCAAACTCGTTCCGACCGCCATATTCGGCGGCATTTAGCTCGCGATCATTTTTCAAGTGCGCCGTTATAAAGTGTACGAGAAGGCACGATAGAGAGGGTTAATCGCGCACGGTCGACGTGGATTGGGTGAGATACGGCGCGAAATGGGACGATGCATCAGGAACCGGTAGATGTAGCAAGCTGGCTGAGTGATGGAAACGAGAGGGGTGGAGAGAACGCGCCCTCTCGAGATAGCACTTATGCCGTATTCGACACGTATCGTAAATACTTTATATTTCCGCGAAGGGAATGATAACTTCTTCTCCGAGAGACATACTTTCCGTATGCGTCGTCAGATGGGAAATTACCCCGAGCGCCGTGTAACCGCGGCTGTAATCGACCGAAGCGTATCTGAGTTTCCATCCCCTTCGGAAAAATCGAGTCCCGCTCTTTGCTCGCACAGAGAAAGAGGAGAGGAATCGTCAAACTTTTCTTCTCGCGCTGACAGAAAGATATAAGTTGAATTAACTGTAATCTCACTATATTTTATAGTTCATTCAGGCGTCAACCATATTTTTATAGTTCGTGGAACCTGCAAAATATAATAATAGAATAAACACAAATATATAGTCAATGATTGTCTTAAATAATTGTTTAGTTATTTTTACCATATATATGCTAATTTCTCATTCACAAATATAGTGAGACTTAATATTCATATAGTTACATCTGTCATCATTTAGCAAATATTCTGGTAATATTGACTATATAAAAGAGTTACTTTATCTACCATTTTATATTTGTATCCATACAATAATTTTCATTTAACTTACTATTCTTAGTAAAATTCTTAGTAAAAATATGGTTATATGGTTGGTCATATGCCTATATCGTAATTATTACCGGTATATTATGGTAATACTTACTATAAATATGATATTTCGGACTATAATTTAGTTACTATATGGTTATAGTTCCAAATATCATGTACTTTTCTCTCAGTGCGGCACTCTCGCGAGACACGCTCGAAGCGGACGATTCCGTGGGACCGTTCGACCTCCAAACTGATTTCGGCTCGTGATTCGATGACTCTGACGGCCGGATGAGCGTCTCTACGGCAATAATGACACTCTCTCGTGGCGCCGATGTCGTTGATATTACTGGCGCTGAAAGAAAGCCGATATATCGATCGCCCGACAATAGCGGCTGGCTCGTTAGTAATACCGCCGGATAGTTTCGATAATTCGCTATTAAGCAGCTTCTATCACGGTGCGTGTTCTCTTCCTGCCGCCCACTCCCCTCCGCTCGCCATTTAAATAATAATAATGACAATCGCCGGATAAATACGGCCAAGACTGCGAGAGATATTTACGAGTTCAGCGAGTCTGCTGAACGACGGAGGAGAGAGGCCATTAGTTGCACTTTCGCTCTATTTATGCCGTAAAGGTTGCTTCGCGTTTTATTGCCGACCTCGTGTTTGTTTTGCCGGTAAGGGAAAGCCCTTTTTTGCTGCGCGTACGGCTTTTTATCGTTACACGGCGAGTGCGATGCACCTATCTTGGTAGCCTCGTCGCACGTGTAACCCTACCTTTTACCCGAGCGATGCGCGCGGATAAAGAGGCATCGACGTGCGTCCGTGAGATAAAGGGGCCGCGTCCTGTGTGTGAAAGTGCGACGCATTGTAAAGTTGCAATTAACTATTTAACGTTCCCCGGGATCGGGATTCAACGGCAATTCAAGACGAGTCCTTCAAATTGGATTAAACGGTGATGGTGGGGGATCTCCCGAAACTACCCCGAAGGTTCCCCGATAATCGTCTCTTATATATTTCCTAACTTGGAAGAAAACACATTCGAGGGCAGGGGGGAGAGACGTATTAGCAACGCGCGTTTTACGCTACGGTCTTTTTTAGCTTCGCTTAGAAGCGGGATACTTCATTTCTCACGCCTGCGACAATGGAAATTGCGTTGAAGGAAATTATGCCAACATAATTGCACTGGCGGAGCATTAATGTTGCCATTTAATGGCAATTAAAGCGGGGGAATTCGATTTTTACATTTTCGGTAGTTCTATCCTTTGTAGCGAGCTTATTCCTCTTCAAAAAAGTGCGTGTCAATCGAAAGTCGAAATCTCTCGAATCTCTCGAAGTATTGAAGCCTCGGCCGGAGGGCTTTGGTCCAATGGCCCCCACAGCGCGGGCAGCTCGGGTTCGTAAGCTTGCGTGACAGCCGACCTACGGGAGGGAAAACCCCGAATTAAAACCCGGGAAAGTTATCCTCGTTATATAAACACACAATATGGTACACGAAATGAGGAAGGCTTCATCATCCCTAGGTGTTCGGATGACCAGGGAATGGCGAGACAGTGGTATCGTCCCTGCCACTGTCCCGTCGTCATCATGCAAAGGGCGGAAGGAGGGGTTGGCGACGGGTTTCTTCTCTAACAGGACTACCGTCAAGAAAAGGAGGCTGAGGGGGACCAGCCGAGCGGATTACCGGTCTAGCACGAAGGTTGAGCTGAGGACCTCGTTGGTGGGTTTGTCGGATGCTCTTCGACCGCCTCCTTCGGAGTTGGCTCGGGATGTCCGATAGGAGGTGAGCAATTATGTAGTGGGCAAGAGTCTGGTTTCGACCAAGCCGACTCTAGTGTGCTGGTCGGAAGACAGTACGGTAGAATGGCAGGATGGAGGTCACCTAGCCATGAGTCCGAATGGAGACTTTGCTGCGGGCGTGGACGCTGGAATTGATCCCGCTGAACAACCTAATGGGTGGCTGGCCATCAGGGAAAGGCTATGGAAATTTGCGTGTCAGAGGAGGGGGGTTGTAGGACTTGAAGTGAAGGAACTCCATCGTTCGTGTGGAAAGGATGGGTGTACTGCGTTGCCGAAGATAGTGGAAGCGTTGGGTTTTCCTCCGCCCGACGTTAAGGAGGACGGTAATAGTCGACCGTGTTTGGAGGTATCGACAGAAGCGTTGCAGTGGTGGTGTAGGAGAA